TACGCGCTCGGCTGGAAGGTGTAGAAATAATATCTGCAACCTGCCGAGTAGCAACGTCAGTTATTACGGCTATACACTGGTATGGCGGTGCGTGTAAAATTCATACCGTAAGGAAATTTGATACCGGTATACCGGTTAAAGCGGTATAGCCCACCCCGAATCGCTAGTTTAAAATATTCTGCAATACAGCATAATGTTCATTTAGTAAATGATGGTCCCTTTTAGTGTAAAATAGACCCTATTTGACAGGTCGCCACTGTCCCCAGAGTTCAGGTTACAAAACATATAGTACTGAATTATGTTAGAACTTAAAACACAAACATTTGAAAGGCCTGGAGTTTGGAGTTTGAATATCGCAAAAATGTTATGTAACATTATAAGAAGTAAAGTTAGCAGCTATTTGTCAAATCTACCTAAAATTGACCTCTGCAGAACAGGGTTTTAAAATCAAATTAATCCAGAATTCTCCTTAAATTCTTAGAAATACCCAAATACAAAATGCATTTTGTCTATTGATTACCAAAACTGAATCCAAATGAACAGGATGTACCCAGTTCTCAATCAGATCGTGACTCCAATACGACCGATATAATTTATTGAGAACAGTTTAATATAACGGCCCCTGATAACTTAGGATGAGTCTACCCTGAAACGTTTTTGTCAGCTTCATGGTCACAAATTCTTTGTCAATACCAATCCGAAAAAAAGCCATTTTAACCAAATGTAGTGACATTCAGTTCTCGCTGACACAGAAATGTCTCCTCGCCGTTTATATTGCATCGAAGCGGCTAGAACTTATTATTCAAAGAAGACGTGCTGCTTGAATGCAAGTAAAGTTTTTTTCCATCGCTAACTTCGAATCCAGAAACTGCCCCCTGGAACCCCCCCCCCCCCCCCAAGAAATAGCTTCATTTACACCAAATACAAAGACAGCAACCCCCTCCCGCAAGCGCGCGCGCGCGCGCGCACACACACACACACACACGCTCATACATACAATCATGCCCCCGCACGTCAGCACGCTATCCAGCCTCCCGAGAGAATAATCTATGTGCTAAAGCTGGTGTTATCCATCAGCTGCACACAAGCATGGCGCACGCGCGCACACACACACGCACACACACACACACACACACGCACAAAATGAGATCTGCCTCCAGCCAGTGCGCTTCATCCCCTGCTCTTATTCTAACTCCTGGAGTCACACGGGATTCGTGTCCTGTCCAACACTCTGATTAGCGGACGGTCGCGCACAAGAGGACCTAAACATTATTTTTATTTTTTAGCGCAGGCATCGTTTTTCCGGCTGGAAATAGCTGGTGTCTCCCCGGTGCTGACAGTGCGCAGAGGCTTGTGTTTTGCGCCTTCCCGTGCGCGTGTGTCCCTGTGAAGGAATGCAACACCGCGATGCATCGGCCCCTGACTCTCTCTCTCTCTCTCTCTCGCTTTGAGCCATCGCACACGCACGTACAAATCCCTTCCGGGCGACATGCATACGGGTAAATAAAGGCAGGCCAGCACAAAGGTCCATTTGCATTGCGGTCGCTTTAAAGGATCCAATCCCCCCACTTTTCATTCCAACATGGCAGCAACTAGCCAGTGAAACCGGGGCTTTAGAAATAGGGAATGGACGGTTCGGGTGTGTGTGTGTGTGGGGGGGGGGGGGGTCCCGGAGGGGGACGGGGGGCTTGAGGAGTCTCAAGTGGACGCACAACTCGCCCGCTTCCCGGGTACAACAGCCACGGCGGAGAAGGGTCCGGATGAGTGTAATGGCTACAAAAAAATACAGTTGTTTCCTTCCTTTTCATTGAATTAAGGTGCCGTTTTTTCCTGTCATGTGACACAGGCTCCATCCCTGAATGCAGAAAACACATTGTAAACTATATCGGGGAATATGCTGGCTGTATAGGAACATGCTAGGCAACATCCTTGTGGGGATCCATCACGGGTGGACTTGAAGAAATGGATTAGCCGCTCACATCCATCCCGGGACCATATTCCCCCACGTCATAAACCCCCCATTTCATTTTATGTCACATATCGGCGCAGATTGTTGCCCACAGTGAAGGTGATTTCGAGTTGTCCGCTGAGGGGTGTGTATGTGATGGGGGGGGGGGGGTTCTCACCGCCGATTCTAGCCATAAACAGCCCCCCCGCCAGGGTGTCGTCTGCGTGCACAGTTTTACTGCATTACGACCAGCACAATTACCATCACCGTTATCAATCACCTCTATAAACAGCCCGCAGACCCGCACTCACTTCCGAAGCTGCTCCCGCATCGCTGGCCGATCAGCGCGCTCCCCGTCCGGGAAGAAATAAACCGAGTCCCGGGTAAAAAACCGAGGGCGATGTCCCGACCCCCTTCGCGGTCCGACCGAGAGTCGTCTACTGCCGGGGAGAGGTGTCCAAGATTACCGCGTGTACGCTCCGTGTGTGAGTGTTCCTCTGCAAGCAGCACCGGTGGGTTGCTCGGGCTGACTGGCCATCAAGACACGAGGGTCAAGCCCGCGGAGTAAAAGGAAGACAACTTCCGCCTTCACGATTCAAAATAAAAGCTTCGGGTTGAAAGATGGCGGGTTTTTTCTTTTGATAAAATAACGTTATATTATGGAAACAAAAATGTATAAATTCACGGAACATTTAAAGCATTGCTGAGCTCCTTCTTTGTCATTGACTAGTGAATCCTGGGGGCCATTCAAGGAGGTCGTGTTGTGTCAGACACCGCTCATAATTTTTAGCCGCCTTCCCCAAGATTTGACCAGATGACACTTTTACCTTGAAATTAACCTCCTCATAGTTTCCGTTTTAGTCCTCTCAGCTTCTGGTAAACTTGACGCACTTTAGATAGCCAAGGCGTAGCTCTGCCCCTCTGCCTCCCTTCCCCCCATCCCGCTGCTTCTGAAGGCAAAGAAGCCTCCACGCAATCCGAGGAGGTTTTTCACCTCACTGACACGAGAGAGAAAAGGGAGAGAGAGAGAGAGATTGAGAGAGAGAGAGAGAGAGAGAGAGAAAGGGGGAGGGGGGGGCTCTTTGCTTTTACAAGGTACACAAGAGACAGGAAGAGAGAGAGAGAGGGAGAGGGAGAGGGAGGGGGGGGGGCTCTTTGCTTTGGGAATCAGTGTTTAAGGCCTGAGAAATTTGGAATGTTGCACCAGGAAGAACAGAGAACAACCTGTAATTTATAGGCAAGTTCCAACTGTTACCAACCATAACAGTATATCTTACCTGTGTGTGTGTGTGTGTGTGTGTGTGTGTGTGTGTGTGTGTGTGTGTGTGTGTGTGTGTGTGTGTGTGTAGGCGATGACGTTGAGACAGAGAGATTCGTGGATTCAACACATGAATGAACCCCCACCCCATATTGATTTGTAAACTCTGGATTGCGTGCAGGAAGCAGTTGGTCAGCCGTATGTGGTCGTGCTGGACCGTCGAATGTGTGAGAGTGTGTTTGTACGCACGAGGCACGGCAGAGCGAAGCGTGTGGAAGGTGTGATGTGTGGACAATTCCCACACACAAAAGTATTCAGACAGCCCTGTGAACGAGGCCTTCTTTTGGTACGCGGCTTGTTGTCGTGGTTTGAGGCATGTTACTGACTTTTGTAACACTCCAAGGTAGGTGTAGTCTGCTAGATGAATATGCTTAACTCTGGGCTTGTATCAGATGCTTCTACATACAACTACAGAGCCTTAAGGAATGAATGTCAGCTGAGAAAGACCACACAATAAAGAAACTGGAATCTCAGGGCAGAATTAGTACCAGCTATATTGTACAAATTAACAGAACATATGTTGCATGCTGGGTGTGTGATTGTGTATGTGTGTAGGGGCGTTGAAGGTGCATAAACACAATACAATAAGTGTGTCACCAGTTGATGATTTTCAAAACAAGTCAGAGTCGTTAAATATTTTGAAGCACCTTCCTCCAGACTTCTTTAAAGGATTTACATTGGTGTCGGCTCGGGGTCCAAAGCGGTTTCGTCTGCGAGCGAGTGACGCGGGAGCAGTGGGGTCAGAATCAATCAGAGGGGGATAACATTAACAACTGCCATAAATATCAAGATACCCGATACCAGAATTTAATTCAATACCCCTGCATGTCCCCCCTGCGATCCCTCGCTGTGAGCGCGCACACTGGGCAGCTCCGCCTCCTCCTCCGCTAGAGAAGTCGCTAGATTTGTCGCAAGTTGCAGTGCCTTCTGGGACTTTAGTATGCGTCCCTTTGACCGGCGGGCTAGTTATGATTGACACATTATATTTACTTGTGAGGCCAGATATAACTGTACCAAAAACAAAGTTAGGTAGACAAAGATTAAATAAATAAAGACAGTGTGTGAATACAGAATACGAGTAGCAATATACGTCTCAGTCAGTGATTATTAACATTAGATATTAGAGTCAATTTAACATGATATGTCCTGTGAAGCACAGGGCTTGGAAACATCAGTCCTGAAGTCCCAGACTATTTTTTTTACGAGCTGCCATATTGCCACATCTTTCCAACCCCACGCCTCTAGACGGTAATGTTTTCCTTTCAGGACCGAGCTTAGATGACATCCGATGACATCATCAGGGACATTCCAAGAAGTATTCAAAGTCTCAGTAAGACTGTTAAATGGGTATTTACAATATTTGTAACATTTGTGGAGTGATCCTTCAATATTAAGTTTATTTAAACTGTAAATGTACTCCTGTTTTACAAAAATATATAGGTTTTTATAGATGCAAAATTGCATATCCATGTTGATGGATTAAGAAATGTAGAGGAGTCTCCCTTTCGAAAGTAGTGGAGTCAAAGAATACAATGGAGTGCTTGAGTAAAGGAAGAAGAACAGCAATGACACGTCCAACAATCACATACGTTATGGTGTCCACGTACCTTTGGCCACATAATGTTTGTTTGCGTGTGTTTATAGATTTGTGAAACTATATATATATGTATTCACGCCAAGTATAGTGAAGTATGTCGAGCTGTGTGTGTGTGTCTGCGTTGAGCGGGCACTCACAGGGCCTCGGTCATCTGGTCAGCTCCAGCTTTGTCACTGCATGTGAAGAGGAGAATCTGTCACTTCTAGTCCCCTCCATCCTTCCTCCTCTCTCTTTGTCTCAGTCCAGAGGGTTTTCTCCCCCCACATTCACGCGTGCGGTTAATTCCACGTCTCACTCGGCCATTACGCGTTAACTCAAACATAACAAACCGATAGTTACTGATTGCCAAGCCCATGCAATCTACCGTGCAAGCTTCCTCCACTGAACAGCGAGGTTGACCAATGGCATTGTGGGATTAGTCCGACCGATGGGCTAGGAATGTGAGGTGGGGGAGTCGAGCCTTCAATTTGTGAGCCACTCATCAAATCATCCTCGTTACAGCGTTGATCCCATTCAGGCTGTGGGTCGCTGTCAATCAGGACACAGATGGATGAAGTCTTGTTGCTAAATGCTAATGTGTGGTGCTTCAGTAGCACAAGTAGAGCGCGGCTATTGAAACAACCGAAACTTGCATCCGTTAGCCAACAATGATCCGTAAAGTTGTCAAATTGAGGATAGTGTATGTTTCATTGATAATGAATTCAACACTTTAATTTGTAATGGGAGAAAAGGGATACTTCTGTCTATCAAAAACCATAACATGATCTTGTGTTATGTATTTTCTCTACATGGTGTTATAATGGCCTGTACGACGCACACACTCAGGTCGATCTGAACAAAACAAGGTCTGGCAACGTTAAAGACTTTAAAGCCACAATGCATTTATCACAGCCCTTTCTCAAATATATATTCCGTTTATTAAGGATATTTCATTGATTGTCACCACAGAGCTCACTATATGCTAACACTGCTTCATTGCAGATGCTAACGGTCTGAGCCACAGTAGCATCACTTCACTGCTCCACAAGCGTGTTTGGAGGCATAATGAAGGAAATAATGTGGGAAATTCTGACCCGCTATACAGCCTGTGAGTTTTTACATCAGCTTGAACACATTTTGGGAACCTTGTAAGGATGATCATGTGATCGTCAGCACAAAGGAAAAGGCATAGCATGTGCAACTAAACCATGAAAGTAGCTTAGCATTAGAGTCACTAGCTTGACCCGAGCACGTTGAAGGATTACCTGACTTTAAATGTAATCAGACATATTTCGCCTGCCCTTCCGAGGTGTCACCAACTATTAGTATTCAGTTACCAAGCAGTGACAAACAAGCTTACTCTTCCTCAAGCTTACCGGTGGCCAATAATTTGTGGTTTTCAATCACAAGTTCCCTGCCTTTACTGTCATTCTGACCCCAAATCATTTAAGTTTAGGCTTAAATACATTTTCACAGTAAAATATTGTGCCATATGAAATGGGACCTCAAACGCTTTGAACTTGATCAGTATGGGAGACTTTAACCAGCAACCCTCACTTGCCCAAGGCGAGTCCTTGTGCACCGTGCTCAAAGGTCACCTGGGATTTGGCTGGATAGTGGCATTGAAGGCTGGGTGAACAGGGGGTTAAAGCATTGAAAGCCCCAAATGTGAAAGTAGAGCTCAATGATTCTGAATCCTGATGCGTCTCTTGGCCACACTTGTCCTTCAGGCACCAGGTACGTCCAGGCTGAGTTTGTTCGGTCATTTGCCGTAACCCACGGGCCATGCTGACCCGGACTACTCGTGGCCAATGCCTCAACCCCAACCGACGCCACTGACCTCAATCGGCCACTAAGGGACCTGGGAAAGGGAGTGGAATTCATATTCACAGAAAACTGGACCATCGAGTGAATTCTTCGAAGGATGATGGATGGATGTTAGACAAGATCAGATATTAAGAGATATTAGCCAAGCTAAAACAACACAGCAGTCACGGGCAACACAAATATGATTCTGTTAGCTGGCGTTAAGAATGCACACGTGGTGATGCGCAGACCCATGTGAGCTCCACAGCAAGACAAACGTATTTAACAATCTGGCCTAGATGTCTGTACATCTAGTGAATGAGTGGATATGCAAAACGTACGAGGTAACAGCTTATGTACCAACATCTATTTTCTACCACAGACAGTACAGGTGTTGGTATGAAATCTTTCCACAGTGTAGTGCCTATGTGCAGTGACTGTACTGTAGACAACAACTACATGTAGTACAACATGTTCCCCAATGTTCTTGTCTCATTTCACAATTTCCTTGTGAAATGAGACCAAAACGAAGACATGGGAATAACTGATACTAATAGAGCTCATAGAGCGGCAAGTTTTACTTTGGAAGGGTTCATTTAACACACTGAAAGCGTGGCGGAAAAGCAACATCAGGTAATATCAGTGCAGAATTTGGCTCCGTCATAACTCGCAATTCTTTTTTATTATAATATGTATGTTTGGATTTACCAGTTGTTTATATTACCCGTGATTATTTATATAACCACTTGGGGTAAACAGAGCTATCCGTTAAGGTCTTTCTACCAGTCAACAGTGGGTGCTTTTGTTCCCTACAACAAACCGTTCCTAAAGTAAATGCTGTTTTTATACTCATGTGTCATGTGTTTATGTGTTTAAAATCATCATGTGTTTTCTAAAAAGAAAACACATGATGATTTGAGTCCCTCTACCCAGATTCAGTGAGACAGTGCAGCTAACTCACTGGGTCACACTGTGTGTGTGTGTGTGTTTGTGTGAACCAGTGGCAGCTACTTACTTGATGTAGTAGGGCACGTTATTGGGGGAGGTGCCTTGCTCAAAGGGGCTCTCTACAGATCCTGCTGAGACGGAGAAACAAAAGGTCAAAACAAGCGTGCACACCGCATGCTGTTAAACTCAAACTCATTTTACTGCACGAGCGACTTCTTGAGCGCGGCCGTCCTGGGAAACATGCACACGGCAAAACTGCACATGTGTAGTGAAAAGTTTGGTTCAAAGTAATATCTGCGTGATAATGAAAAATGGCACAAAAGAGTTATTGCTCATTATCTCGTTTATCATGCCCACAAGAGTTGGCTGCAGCGGGCTGTGCTCTGTGGGAATAGTCAGCACGCTCGGATTGCCCCTCCGAACCAATCGGATGACGAGGCTCAAGCTACCCGCTGTAATAGCGTTATTGCGCCCCGCGGGTGGAATCTGCTGCGGTTAAAAAAACAGCAGTGCTTCGAGGGACACATGTGGTGCATACCAATGCAGAAAAACGTGTAGAATCTCACATCATCCCTCATTGTACTACTGATTGTGCCCCAATCAGACTCTAACTGTCCTGTTACATTTGCTTATTGCTGAGTGATTAGGCGAGATGAAACATTCATATATGAGACAATAGGACATGATTTCTTTCACTTAGGTTTTGTACTGTGGATATCATGTTTTGTAGATGTGGTTGTTGTTCTGCCACCCTTTCCCTCCTTTAACGCAATATGTCATCAAAGTCTAATTTACATCGTAATTGTTCACTTTCTTTATTTATTTCACGCCCCCCCCACTGTGGATTATGAATTATAAAACCGCCACGAGCGTCATGTGATTAAACTAGAGATAATTGATAAGAAAAAAGCAGCTAGCTGTTTAATGAGCGGCGCCAGGTGGACATTAAAAAGGGGAAAAAAACATGCTTATGGTCTCACATTGTAATACATAAACAATCTGCAATGTTTAACGGTTTCTAAGGGTTAGTTTCCTCATAATACTACAGGACCTGCGTCCAATTACTTAGTCTTTTTAAAAGAATATAGTCATGGAAAAAGAAGCGGGCAGCTCTTTGCGGCTTACATTAGTTAGCCCAGTGTTCTTTTTTGAACTCTGCACGGGAAGAGGAGGACACGGCCGCTGCCCTTTCATTCAATGCATCGATCCATGATGAACTTAAATCCAAATGTGAATGTGAAACGAATGAGAGCCTCCCTCATATTGGCTGCAGCCCTCTGTTATGAACACGTTTCATAAACAGATCGATTACGCCGTCGTAGGCTTGTTGAAGAGTTTTCCCTCTCCCTCATCAATGCACCAGACTGCATGCAGGGAGATTTGTGTGCGTTTCACTCACCGTGCAGAAGGACAAAGTCCCTGTGAGCGTCCGTCAGCTGCTTCAGATGCTCATTGACGGACAGCTGACAGAGGAAGATGGAGAGAAAGACATTTAGACAGACTGATGGAAATCAATGGGTACTGTAGTGAGGACGCAACTTTCTGCTTCCTCAAAGTTAGGAATGGCTTTATGCAATGGCAGGAGTGATTTTGTGCGAGTATCGCTGTGAACCATGACACGTGATGTGCCCAAAGAAAAAAGAAGAGTACAAGGGTGGGCGAGATGGAGGGACCGGTTGGGGAGGAGGCACAAAGACAAGCATGGAGGAGATAATTGAATCTATAGTGGAGGACTTAGAGGGAGGCAGTCTCCTGTGAGCCTCCTCCAGCTCTCAATGAGCCGTCTATCTCGATGGAGTCGAGGCAATTGTGCCAAATCAGGGCCGCTCTTACGTACACACAGGGAGGAGGGAGGGGGCTAAGCCCAGTGGGCGCACACACTAGCTTACAGATTCATTCATCCAAGAAAAATACATTAACGATTCTCATTTTTAAAAATGAATTTCAACCCTCTTGGAAAAAGTCATTCGGCATTACGGCCGTTGTATAAATGAAGAAGAAGATGATAGAAGGCGTCCTATGTTAATCCCCGTGGGGAAATTGTCCTCTGCATTTAAACCATTAAACCCACACAGTGTGTACCGCCGTAAAGGCGCCCGGGAAGCAGTTATGGGTTGGGTGATGATTGAACCTTGCAATTCAAAACTACAACTTTCTGGCTGAGTAAGTAAGCTAGTTTGTGACATCACATAAGCTGTGTGGATGCAAAATCTTAAATAAGTCATCTTTGACTTGCATGTCAAATATACATATAAAAGGTAAAGTGACATTGACAATAATGCAGTTTGAAGACGACACCCTGAAAGGAGGGGATACACAGGCCGGAATGCCCCAGATCACCTCTGGACTCTATTTGGGAATACGTCTCTACCACCCTGCAACTTCTCAGAAAGAGTTGCTTCCATTACGCCTTTGTAATCTGGTGCACAAATTCACATAAAAAGGGGCCGGCACGGCCACCTGACAGCGAGCTGCGTTCTGATGAAACCACCGACGCTTCCCTGGCACGGCATTCTACGCTCTGATGTTACTGGGCGACGCGAGCGGCTCCTGCCGGCATGCAGACCTTTGACAGACACTGATTAGCTGCTGAAAATAAAGAAGAACCATCGAAAAGCTCTTAGACGGCTCAACTTCGCTTGATAGGAGTCCTGCTGCCGAGGGACCGAGATGCGTTATTATTACTCGGTTGGAGCGGACCGCTGATGGATGTGCCAACCTTTCATCCACGCCACAAATAAGTTGGGCCGCTAATGAGATATTGTTGGTATGGAACGGATGAAGATAATGAAGGCACAACAACGATGACCAGCCTTTAATGTGACATGAAGCCAAACGATGAAATTACCTTTGAGTCCACCTCACTCAATCCATTTCTGTCTGAGTGGTTTTTCCCCGTATCCATGGTGACCTAAATAGAATTGTACAAACAAGAGGTGCGGGATTGTTGAGGGGGAATTCGTTAAAATGAGCCAGAGTGCACCGTGTCTCCGCACCAACCAGTCAGCTTCAACTCTTTTCGGTACGACAGACCTCTGGGAACCTACTGAAGGTGACCCGAATGCACCCACACACACACACACACACACACACACACACACACACACACACACACACACACACACAGCCGTACCCCAAATTTCTGCCACATTTACAAAACATGAAAGCAGAAACACATATTGGACACGGAGCAGGCACAAGCCCACTTGGACCCACACACACACACACACACACACACACACACACACACACACACACACACACACACAGATATCCCATCCATCACCCTGCCGATAAAAGTGAGGCCAATATTCCCGGGGCAAACCTCCCGCTCTCAATAAACCACCTGCAACGGAAGCAGACTTTTGAAAAGCTGGCTGTTAAATCCCCTTTTTTCTGTCCAAATTAAATACTCAGCTCGTTTCTTACCATTTTTTTATCCGCTCAGGCCTGTGAAAATGATAAAGTATCTTGCGGTTTCCCACGACAGCTGTATTTACAAAGCCATTAGAAGTGAAGGATGAAAGTAAGAATCCTTCCTTTTTATTCCATACACAATACACCAACAACACAATCATCTCACAATTTATCCAAAACTGGTATTGCACCATCAACTGTTAAGTTTCTAAAAGCCATTCCTCTTTTAGGGAGCAGTGTCTACCATGACAAGGTGTGTCCAAACGTTTGATCGGTACTGTATTTACTTCTTTTTTCAATGCTTTTTTCCACCGATGTCTGTCTACATCCGCTATCCTGGTGTTCCCGCCTTCCCTACAAGAAAATGTGTGGATGTGTGTGTGATAGCATCTGGTTGGGCACTAACTTTAGAGACACTGGCCGTCTGGTCAGGTCAGTGCGGTGTCATCGCGGCGGCCATCTTGGCCTGTGGATCCGTCACATCCCTCAGCCCCTCTGGCAGCTGATTGGCTCTGGGTGTCGTCCCCGGTGATAATCACTGTCTGACTAACCACCGGCTTCATTGAGACCGATAGCCGCGCGCTGCCTCATATCACACCTTGTGTGACTACACTAACACACATATGCCAACAGGTCCACACACTCTTTTACGTGTGAATGCAAGTGTGATAGAGTCCTGCAAGGGATGCACCACCCAATGGATTGTTGACATCATCCGCTCCTAGAATGGTAAACCTATGATAAAAAAGTGTAAGAACTACTTTGGGGATGAAGGGGACCCCCCTGTGAGTGCTATGTGTAAAAATCTGTTTATATGTTTCTGGTGAGGAAATATATCAATATTAGAATTGAAATTTTGAAAATTGCCTCAAAAAATGTCCTAAACATCCCAATAAATCCTATAAAACGTTGATAAACAAGGCTAAACATCTACATCTACGTGATAGCACTGTGTGTTGACAGTAAACATGACAAGTTTCACGTTGATAAGAATAAAGTACTCTAGAGAAGGCTTTCTCACGCCAGACGAACGGCACAGCCAAAAGGCCCTTTTCAAAGATATTCACTTCACTTCTCCTTGCTTGAAACGCCCCATTTCACCGCTTGTCTGGCTCGTCGGATATCACTGAATACAACAAAAGTGACGCGCAAATGATTCACAGCTTCCCCAGCTACTCAGAAGACAAACTGGGTATAGCGTTAAGTGACGCTCAAGATGTTTGATTGGCTGTAAAAACTGACAACCGAAGCCCCCTGACGACGATAGAGAGAGAGAGGAGTAAGAAAGATGGTGCAGGCTGTAGTCCATTGCAAAAACACAGATTAATCCATCATATCTGTGAAAAGGCAAGATATTTTTATGATTTCTCAGCTTCGATGGCTTTTGGTTTTGTACTATAAGTTCGGCATGGTTTGTCGGAGAGAAAATGATACACACTCCCCGGATTCAGCACAATCTCCCCCAGCTCTGTGTGGTGTCATTTGCAACATTTAGCAAAAATTGTTCAACTGTTGTACCGCTGAGTGCAAAATTTCTGGACTAATTTGCATGGAATATATTTTTACTCTTAGTCCACTGACTAAAGTTGTGTTTGTAGAAATAGGATTTCTGCTTATTGTAGCTGTGTTCATGCTGTACCCCTTTGTTCTGTTCTGGTTATTGACACATATCTGATTCATCCGCTGCGATGGCATGGTGGGTATTGTACTTGTATACTATTGTACTTGCATGGTTTGTCTGAGATATGAACGGTATCACTAGATTCAGGGTGATCTGCTAATGCTGTTTGGTGTGTTTTTTGCCATTATAGCATTTACCAGCGTATGCATGTTTGGACTAATTTGCATAGTATATTTAACACAAAACTGACTAAAGATGTGTTTGGAGCATTTTCATATGAATCATTGCATATTGTAGCCAGGACTCTAATGCTTCAAACCGCAAAATATATTGATGTATTCTAAGGCATGAACAAATGGCCAAGAAGAGTATTCGTGGGGGGAGACTTTTCTTTTCTTTCTCCCAAATTCTAACCACAATGAAATAGTAGAGCCCATGAAAGGCCGTGTCTGTGTGTTTAATCACAGGCTCTCTGAGCTCTGCGGCGGGCAGGTTGGTGCAGGTTTTGCAAAGCTGGACTCCTGCCGGGCTCTATTAGAAATAGTCAGGGTAAATAACGCTACCGTAGTTCAACTAGTGTCATCATTCTTCGACAAAGCCATGGATTTCTCCTCTGATGCTTGTACAGTACATATTCCCATTAGATAGAAGCATCCGTATGCGTCCATACCTGCAGCAGCCTCCAGCGCGTGTTGAGATCTTCGATGCGCTCCAGGTTGCCGGGCGACAGCTGGATGTCGGGCGGACCGTAAGTGGACGCCAAGTGGTTCATGTGCGTTACGTCGTCCTGAATCGGAGCGATCTCCTCCTGGAACTCCTGGAACACAGACGCACGTTCAGCATGAATTCGGGGTCATTTGTATCGGGCTGCATTGTTTAAAGTGCGGAGATGACATTTGGGTTGTTGGTAGTCCCGCCTTCAGTCAGAACAAACTGATGGACCGTCATGTAAAGTCCAGTTATTTAGCTTGTTTAATGTTTGCAGATTAATGTTTGAAGATTACTCTTCTCTGTCTTCCACTTTAAGCTGTGATGCGTGCAGCGTAAGTGGAAAGTAATGTACATCTGTGACTGTAACACGTGTTTTTAAAATAGGCCGTGGCAACATTTACAAATAGTAAACAGTATGTCATTCTCAAATAAGTATTCTGATCTTGGTACATTTACTAGAAATGGGGGCCAAGCCATGTGTGGCTATGGACGCTCTGGGTGGTATGCTCGTTCTCATTGAGGCTACTATGAGGATAGCAGTTAGCTTAGCTAACAATCAAAGAGTCACCAGTGTCTTAACCGTAATCTCACTTCCTGTGGGTGAGTGGGGAGCACGGTCGTCCTCCAATCAGAGGGTTGTCGGTTTGATCCCAGGCCCCGCTAACCCGCATGTTGTTGTGTCCTTGGGCAAGACACTTAACCCAACATTGCTCCTGTAGCTGCAACTACAGTGTGTGAATGTTAGTTACTGATGGGCAGGTGTCACTGTGTATGGTTCTGTCATCAGGGTGTGAATGATGTCATGTAGTGTTAAAGCGCTTTGAGTGGTCAGAAGACTAGAAAAGCGCTATACAAGTACAGGCCATTTACCATTTACCATTCCTTTGAGTTGGATCTAATTTGTTTTCTTTCATCTGTTGAGTTCCTTACTTGTTTTCCATCTGTAAGTACAGGTGGTTTGTTTCGCTTAAGTACTCAATGTTCTAAAGTGGACAATTATTATTCTTTCCTGCCGGACACCTTTCAATTTCTCCATGTACCCTAAACACAACACATTTATCGTCGTATCCCTCTCCCTTTGCCTCTCGCGGGCCGCCCTCATACTTTTGAAGCAAGCGTCATTCTGTCCGACCTTGACTCTGTCAATGTGCTCCGGCAGGGAGGCGATCAGCAGGGATTCATCCACAGGTTCCCACGACTCCTTCACCATCGCGGCCTGCCGCAGCTGCCCGTCCAGCAGGTCCTCCGCCTCCTGGAGCTCCATCAGCCTATCCAGTGCCAGCTCCAGCCTCCTCTGCCAGTCGTCCGAATCGCCGCTAAGCCCGTCCCACCTGGTCGCCAAGTCGTCCGCCTCTTTGCGGAGGACTCGGCCGACGTTCTGGGCGCGCTCCTCAGGGCTGATGCCTAAGGGAGGGCAGGATGAAGAGGTCTCGGATTAACATCTCCGGGGGCAGCAGATACTGGATCCTTAAAGAATTTGCAAACCTACAATCCCTTATGTTTCTGCCCTGATTCATCTGATATATATTTATATTGCCGGGAAGTAACGAAAAAGGGATTTAAATAAAATAAAATGGACCTTTGATTTAGTGTTGATTTCATTTTTTAAAACCCCACTGGAGAGTGTTTGACGGAACCCTGTGGGCCCGGCTGCAATGCACAGCATAACACGGCCATTAAGGGGGAACCTGCTGTTGTTCAATTGAATGTCTTCACCTGGGCGAACTCAAACGTGATGAAGACGCCATATTCTCAAAAAGAATTCAGCGTTTTAGGTGTCTCCGGGCGCCGCCAGTTGGAAGGCAGAGAGAGGAAGTGAGTTCACCCTTTCTCCTCCGTGTCCCCCGAGTGTCTCTGAGTGCCAAGGCCACAGTTTAAGTTCAGCTGCCTTCCATGAGCCTGGTAACCGGGCTGCCACCATGGTGAACAGGGAAGTCAGTGTGTGTGTTTGTGCATTAAGGCCTGTGTGTGGTTATTACCAAGCTGTTACTAAGGTCCAAAGATCTCCGTGATCCACCTTATCAATCGATCTTTAAAATAAAACTTTATATATTTCTCCTCTTGCTTGTAGTGCCATTCATCAATCTAGATTATTTGGTGTGATTTAGCACAGTGTTGTGTCTTATATAAATATAAAAACAATCAAACTATTTTCCGGAACGAAACAAATCAAACCACAATCACATGACTTGGCCCCCCCCCACTCAGCTACATGATGGACCTGAGTGATGACGTTTAGTTACGTGGTACCAATAACCTCTTTAAAAATACGTAAAGGCTTTACAATTCTACTACACAACTATGTCGTGGAACACAATGTTAGAATCTCATACGCTTTGATTCAACCAAAGGCCCAATAAACAACACACAGACTTTGGGAGGATGGAACAGGAAATGCAAAACATGTTAGCTCAGTACTCTCTTTTTACTTATTCCTGCGGCATTCTGTATGCAGACACTTGTGTGTGTGTGTGTACCCCTCTGCTCAGGAGACGGCGTGTCCCTGGGCAGCCCAGACAGAAAGACTTCCACGTCGTCCAGAGCCTTGGTGACCACTGGCTCTTTGGCTCTCAATTCCCTCCTGAAGCCCTGTGACAACACACATGCACACACGCAAAAACAACACATGAGAGGATTTCTCAATGAACGCTGTTGCCTTTTATTGAAAATAAGGAACTATAAAACATCCCCAGGAGTCAACACATCTTATGGCATATGTTTTTGAAGCATTGGTAGAATGATGCACACTGTAGGATTCAATGGTTTGTCTCCCCTCATTTTAAAACGTGTCTGGATCTATTATGCAACGCTTTGACTAAAAGCCTTTTCACTAATGCATACCTACTACAATTCCACACTTTGAGACTCATAGTTTTACACATGAAATGAACAAATCAGCAAAGCCATTAATCTCGCTTTTGTATTTTCCCTTTTTTGCATAAAATGAGTTTCCTTTAACCTGTTCTTGCGTTCCCTTTCTTGTGAGCCGCGGGATGTTAGTCAGAGGGACATTAAGTCTGCTTTTACAACAGAACACCAAATCTTTTGTCATGAAAGGATCAATTAGGCTCTTTCTGTTGTTTGCCTGCTGAGCTGAAGGTTCTGAGGCGTGTTCTTTTTATTATGACTCAGCATGGATAATTAGCAAGTGAGAATCCCCGCTGCGCAAGTCCCTGTGGATGTGCATCCTTGGGCAATGATGTGTTCTGATACCATCAGACGCCCAATTGTCCGATAGCAAAAAACAAAAAGTTCACGTTGCCACTTTCCATTGACTGGTTGGTGGACATGCGTGTGTGCCGAGGTGACCCCTGGGCCAACAAGACAACATGAACATGTGACTGAAGACTGATCTGTCAAATGAGTAAAACGTACACCAGAATTGGTTCGGAAAAATGCATCTTCATATCAAATTTAGTGCCTCAGCTTTTGTTTGAAAGGCAAAGAACACCTTAATTTACTCTGGAAAAAAAACTATGGCCCCAGAGTCAGCAGCTTCTCGAATTCTTTGACCCGAGACGCTGCAGAGACAAGTGTCCCACGTGTGTGTGTGTCCTCCTACCCGGTGCGTGTCCAGCTGTGACTGCACGGCGGGCACGTCGCCCCCGACCGGCGACTCCTTCTCCAGCTGTTGACTTCTCAGCCGAAGCCAGTTGAGCAGCTCCTGCAGCGACATGTGGAGCCTCTTCCACGGGGCCATCTCAGAGTCCAGGTGGGCCCTTGGGACACAAATCCCAGTTGTTGTCGTCTGTTATGCTCCAATCAAAACTCCCAATGAGGGTTCCGGGGGCCTTACCTCATGCCGAGCGTCTTTTCACGCAGGTCGCTCCACCGCTGTCTCATGTTGTCCAGACGTCTCTGGAGCAGAGCCCCGTCCTCCGAGCCCCCGAGCGAGGCCACGATCCTCTGGCCGTTCTCATCCAGGGAGTGGTACAACTCCGTCTGGCTGTCGATCTCCACCTGAAGGTCCTGGTGAGAGAGCAAGAGAGAGAGAAACACACTAAAGCCTGGTTTATGCTTCTGCGTTTTCAGAGCGACGCAGACGCAAGACCCCCTTGCGTGTCCCTTGCGTCGCTTTTCACACCTCCTTGCGTCCTTGCGTGTGTCGAGACATTTTTCTAGGCTTGCGTCGCTTTCGACGCAAGCAACGCAAGCCTCCCGCAGCGCACCAGTTGTGATTGGTCTGCTAACTGCGTCCTTTACGGAGTCTCACATTTCCGCTTTCATAGCCCGATACCGCCATTATTAAAACAAAGAATGTTTACAAGAGAACGGATCAGATTTAAGAACTTTTGTCGGATGAAATTCATAAATATGAATAAATATGGGTTGGATTCACGGAGGGAGATCGCCGCAAACGCCGGTTTGCCGGTCGAGAGGTGCACAAAGTTGTGGAGGAAAATACGGGACAAATGTGTCCGCGATGAAAAGCAGCAGTGGCGATGCACGGGGCAATAAAGTCTATGATAAATAAATATACAAATGAATAAATAGACGTGACTCTCTAGGTCGTCTTCAACAAAACCCGTCACTCCGCCTGGCGGTGAATTGCTCTGCAACACACGCAGAACCATGAATTGAAACGAGAGCGTCAACGCAACAACGCAGACGCAAATGCAGAAGCATGCACCGGCCTTAAGAGCAGTAAACCCTGTTGGAGCACACGGTTCATTTTCTTGTTAACAGTGGCCTTCTTTCAGTAAATTGGTCCGTCCACCGCTTGATCACGTAGTGATATGATCAGGATCGGAGAGAGCATTTGAAGGGAGCACCAGGATTGAGCCGTAATGCAGCGCTGTGCTGTGGATGGAGCCCTTCATGATGTGTTAGTCAGGCTGGAATCAGCAGGACTGATGTGACCCCACCTGTGTCCAGCTCTCCAGCAGGCAAGGCATTACTGGAACTCTTAAAGGAGCTGTGCTTGACATTCGGAGCATTAACATGGCGGCAAACCGCTTTTATCTATGTGACGATTAAGTGCAGTAGGCTCCAACCCTGCTGTGTTTTTTGCTCAGTCCAAGCACCATGCCTTTTCTGTCCGAATACCTTAAAACAGATTCTTCATTCACGTGGGGAATCGGCAAATCAGCAAAAGAGGCGGAACGCATTGGGTGAAATGCGTTCTGGGAACCCCAAAGTTTACACTGGTTTAAAGTCAACCTGTGAACAAGCCACTCGTGTTAGAAATCCGTTTATACGTGTCTTCTGTTGACTTCAATCTAGCAAACTTAACTTGCCTATAGTTTGTAAATGATTGGAAGAATCCCAGATGGTAGAAGAGACATGGACAACAAAAGGATAACTTATTCAGCTCACCCTGGCCCTTTTTATTTGGTTTATGTGTAATTGTATTGTCATTGTCCTTTCCTACTTGCCTTTCAGTTGGTGTGGATTTAGCTCACAGATTTTTGTTCATATGAAAGGCACAAATGCCAACAATGTGACAAGTTCCATGTTGCAGAAGCAAAGTGTGTAAAACTGCCCCAGGTGTGGCACATCTTAACTAATGCAATTTATAGGCTAATACTTAATACACTTAATGATTAGCTACATTTTATATCGGACGCATGGCACATTCTTCCTGAAATAAACCCCCCTCGATTTAGAAAAACAATGCCTGTTTGTTAGAGAACATGCCTCCATTGTCATTCCCAACCTGAACATGGTAGACCTTCCTTCGCAGCATCCTCGAAAAACTTTACTCTGGAATCCACAAAAGGAGAATGTCACGGCGGAGAAGAAGAAGAAGCATCATCTTCTGCTTCTTCAAGTCCCTCGAGATTATCACTCAACGTGACTGCATGAGCGTGCCCTCTGCTCAAATGAGTGTGGCAAAGAGAGGGATCGGGGAGGGAGGGAGAGTCCAGAGAGCCCACCAAAAAAATGGAGATGGAGTTCTCGGGGGTGTGAGTCGGTACGAGTTTGAAAAGAGGCCGAGGACAAGACGAGGGGAGGAGAGAGGCAGAGAGAACTTGAAAGGGTGCATAAACTATGAGTGCGCTCATTTTCCAATTAAACGTTATCTGCATTCAGTGCCCCTGTGTGTGTGTGTGTGTGTGTGTGTGTGCGCTCCCTGGATGCTACGCTGCGTTGCTGCCCGCCATTATAATTGGACACAGAAGACTATCTCAGCTCTGCCTACAGTGCTGCTGTTGTATTGACAGTGTGTGTGTGTGTGTGCGGGCGCGTGTGTGCAATAGGAAGTGTGCCTCTGAAAATTGATTTCCAAAAAATTGCGGGTTTGCGGGTTTGCAGCATATTGTGTGTGTGTGTGTGGGTGCAGGGTGACGGCCGGGGGTCGAAATATGTTCTCTTGCAGAACAGAGCCTTCCCTTTAGCACCCACAATGCAGTGTGGGCGGGGGGGATTTTTACATTTGTCTGCCAGACAGCGACCAGCCAATAAGATGTCTCTATACTACTGTGTCAGCATTCCTGTCATGCCAGCCGGGGTGGGCAGTCGAGAAAGACAGGAAGTCCTATGTCCCTGGGTCACAAACTGGAATATATACTGACTGTCTGATGGGTCACATCTGACAAAATATTAAATTCATTAACATCCACTACTACTCAAATTTGAAAGAAGATCTCTGAGAATACACACAGATACAAAGATTCATGACGTCCTCACATGATGAAATCATCATGAAATGAAAAAGGATTTTTCTTTTTCAAGCAACCCAAAATCCAATAATAAAGACATTTCCCTCACAGTTGATGCGCACTTTTTTACTCTTATAAAGTAAAATAAAATAAAAATTAAAGCAACTATTTTCCTATACCCACTATTTCCTTGTATATATATTTTGCATACAACCTTTGTTCCACAACTTTGCCATGTCGATAACTAGCCTGACCTCTCCTGTCAACTTTAGGAGTATATCATTTCAGGTCCTTTTCATAAAATCAAAAAGTCAATGTCCAAAAGAATATTAGTGAGTACAGGGTGAATTTCATCATTCGTACATTGCTGACAGGACGCCTCACATGGCACAACCTGCCCATTTGTATCATTCACACACAGCACAGGCACAGCAACCAGAGACTATTTTGCGGTCAAGTGCTTTGCCCGAGGACACTAGTGGAGCCGGGGATTGAACCCCCGACCCCGATTAAAAGGCAACCCTGATCTCCACTGACCCACAGTCACCCACAAGGGAGTCAAAATGGTCATCGGGTTTGTTGAGTTACAAATGTGCTTCAGCTGAATTTCATGCGCGTCCCTGTGTTGTACGATGAGTGGAGGATCATTTGCGATATTTTGCTAGTTGCTGCACATTTGTAAAATTCTATCTTCAAAGATGATACTTTTTTTTCCTCACCTACAGGTTTCCGACAGTAAGATTTTGAGCAGTTTAGTGCTAAAAAGCTTTTGTTTAGTTGTTTCCTCTTCTGTTTTACGCAAGCAGCAGGAACACAAATCACTGCGGAGTGTCCAGCTGGGCAAAAGCCTCCTTCACTTCAAAGGAATACAGACGTGATGCATTACATCGGGACTTACCTTCCACTGTGCCAGCAGGTTCCTGGCAGCCTCCGGCTGCTCCTGCATCCTCTCTTTGTTGGTGGCGTCTATTAAAACATTGCAGGTGGTCTCAGCCTCCGTCAGCCAGTTGAGGAACTTCTCCAAGTCGAGGTAGGACTGCTGGAGCAACTTCAGAGCCGCCTCCAGAGCCGCCTCCCGGTCCGAAACTCTAGAGGGACACACAATATGAGACGCACATTACCCAGGTGGGCTGACAGTGCACATTTATTCTAAGCTTCATTTTATTTTAGGTTCTAAAAATAAAAGTGGGGCGAATACAGAGCTTTGTGGTACACCATTCAGGCGCTTCGGGTCAGAGAATTGAACATCCCTGGAATAATCAACAATGTAAGGTTTTAGAGTTGGACTCAAGTTCAGGAACGAGTTTCAAAAAAAGGTAGAACAGAATTCCTGCAGAATTAAGATGCTTAAGGAGAAAGTCAAAAGAAGTAGAACAAAAGTCTGAATCATGTTACAAACTATTATCTAAAAAGACATAAAAAAGAGACTGGAGGGGTTGACTGGGGAACCAGTCATAAAAATCTGACAAGTTGTCACACAAGTTTGTTATACACTAGGGAGGTGCAGGTGATGAGACACGAGAGAACTCAATCGAGGGACGGGGCCGAGCATCACACACAGGGTAGGAAGTAAAGTGAACGCAGGACACAAGAGGCAGGGAAATACAAAATAAAACAGACAATTAAACAACAGTTCTATCTTCTTTATCTTCTGGGTGATTCATTGGCACACACCATAAACTCATGAAACACAAGGCCTCATGTACGTACGTACGACTGTTTGAAATGATCCTGATGCCAATAATTGGAATATAGCAAAGAGTTTAACAATTGCAGGAATGGAATGTGAACGCTGAGTCAGATATGCAATGTCATGTCTGATTTCTTCCAGTAACTGTAATATTGCATGTCTGCTTAATCTGTACCGCGTAATGATTGTGTGTTCACTCAAACTTTACGCATCCCCTCCCATCTCTTTATGGGAAACTCACACTTTCCCATCGACCCTCCCGTGAATGCATATGCATGACAGGGAAGGCGCAATTTGCCATTTTCCGTTTCAGCAACAGACAGTCTGCACTTCCACCATATTGCGGATTGTTTGTACATACCTCGCCATGTACACGAACATTCCTCTATCACTGTCTGGTACGCTGCAGCCACAATCAAAGACAAGGGCAGGCTGCAGCGTGTCATCCGCTCTGCAGAGAGGGGGATCTCTCCAGGACTGGTTCGCTTCAAGGACCCTGAAGCAAGCTAGAAAGATGTAGCCAACCCCTCCCACCCTGGACAAAATCAGTATGTCTCCCTTCCATCTGGCAGGAGGCTGCGGTCCATCAGGACCAAGACCTCCCGCCACACAACTAGTTTCTTCCTGTCAGCAGTCGGGCTCATCAACAAAGCCCGGGCCCCCCACCACCCCACTCCCTTCACATGCACATACGCTCTTGTCACTTGTCACTTTCACATACACTCACAGCACAGTTGTGTAGAGTATCTGTGCGCTGGTGCACTTTATTTTTAACTTTTTATTTTTTAACTTTTATTCCTTTATACTTAAATTGTATATTCTATATCCCCCTAACCCATAGTCTTATATTTTATTTAATTCCTCTTGCACTATGTTGTCCTATCTGTCTTGTTGTCTGCTTTTATGCACCAAATTCCTTGTATGTTTGACATATTTTCATAACAAATGCTTTTACGCGCGCGTTACGAAACAAATATGCCTGAATTGGGCACAAAAGCGTTCATGAGGCCCAGTGTTATATTTTGTGATGTCATGAGAGCTTTGGTCATCAATGGGAGGTACATCCATCTACCCATCTACCTATTCAGTGTTCTTACCGCCTGTTGATGTGCGTCCAGGTGACCACCATGTTGTCGTTGACCTGGATGACCTTGTGCGTGTCGTCATTAGCGTAAAGTGTCAGCAGCTTGCCAGCCAATGCGTTGGTTTCATCCACCTGACCCTGCCACTGCTGCAGCTCCCTTGCAAAGAGCTAAGGAAGAAAGGGACAGGGGCCAAGAGGGACACTTACCAACTGGAAGAACTCTCGACTTGTGTTTAATTACAGTTAATAATCACCCTAAAACCGAGATTTGAGCATGAAAGATTTCTCCCCGACCTTTAGCTCTGCATTTTGTTTCTTCAAGGTGTCCACCGTGTACGTGATTTCCTGCCAGCACTCCATCCTCTCACTGGCCCGCTTAACGAGGGGATCCACCCCCTTCTTGGCGTCCAGCCAGTCGGTGGAGTCCCGCTGCATGCTGTGGACCTGCTTTGTCCTGTCGTAGAGTTTCGTCTGGGAGTCCTCCCAGTGAGTCTGAAGCCTGTCAACTACGATGACCGGAAACATATGTATATGTATATTACAGTAGCACATTCAACAACTGTGTTCAGTCTAAGCTGGAAAAGAACTACGAGATCAACCAGAGATCATAGCTACAGCTCGCTGTGGTCTTTGCACAAGCATGATCTGATGTGGTGGGCGGTGGGATACTGCGTACCCATTTCATTGGTCAACACTACGTTTGGTTGGGGAATTTTGCGCGCAAACAAGCATACAGTGTTAGCCAAAATCTGCACTAGCCAGGTCCAATCATTTAAATTCACAGCTTTCATCATAAATAGCATGCGCAGACTCAGTAAATATCTGTGCGTGGGACATACTGCGTTCAGTAATAGCGTTGCGGGTCTCCTGGTTGCTCGTCTTGTTCTTCAGGTTCTGGGCTGCTGTAACCTGTCTCTCCAGGAGGGGACGCCGCTGGTCCAGCTCCTGCATCGTCACCTGAAAACACCAAAAGAAGGTCCATATTTTTGCATCTGTTAGCAGGGAATCAGCGCCTTGTTCACAGATCACAGCTTCCTGCTTCCATGCAGGCTGGGAGGGTCTGACCTTGAGGCTATTGATGTTGTCGTCGATGTCCTCCAGGTCGGCCACCACCACGCGCTTGTTCTGCACCATGTTGTCCAGCATGGTCAGCCAATCGGTGAGCTCAGCCCAGGACTTGTTGAACTGAGCCAGTGCTGCAGAGTCAGGCAGGGAACTCCCTGTCAGACTTTCATCTGGGACACACACACACAACTTTTAAAATCACACTTATTTATGTCAAGTTATAGCACAGTTCCTGCAGAGATAAGATCAATGCAGAAGTGTCCTCAAAATTGCATTCTCCCTACTGACCACAAGGGGGCGACTGAAAGGTTGCGGAAAGAAGTGTGGTTGTATGGAAGTCTATGGGAAATAGGCAAACTTCTCACTTGATTCTTTAACAGTAAACACTGTGTTAATATTAGTTTAGCAAAGCAAATAAATTGCCCGACACTAAATGCGAAAGCCAATCAGTGTTTAGATCCTCCGTTCGTCATCACCGCCGTCCGGCTTCCAAAGCGTGAATACACTTTATGAAACTCCCGCTCACCGACAGGCACCGAGACACAGGCGCTTCGCAGCTGAGCCTGAACGCCTGTAAGTTAGTTGGTGTCTGTCCGAGAGACGCTGGCACCAAGCCGACACAACAGCTGCTAGTCAGCCAGTCATCCACTTCCTGGAGGAGTCGGTGAAATTGAAGCTGTGTGCGGTGCCGGATGATGTCATGAACCTAAACACAACACCGTTTGCGGTTCTGACGTTTGTGTAATTTACACAACAAATCAGAGCAGAAATAGTGGTTATTTATTTCTATGGTGGATAGCGGAAATTATTATAACTGTCTCTATGGAGACGAGCTACTGAGATAGCGGGACGAAAATTTGCTTCGCTTTTGGTGTGAAGTCTTGCTATGTATGTTGGGAGGACAAATATATATGTATATAGTAAAGGTTTACATAAACTCACAGAAAAACCTTTGGCTGTTGTAAAGGACACTATAGGCAACATGTATATAGACATGGAGTTTTAAATTTAATTTTTAATTTCGATTACTTGTCGCTGCATAAGTGTGTGTGGGGGGGCGTACTAAAAAAGCAATAAACACAGTTTGAAAATTGAAGAAGAAACTGATCCACGCTGGTGTATAGCGCTGGTGAAGTGTGGAAACCATCAAAGCATTACTGCGATGGAGAAGATGGAGTCTTACTGGCTTTCTTGGCGACTAGCGGCACCGCCATCCTCTCATTGTGCTGCCGCACCAGCTCCAGGATCACAACCCAGTCTTCCCTCAGGTGGACGTACTTCATCTGACGCCACACGCACACAGAGTTACACATCAATGGATTTCTACTGATCCAACTGCTGCTTTTTCTCATTTCCTTACCTTGTCCGGTTGGCCGTGAGGACCTTCCTTGTACAGCTGATCGGCCCGTTTCAGAACCGACTCCACTTCTGGCTCTTTGACCTTCACTTCCTCGATGAGCTGCAGGAATGAACGAAAAGTTTCACCTCTCAAAACCGGGGCACTATTGCGGCAGTGTGTGCGCGTGTGTGTCTGTGTGTCTGTGTGTGTGTGTGCGTGGCCTCACCCTTGCAGGCGGATCCTCCGGGCCGTGCTGCAGCCTTTCCCTACAGCTTGCCGCCCAGGCCGAGAGGGCGTCGAGTTGAGCCTGAAGCTTCTCCAGCTCCCTCAGCAGAGCCTCGAGCTCCAGCTGCCGCTCAGGCAGAGCCTCGGACACCTGGACGGGAACAGGATTCATTTATCAGGGAAAACATTCTTGTTTTCAAAAATTAAAAAAAAGAACGCATTTAAATTGAATTCAACTTTTTAATTAAGATTGTTTTGTTTTCGGTAAAGAAAAAACGTTTCCGAACATAATTGTATGCACCTTTCATACAGGTTGGCTGAAAAGGTTTTGCCAGTTTGGGGGGAAAAAAGTTTAACTTTTGGATTTGATAACGGCGGAACGCATCCATTTGTGAGGTATATTGTGCGTTAGCAGGTTGTTCCGATTAAAGCATACCGAGAAAAAAACACACATTCTGTTAGTTGTATTTATAGAACTTCAGCTTCTCAAGCTCATTTTGTCAAAAGTAATTTTGTTTTCACTTGTTCTTAAGGCAAACACAAGTGAGAAAAACATTTAGACAAAACATGGATCACCACATTGTTTTGGACTCTTGTATCGCTCTGAAAAGATGAACACTTTGTAATCTGATATCCGTAGTGTTCACAGCTAACCTGAGCCCAGCGAGTGCCGATGATCCTGATGTCTCTCTGTCTCTCAGCAGGAAGGGATATCTGTTTGTGTCGGTAGTTCAGAACCTCCATCGCCGCCCTCTTGGCAGGTAGCTCGTCCACATGTGCCTAAACCACACACACAGGCACACAAGCACACACACACAAAAGTCATACAGGCTGCAGAAATAATACAACAGCAGCTTAATGTAGAACAAAACCTCTTTCAATCTCATTATCTACACTAACAAAACCCAACACACACCGACCCACACTAACAAAACCAGATTTTCAAGGTTGGATTTGGTCGGTCTGCATGCACATACACAAACACACTCTGGATGGATACCTGGACTTTGCCCAGAGTGTCTCTGATGTGCTGCGGCTCAGCCGGCTGCAGAGGGGCGGCCAGGACGCCCTCTGCTCTGTCCAACCAGCCCAGCATGGATCCCATGTGTTCCTGCAGCTCGGCGGTCGCTGTGCGCGCCTCCGCTGACCTGCACGAGGCGAGGGGGCGGCGGCATGAGAGAGAAAAAAACAGAAAGAAGGAGGTGAGACCAGCCAACGTGAGACGGCTGTGACGAGTATGCTGACAGAACATTCCGTTGAAATTAAAATACACCACAGGGGACACTTGAAAATTGATTGTTAATGAAGAGCAACTTGACACACACACACACACACACACACCTCCTCTTGCGCTCGTTGAGCTGCTGGCAGACGTTGGCCCAGCGGCCGCCGAGTAGCTTGAGTTGCGTCCGGAGGCGCGACGCATCGTCTGGCGTGCTCAACTGGCTGATGTCCTCTCCTGCCGCACTCACTCTGCACAGCACCACCTCCTGAAGAGGTATGGCCTCCGTCAGGTCCTGCACACGCACACACACACACACACACACACACACAGGGGGGGTGATTAGCTTCATTGTTGGTGTGTGTGTTTACCCGATGGAAATCATTATAAGGTTTTTACTGGATTTTCTTTCTGACCTGACTAACACTCTTGACAGAACACACGGCATTTTATCAGTGTCAAAAAAACAAACAATTGCGGTGTGTTTAAAAGAGTGATTTGGGGAATAAGAGTTTATTTACTTGTGTTTGACTAATACCGATAAGCTAATAGTCTTGCAGCTTCAAAATGATGCGCAGAGACTTTGATCTCCACAACTTCTTCTATATTCCTCATACCTGCGGAGAGCACATTTAAAGGCTTTGAGTGCAGATAACTTTGTGTGGAAAAAAAAAGAAAAAGAGATCCGACCATTCAACGAGCGTGTGCCCGTACGATGGGGGATCTGGATCAGGTGGCAGCTTGTTATTCAGGGTACCAGATGGTTCTCTGTCAACCAACGATTGTTTCTCTCTCACACACACACCTACACACACCCCGGTTGGCACTTGATTGGCACTTGAGCGCCGCATCCTCGTCTGCACAGATGGACACTGCGATCTGATCACAGCAGCCCAAAGTGAAGTGGGCATGTCTGATAACATGGAGTGTTGGTTACAAAGTAACGCATTACTGTAATTCCACTACTTTTAGCGCTAACGAGCATGTAACGAAGTATTTTTTTAAATAAATTAACGCAGTTACAATTACTGAAATTGAAATGAGTTTGTTACTCGCGTTACTCTCTTTTGTGGCGCGAAGCGGAGGGCCGGCAAATAGTAAGTAAATAGCTGCCTGTCAGCACAAAATAGTTGTGGCCACCAAACGTTGTGTGTCACAGAATAGTCGCGGTACGTGCATGTAAACAGCATCGCGTCGCTCATGACGAAAGAGCGCCGCCCCGCGGATGCTGCAGGCGCCGCCCCACGCAAACAACCAGGGCTCCACTTTACACGGACTGCAGTGCAGCCGATAAACCGGGCAGAGCTGAACAGATTGATTGCTCGCTATGTTGAAGATGAGATGCATCCCGTCAACTGTCGAGTCAGTTGCCTTCAGGCAAATGCCTGAAACAGTTATTTTGTATTAAGTTAAGTATTAAAAAGGAATTTTGTACCATTGCTTGATTTGAAGGCCGGTTGCCCTGTTGATTACAATAAATAGGTCTAAAAAATTGTTTATTGTTTATTGTGTTTGACTGTTCAGTACTATTTATATTCATTACATTTAAAAAGCAGACATAAAAGTAACTTAAAAGTTACTTTCCAGGGTAACTAATTACTTTTGATACACAGTAACTGGTAAGTAATTCAATTACCTTTAAAATAAGTAACTAGTAACTGTAACTAAATACTCATTTTCAGTAACTTGCCCAACACTGCTGATAATACATATGCACGCACGCACACACGCACGCACGCACACATACATGCACGCACACGCACACACACGCAGACTTGATAATGAGGTAGGACAAATACAGTCATCTCAGGGAGCGTGTGTGAATTCATCCCCCTCATACAGCCTTTGGTATCGCACTCGTATTAAACCTTTCCGTAATCCTTTCATTTCCGCTTTTGGGGTTGACGGAACATCGGAATGTTGACTATGATGACATCATATTGTTACGTCAGGCTTGTGTGTGGAGAGGCGGATGGAACTCACCGCCTTTTCCCCTGCCGACATAAAAGGAATGTTGTGGAAGACTAGTGATGTATTTCGTGCCTTACTAAGAGAAATAGGAGGCAGCTGCATGTCGTGGTGCAGCAGCAGCACAGAAAACTGTGTCATGTTTTCTCCTCTGGAGGGAACCCCAGAATGCACTTCATGGCGTTGTTTACATTTGTAAGGGAGCATCGTGACATCTTCCCACTGGAAGTGCGGCACTGAGGGCACATCACAGGTGAACCTCGAGGATGCTGTGCATCCCGGAGGGCACTTCATAATGTTTTCTCAATTTTAAGGGCACCCGGGAGAAGCATTTGATCACCATTTCTCCATGTAATTTTTTGTATAATTTTTTGTATAATTATGAATCTAGTACAGCATCCAAATTTCAATGTACTCTAAACCATCCAAATGTGTCAGCGGGTTAAAAACACATTTTTCTGTGGTGCATTAAATTCTAACTATAACTAAATCTGGATTTTGAAACTAAAGACAGAAGCACTAAGGTGTTTATCTAACTGTGATGTTTCACAACATACAGACCATGATTGAATCACAGTGACACATTTTGATGTCACGGAGGCCAGATTACGTCTGATATGATGTGAGGCCATGTTATGTCTCATCTCGTTGCTTTCATGGTGTGTGTTGCTTAATCCTGCTTTGACAGGGAGTGTGTCTTTTTTTATGTGATCACTTGACAGTGTAAGAAAAAAACAGTGCAGATGGAGGCAGACTGGAGCTCTGTGCCGTTGCTCAAGGGCATTTTCGCAGCGTCAGTTGACTCCGGTGACGGGAATATGACACAGCCGTGTGTGTGTGTGTGTGTGGGGGGGGGGGGGGTTCAGTGTGGGTTACCCTGAGGTGCTGTTTGTGTCCCGCTGGCTCGCTCTCGGCCAGCCTCAGAGCGCCTTCGGCTTCACTCAGCCACTCCTCCATCGCCCTCTGATCTGCAACCAGCCTCTGCCACTTGCAGCTGCAATCCTGCCAACGCCTACGAACACACACACACACACTTTAGATTTTTGGTTCAAATGTGTGCACCAAACGAGTCACTGTCCACACAATTGCCTCTCTTACCTCAGTCTGTCGTGGTAGAGCTTGTTGAGTTTGTCCCAGTTAGCGTTGAGGAGGCCGGCTGTGTCTCTGATCCTCTGACTCTCCAGAGGTCGCGCCCCCGACGACATCTCCTCTCTGCGGGCCAACACTCCCTCCACCGGGCCCCGCAAGTCCTCCACGTTGCCCTTCACCTCCTGCAGTAGTAGCAGTGAGTTGGTGGGTCTTCATGCTAAGCTAAGCTAGCAGGCCGTGAATCATAATGAAGAGCCAGATATTAAATCTTCTCATTTGAACTGCTCTGTTCAGAATACAGTCTCAGCACAAGTATCCCTTCCTCTGGTTATCAGCTGTGAAGATATGACTGCACCTGTCGAGCTGCCCTGGATTCATCATTTCAACAAAAGATTTGGTTCTGTGTACATGATTGTTTTTTATTATTTGTATTACCTGGTCCTCGATTGTTCACAATGTTATGGAATACTACATATATTATCGGTGCATGTGAAAGTGGAGCTGACCTTCAGGCACTGTTCCTGCTGAGGCAGGTTGTAATACGCCGCAGGCCAGAATTCAGGAGAGTTCAGCTTGAAGTCCGTCTCCGACACCAAGCGGAGCAGAGCCTGCAGCTCTGTGACGTACTCCTGGACACCCACGCACACAGAGGAGGGCATCGGGAGGTAGAGCAGAAGAACATATTGTTATTCAAAAGAATAAAATACATCAACAAACAAGTTCACCATTGAAATACCTTGCAACTTTGAAAATATATAGAAGCTATGAATCAATCAATGTGTCATAGAGAGAAAAACATTGGACAGACAGATTATGTTTAGAATTTGGATCAGCAGAACATCTTGTAGTATGAAAATATCTGTAGAACTTATTTTTTTTAATACACATTTTAGATGATGACTAGAAGTCCCAGATTGTTTTCAAGGCTGTCAGACACCATGTGACACTTCACAGGAAAGCCCTACTCAAACACGTTATTAATCCGTATTGTGTATCGTGATCGCATTCACAATCATGTCAACTAACTTGGATGTAGTTTAAGATTTTGATCAACTGTTGAAATGTCAAATGGAATCGATACACAACACACAATACAGTAACTGGAACTTCCTCTCCCACAGTGCAGAGGTACTCGGCCATGTTCATTTCACCTCATTGCTCTGCTCCTGTAATCTAAGCAACTGCTTCATGACATTTGTTTTCAAACAACCCAGAATAAAAAAAAGGAAAATCAGCATGGTTAAAAGTACATAAATAATGATAATTTATTGCTGGTGGAACCAACTAGTCAAGACAGGCCGAATCACTCACCAGCTGATGGAGTACACACTCAATCTGGTGGCTTAAATGTATATTTCCTACCTACTAATGGTAAAGGGAGGAAATATATATTTTTTTCACTGCATCACTTAAAAGTTTTTTTTCTCGTCAAAATGCAGGCCGCAGAGGCCATGACATCCAGATTTAGTTCCTATCAAAGCCTTTTGTTAGATTAGCAATCTGCAGTAATCTAAAGCATCTCAATGACATCAGACACTTGTGAGCAATGAGGTGCAATGGAAGGCCCGTTTCCCTGCTGCCTATTATTGTACACATCACACCGGCTTTTACGTTGGGCACGTTATAAGATATCGAAGAAAAAGTAAAACATTTTGCGGAGAAACTAACGTGATGGATAACGCTACACACAATTAATTAATTAATGTGAAGCTAGAGCATGCGGCTTGGCTTCGCAAAACAGTTTACACTTTTTTAAAAGATGGGTCTTTAAGCTAAAGACTACTTTCAGTGGAGGAATTAAACACTACCATCTTCCACCACCGCTACTTTAAAAAGCCACTGAGGGAAGATCTCAGAGTAAAAAAATATATACGTTGAAAAACTCACATATTCCCAGGTTTAGTTGTTAAATTGAGAGATTTTTTGGTTTACTTTTAGAGTTGGATCAATCGCATCACTCTACAAACACTACTATTCAATAACGTGAGCAAAATATATCAACATGTGAATTATATACAGAAGCTTATCGTCGCTCAGGGGCCATCTTTCCTGTACCAAAGGCACTTCAGATACAAATAACTCGATGACTTCACTGTCGACAAGTTTTGTGATGCAAAAATCGATCCTGTGAAGTCCTTCTATTTTGTATTTCTGTAATAATCCTAGAAGATATTTAATTTATTATTAAAATAAATTTGGGATTTTTCCACTCAAATGTACCATTTTAATCTGGAGTAAAATTGGAAGAGATTAAGTGGTTTCTTTTTTTCAGAATTTTGCCCCTGTTGATTTTTATTTCCCTACAATGTACCTTTTATACTGCATATAACTCATAGACAGATCAAGGACTATGGATGATATCTTCCTTGTCTTTTATTAGTTTAAACACCAGGTGCCACAGGTGGATTGATGGCAATTACCATCCTTTCAGTGTTTACGAGGGTGAGGGCACTGTTTAATGAATATGTGAACTTATACTTAAGGGTAATACTGCGGCCATAAAATTATTATTTTTTAAAAATCTATTAGATTTCTTTGTTTGGGACTGATTAATTGAACCCAAGGGGACAGACTCTCCACTATCCGTCATCCAATGAATCCCATTTCTCAGCAAAAGGCCTAAGCCTGCTCTCAGTGTACACACACACTGACCCACCTGTTCTCACACAGTGTGTTTCATTTGGAACCTTTAAGACGTGTGTTTGGGACGTGAAAGCAGAGCAAACCTTGCAAATGAGAGGAAGCGGTATCAAGGTTTGAGGAAGACAATCCGCAAAATTGAATAACATCGGCAGGGAAACCACTTTCCCCTGTATGGAAATGAAGGTTGACTTAGTTCACAGGTTAGTGGGTTAACGATGTCTCACTATCACTGGGAAGTTTATTCTAAGCCTGTTTGGCTTTCACAGAAATGCCTTTTATCTGCATCTTGAAACTTAAACTAATGTAAGTTTGCACTTTTCTTAGTATTGAAATCAATCTTTTTTTTAATTTTAATTTGTGTCATAAATTCAAGGCTTGAATTTGTGTTTTCAGTCTCTGCACAGAGAAATGTCTAAACTCAAAATGGAGCTTCCTCTCATGAGCTGGTCTGCTCTTCTCTGTCTTCTACACCACTTGGACTAAATGCACATACACTCCGTATTTGTTTCAAATAAAACATGCTTAGCCGCAGTCTCCAGGGGTCGGATGTGTGGCAACGTATTGTTGTGGTTTATTTTGACAGATGTGCCATTAATCCAAGTGGATATCATCTGGTGTTAGTGGTTTATTCATGTGATTGGTTGACAGGATACATACATCTTCAGTGATCGGCAGATCAGGGAACTTTGTGAGTGTAAGGTGATTGGTTGGCTAGCCGAGCAGTGTGTGTGTGTGTGTGTGTGTGTGTGTGTGAGCGCACTCGGTGGGAGGGTGGCATGCAGGGACACAAGAGCAAGACAGAGAAACCAATGAGATTTGGACTGTGCTTCGCATGATCACATTAAGACATGTAAATGAGAAGATGCAAAAAAAAGAACAAAAAGTTACACATTTTATTCTGAAAGTGAAAAATCCACTTTCGACTTAAATTAATTTTATTAATGAACATTACTAAAATTATGTTGCTTGAATGAGGTCATCGTATCTTAAAGGGTCAAGTCCAGTGATATTGGTCTTTTCATAACTAAAATATTGAAGAACACGGAATAACCCATGCATAAAATGTTTATTGTTACAGATGAATATGGAGAAACGTCTTCTTTAACTAACTTGATTTTAGTGTACTGCCCTATATTAGGAAGAAAAATGGCTCTACCATGACTTAGTAACAGATTAACTTATTTGTTATTCTATGACTAATTGTAAAGTGCAAGGTTAATATTAAGCTTGATTAACTTCACTGGGTAGTTATTAGAAGCTGTCTGCTAATTTCATGCTAATGGTTAGTGAAATCAATGTCAATACCTAGTTAGAGACTCACAATGTCTTTCACATGTTTCCAGCTCAGTACTACGAGTATTACAACCCGGTCTGATTAGTATAGTATTCTCTGTTAGTGTATATAGAATTCGTGCCTATTGAAACTCACACAGTGTCTCTTGAAGGGTATGAACCTGCCCTCCACCTCAAGCCAGCGCGTGTTGAGCTGGAGTTGGCGAGGCTCCACTAGATTGGTGGCTCCAGCTTCTGAGAGCTGATTGGCTAAGCCCTGCACCTGGTTAAGGTCCTCCTTCTTCTTGTCGAACTCTGTGCCAATTTCCTATTGAACAAAATCAACGAGGGGGGGGTCACTTTCTATATGCTGAACCCACATGGGGGGGTATGGGGAGGGTAATGTTGATGCTGAATAATACACATTCACAGACACATAGTGATCATATATAATTAAAATAATAAAACATCAACATTGTTCACACACAGACCCACAACACATTGAGATATCAAGTTTGTCAGTGTCAAACAAGATTTATAGTGTCTCTTAATATTTTACTGAGTGTATCGCCATTTCAACAATCCATAAGAAATTAGAGAGTGCTTTGATAAATGAGGGGGAGCACACTGCCGTCAGACTTTATTTACATGGAGCAGGAGTACAATAACTGGAGTAGGTGGGAGGGGTCTGAGCTGGCGAGGGTTGCAGAGGTAATTGAGAGACAGAGAGACAGGTAAGATGAGCCGAAAGACAGACAAATGGACCGACAGATAGATGGACAGAGAGACAGACAGACAGACAGGAATCTCGGTTGTGGCAATGACAGGGTAGTCTGAGGCGAGCGAGCCGGACGTCGGCTTAGCGAAATGTCATAGTGATCATCTGAAAAGTGAAAGACACACACAGAGAGTCAGGCGGGGCAGAAAAACGGGTGGAGGTGGGGGCTCCTCCGTCAGACCTTTCCACCACCAACTCAAATGCATCACTATCAATGTATAATCAAGGATGTACAGGGCTCAAGGATAAAATGGAATTCTATGGGGGCAAGTCAAGTTCAGATTTCTTATATACATATTACAGTACAGTATTTTATAGCTTTAATCTAATTAAAAAAATTATTTTTTTAAATTTTAAATAAAATTAAGAGAAAGTGAAAATGTATCTTATGATGTACAACAAATATTAACTAGATCATGCATAATATTACATTCTGATTATCAATCCTGAAGAATTGTAACAATTGACCTTGAACTTGGTGGTGCAAAAAATAGTTACTGTTTCACAAATAATTTATTCATAGTTTATTAACGTTATGGTTGAACACTTTTGACCAAGTGTCTTTCCAGCTAAAAGCAAAAGCTGTTGTCTCCCAATGGGGACAAAAATAGATCTTTAAATAGATCTGAAGAAGGTCCGCATCCCAAAGGAATGATCACGAAAGTGAGAAAAAAAAAGAAAAAAGTTCTTTCACAGGTGAATTGTACAATGACAAAAAGATTGAAAGAAACAGGAAGTGAGAGACAGACGGATTGAGATGGAGAGGAGGGGGGATGAGGAGGACAGAAGTAAAGAGCAGATTGGACATAAAGCTGAAACAGACCAGCTTAACAAAAAGAGTAGTTTATTTATGTGTGTGTGTTCTTTCACCTTCACCCTCTCTCCCTCGGGGGGGTCGGGCAGTTGGTCCACGCTGCGCTGGATGTCGTCCAGCCAGGCCAGCAGGTCGTGGGACTTCCTTCGGTACTGGTACCACTGAGGAGCGATGGCCAACGCCTTCCTGTTCCTCAGCACGCGCAGGTCCTGCACGCACACACACACACACACACACACACACACAAAGAGATACAGCAGTTATTGAGTTTTAGGGGCTGGTAAGAGGATTTTGTTCCCTTTGGACTAATCCAGGTGTCTTTATGCTAGGCCAAAGGAATAGCGCTGATTTTGTGAAGGTGGGGGGCTTCTTAACTGGGGTATCTGGAGTTTTACCTAAAGTCGATGTGTAGAAAAATAGGAAAAAGAATAGAAAATATATTTTTTATAAAGATTCAGAGCCACCAGACTACATTGGCAAAGTACTTTTAACATGTGTTCTTCCTCGGCCTTGATCTGTTACTTCAGTATATGACGTTGGCGTTTTAAAGGCTTACTTGAGGCAAAGGGGCTGTCTGACGGCAAGGAAAATAGCGGTAGAAAAAAGCTGCAATGTAGTATAAACTCAAACTGATATAGATATACGTGTCGTTTTAAGTGCAGTTCCTCCTGTGCGTCTCTCTAAAAATGAATCTACTGTAGGTCAATACATCTACTGGTGATGCAACCCCTTTAAAAAATGAATAGAATAAGCTATTCGATCTTAAGATGCAGAAGCCGTGGTCTACCTTGACGGTGCTGTACTTGCTCTTCAGCTCGTTGTGCTTCAGTCGGATCTGCTCTCGCTTGTCCGGATTCGGGACTCTCTTCTGCAGAGTCTCGCCCTTTAACAGTAGCTCCTTCACTGCACCTTCCTCACAGTCCTACAGAACAGACACACACCCACACATGTTCAGTAAAAGTGTGCACATAGAGTGAGAGCGAAAGTCATTATTCCGTTACAGTGTGTGGGACCTTGTTCTCCTGGAAGTCCTCCTCCTTAAGGTTCTCCCCCTGCTTGACCTCCTCCTCCAGGAGCTCCAGCCAGATCTGTACTTCGCTGTGGTATTGCTCCAGCTCCTTGGCCGATGCTGCCGTCTGCCACGCACACAGATGATCATTAGTGGCCTAGAGGAAGTCTATTAGTATGGAGTGGTCGGAGTAGATTTGGTTGGAGTTTGATGTAAATTTAGTGAGAGTTTCTGGTCTGTGGGTTAAAAGCATATTTAGAAAGAGTTTATTTTTATTGAGACTTTGAAGTCAATTTAGGAAGCCTTTGGTTTTCTATCTTATTACATTATTATTACAGATCATTTAGCTGAGGCTTATATCCAAAGCGACTTACATTGCATTTTTAACCCATGGCTTTTTACCTTTTTGCCTGGGGAGCAATTAGGGGTTAGGTGTCTTGCTCAGGGACACTTCAACATGGTACATGGAGCAGCCGGGACTCGAACCACCAACCTTGTGGTTCCCAGCGCACCCTCTCTACCCCTGCGGCACGACAACCCTATTTAGTGGAAGCTTGAATTTAAACTTCATAGAAATAGTTGGATTACAATCAGTAGAAAAAAAGTGTTTGCACATCAGAATGGTAAACAACAGCTGATCCTATCCGCCTGTTAGTGTGTGTGTGCTTATTGGCCGTTAGCTCCTCCCTACCAGTCCGGAGGCGATGCGCTGAGCCACGGTATCGAACCTGCGGTCGAGCCGCTCCACTTTGGGTCCCACCTGGGCCTGGCAGTTCTCCCCCCGTGTGGACATGAGGTCCCGGGCCAGACTCCTCACCTCCTCCACCTTACGCCTGGTCAGCTCCAGCTCCGCTCGCAACACCTTTTTGGGCGGGGCAATAAAAGCGATCAATTGTATGCACAAGTGATTTCATCCTCCACAAGGATGGAAATGCATCTCCACACACAGGAGGAGGATACCCTGTGTGGATTTGGGCATTTTAGACGTTTTACAGCCTCTTAACACCAACCGTTGACAGGAATGAAGGGCGTTTATTATCCCCACAACCCGGCATGGATCTCTGAGACGTAGATCACACACAACATGCGTAAAAACAATGAGACGTTTTACAACCTTGAGCACAGCATCGTTGGGTCCCCGGCTGTCTATCTCGTCCATCTTCTTGTCCGCGCCGTCAATCCACCCATTCACTCCCTCTATCTCTCCATCCAACTTCTGCATCTGCCGCTGGTAGTCCTGAGATAGAGAGAGGTGTTGAAAGTGTTTATTTCAACGTCTTCTAACGGTTATTTTTAGACCTTTATTTTTAGCACAGGCAAAAAATACAAAATGCTTGTTTTGTGAATTATAATTTTTCCCTTTCTCCTACCAGCAGCAGGTTGAGCCACTCTTCCGCTCTGGACGTGACCGCGATCCAGTTGCAGTGCAGCAGACTGACTTTGTCATCCACCAGGCCCCCGTGGCCCCGCAGCACCGCCTTGAGGGCCTCGGCGAGCTCCGCCACGGTCTGCAGCTGCGGCTGGCGCCTCTCAGTCTCCCCGTGGACGGACTGCGGAGGAAGAAAGGACAGGGAGAAGCTCGGAGGACCTCTGCATCTCCTCTTTGCACATTTCTATAAGTCGACATACAACAATCCTTCCCCCTGGTGTCTTTCTTTTCCCGACTAGTGTTGAGGGAAAGCAAATAAATAGTCGGTAACGGACAACGCCAAATCCAACCACGCAAACGTGTGCACCTCGTACCTGCGCCCACGCCACCTCGGCCTCCAGGTCGCCAGGCATGCCGTCCACAGCGGAGCGCCGCGTCAGCTCGCCGTCGGTGGCGGCGAGCCACTCCGTCAGCCCGTTCAGCTCCTTGCGCAGCTTCCTGGACAACTTCAGACTCTTCTCCAGCTCCAGTTTACTCTCAGTGACCTCCATGACATAAAAGGGCACAACATCTGTATCCAAAGTGGACACGTGTGTGTCCATGGCCGCGCGCGTGTGTGTGTACCTGAGAGCCCAGCTGGTTGTAGAGCAGCTTGAGGGCGGTCACCCTGTCGTCCAGATCCTTGGGCTGCTCCGTCTGCTGCTTCTGGACTACCTGTCTCCCCGCTTTGATCACCGTCTCCACCTCCCCTTTCACTTCGCTCAGCACCTTATACAACTTCTGAAACACACACAGTGGGTGGGGGGGAGGAGGGTAAGGGGGAGGCTGAACACGGGATCAGGACAACTGATCGGGCGCAATGTGACCCACCATGCACTGGTCCAGCTGCGACTGCACCACGTCCTGCTCCACGCTCCGGATGTCCAGCACCCCCACCTGGCTCTTGACTCCGGCCAGCAGGCGCTCGCACTCGGCCAGGCGGGTGTCAAAGTTGGCCGGCTTCTGGAAGAGCCGGAACTTGGTCCACACGTCGGTCAGCATTTTCTGTGGGAGTAAAGGGGAAGAGAAGTTGTGAAGGGAGAGCCGAGAGGCCGTGTGGTACTGAGGGGGGGGCAGCAACCTGGATACCATCATTTATTAATTCCGTCTGCTTCTCCTTCACTTCTTTCAACCATCACACCTCCAGATGGTTTTCACCTTCAAGCTCGGGCCGGTCAGTGGAAGCGTCGCCCAACGCGTGGATCACACTTGGAAAGTTGCAGAAAAACCCCTGGACACTTTCATAAGGTCTACCAGCTGGACGAACCGACTGGGGCGGGTTCTGTTTTTTATCTCAAGGTTTTTGGACCTTTAGAGTCCAAAGTGTTTTCTCAAGGGGTCTAAACATACATATAGTGTGAGTGTGTGTTGTACCTGGGTAAGGTCGATCTGTCCCAGGATCCTGTGGGACGGCTTCTTGTCCTCGTTCTTCTTCCTCATGTCCTCCAGGGTCGCTTCATGGCCGCTAAGCTCCGACTGGATTTTCTGTAAAAAACGCACAAACAAAGACTCAAAAGCCAGATCGGCTTTTAGGAATGACGGCCAAACAAGGTCTCATATTAAGTTATGTTCAGTCAATTTAATAAGATCCGTCTGGAACATGAAACTAAATCCAATAAAGTTGGTACGGCTTGATAGTGTACCTCCTTTTGCTGGCCACTAGGTGGCAGGAGGCATCAACTAAATTAGATTTTTTAGATTAAGATTCAACTTCATTGTCATTGCACAGGGTACAAGAACTAAAGCAAGGAAATGCAGTTGAACATCCAACCAGAAGTGCAAAATAGCAAAAAGTGCAGAGTATGTGCATATGTAAAGTGTAATAGGTGAATAAATAGATATCACAACGCTTCCTAAAGAAGACGAAAAAAAGTGATATTAGAAGTCCGGCTAGCCACCATCAGACATGACCGAGGCAAATGATGAGAACAGCACGTGTTTTGATCCAGGCCATTAGCATTTAGCACAAATGCTGCAAACTTCAACAACTCGCTGAGCTTCCGCGATGCTGTTGGTAGTTCTACTAGCGTTGTGATTGGAGACCAACAGCCAATCACAATGGACCTTCTTTAATTCTCTGATTGGTTGGTTTTGTGGCACAAATGTAACGCTGCTGCAAGTCGAGCGAGCGCGTGAGTGAAACGTCAAGCGAGCGCAGCGTGAAGAGGTGGAGAGAGCGCAGCAACGGCTGCCTGCGCGCAGAAAACCAGTTTGTGGAGACGGCACCTCAGTAAACTGCGCGCACGGAATATGTTTTTCTTTGCTAAAATATAGTTCTCTGTGCTCAAAACTTAAAATTACGCGCTCAGGATTGTGGCACAAATATAACGGCATACGCGACAGAGCAGCTGCCATACCGTACTGAGATACAGTTTGTAAGGATGCTCTCTGTGGTACAGCGGTAGAAATTCTCTAGAATCTGAGGAGACAGATGGGCCTTCTTCAGTCTCCTCAGGAAGAAGAGACGCTGGTGTGCTTTCTTTACCAGGGATGAGGTGTTGAGGGTCCAAGAGAGGTCCTCAGAGATGGGGACACCCGGGAACTTTAATGCTGGCGACACGCTCAACCTCCGTCCCGTTGATGTGGATGGGCATGTGTGTGCCAGCTTTCTTCCGGAAGTCTACAATTAGCTCTTTGGTCTTCTTGGTGTAAAGAGGAGAGGACCATCAAAAGCTCTCTCTCACAGACACACAAACTCACACCTGGTCTCTGTCACCCTGCTACCCTTAAATATCAAGTGTTCTGTAATCACATATGCTCATCCACGCCACCGAAATCCAATCCTGATCTCACCCTCCCCCGCGTGAGAAGAGAGAGAGAGAGAGAGAGAGAGAGAGAGAGAGAGATTGAGAAATTGTGGTCTTGTACACACATGGAAGAGAAATAGAGCATTCTACGTTCTCTCGCAGGTTCCCTGGTCCCTGCATGCCCGCCATCCCCCCACACACACTCACACACACTGAAGATCTGTATCATGCATACCTGCAAACTCATGAGGGGTGAAAAGGGTGACACGGGGGGGGCTTCATTTAACTTCAATCACTATTGCAAAGATCACAACATCACCGTTTCTCCTTGTCCCACTCCATCCTGGCGCTGGCCGGCAGTTGATCCCCCCCCCCCAAAAAAAACCTAGAATCAACATGATTCACGTGGATGAGTTTGCAGGTATAATCCACAATCCAAGTATTTCCACCCTCATGTCTCTTTGTGTCTGTATAATGAGTATCCCTCGCCCAGTTAGTCCGACTTGGCGGATCCAGCAAAAGGTCGGGTGGTTGTTTTGTCAGCCCTGTTGAACTTGATTTCTTTTAACAAAAAACATTCCTTCGCATTCCACGCCGACTGACCTGAGCCTCCTGCGGTATCTGCAGAGCGTCGATGTGGTCGGCCAGGTACGCAGTGAGGTGGCGGTCGGTGTGGGCCAGTGAGTCCTGGATGTTCCTCAGGGTCTTGTCGTTCTCCTGAGCCCTCTGGACGCTCTTCTCCAGCTCCTTCTGCCTTAGGACCGCCTGGGGGGAAAAAAACAACAACACATCACACCTTGTCAATGTTGCTCACACATCTCAAAACAAAGGAAACATTTTCTACCAACGACTCCCCTGTGGGTTTTTGGACTCCCACTCTGAAGCCCTGAGCCTTAAACGGTTTTGGCCTTCGCCCTCTAGATTTTTTCGCGACAAGTGAACAGCAGTTAGCATGTTTGGAATGCTGCGCAGCGTGAGTGGAAGTAACCTGTTAATCACAAGGTAGCCACGCTCAAAGAGGGCACTCTGCTTCTCACTATGTAAGAAGTCATTTTCTCGGAGACTTGGATAGACATGACTTGATTTTGCAACCGGTAGAGTTTCCCCCTGCTGGCCATAAGAAAGAATGCAATTTTAAAACAATTGAATCAAAGTTGCGATATCTTCCTTCATTGTTTTAAAAGAGCAATTACTAACCTGTGTACGTCGCTTTAAGTCACACACACGCACACACACACACACACACACACACACACACACACACACACACACACACACACACATGCTGCATGTACCCTCAAGAAGGACGGATAGCAGGGTTTCTCTTTCATGGCGTCTGTTTGCGAGCGGCCGCACCGCAGTTGACAACGCAAAGAAACGACGCTCCTCTGACGACCTGTCCGCCTGGGACAAACATCCGTCTCCCCTGGCAACGACTGAAGTGTTCTTGGTGACTGCCTGGAAGATTAACTAGTGAATGGACCTATCGCAATACGTGAGAGGGGTTACAGGCGAGCATGCTAAGCCTTCTCCGAGGGATAATGACTAAGTTTAGCCCTATGAGCACGCACACACACACACAGCTCTCCTTGTGTCACCAACAGATGCGTCCCCGCTGATAACGTACGAAATGAGAAGTGTGGGGAGATTAACTATTTAGACAAACATTGATAACAACCTTCCCTGTGGCGATCAACTGCGTTTCGATTTCGATTATAGGCCCATGAATTAATATTCTCATCTGACATTCCCTTATTACTTATCGCTCACTCGCTCTCACATAGACACACACAAACGAACGAGAGACGGAGGACTCGCCGCTCGCTTAACAGCCGCGTGTCAGAAACCGCCGGTGGCGAGGCGGCAAGCGGGGGCTTTTTGTTCCAGCGCGGCCCCCTCATGGCGGGTCCCGGGGGGCCGTTTTAGGAGAAGCTGAAATGAAAAAAGGGTCTCTTTGATCTGTAGAAACGCAGACGCAGATATGGGGAAACCTTGCTTTTTGCTTTTTTGAAGGAGGGGGGGTGGATTTATTTCTTAAGTGGGACATTGATATAACAAGATTATGTACAAGATTATGTACTTATTCCACTGCCACGTCTCTTTGCTCCTGTACATTATGAAGTGTCTGTTTCGTGCTTAAAACCAGCCACAAAAGAAAGACATCCAAGAATGTTTCTTCAACTACCGATGATTTAGTTTGAATAAAATAAAATAAAATAGAGGAAAAGAAAAACGTTAAGGCCGAATTTGGATCTCCATCTGTCTTGTACAGAGTACTCAAACTCTCCTTTTCCTCTTACAGACGACCAACAAACAGGGCTCAGAGCAGGCCGGCATTACCTCGCATGCACACATGCTGACACACAACCAAAGACAATACACGCTGCAACACGTCCTCCCAAAAAAACACAAAAAAGTCTGTAATAAAAGTGTGTGTGTGTCTCTCTCTCACACACACGCACACACAGAGGATGTCACCGATGGGTAGACAAACAAAAGGGAGGCTTATCTGGTTGCGAGGAGAACATTAATCTGCTTCTATTGTGAGAGAGGATCCACCCAGCGGGCAAGGAGAGTGTGTGTGTGTGTGTGTGTCTCGGGGTGCGAGTGTAACTAATCCGTCACAGAGGATCACCACAGGAGGCTGAGAAGGCATCGCCGCCAATGACGGCTTACGGTGGCTAGGAGGAAGACGGAGGAAGACGTTGGGAGAGGAAGAGGAGGAGGACAAGGGCAAAGGGGTGGAGAAGAAATTGACGGGGTACGAAATAAAGGGGAGAGGAAGTAGAGGAAGACGTGCAGCAGGGAAGAGAGATGTAGTTTTACTAGTTTTTATCAAGACCATGCTTGAAAAGTTCATCTCACAAAGATATGTGGTGTAAAATGGTGAAGGTCTTGGCAGTCAAACTAAAATTGTTCCAAGGTAGATGAGCAATGCTCAGCTTTCAGTCAGTCCGTTCTGCTAATGTCACGTCCTTTGCAAAAGCTGTTGCTGAGCGATACCCTAACGCTGTCAAGGTCTTTAGTGGAGGTTGGGAGGAAATAAATTGACAACTTCTCCTTAAGAGTTTTGAACCCATCATCTCCCACAGTGCAGCAGTTTTGACTTCTCTGCGCCATTTCTAACTGAGGGGGAACACGCCGCGATTGGCCAGCACTTTTTTGAACGGAACCCATCTTATTTTGTCTTGCGAGCAGGTTTGCATGCAATTTGTTTGTGTTCAGTTCATTCAGGTGCTGAAATATATTCGCCACGCGCACAACACCCATCACCGCATCGCACCTCTCATCAGCCAAAAACATTTTTAGCAGCTCGTACACAGCACTTTGCTCTCGGTGTGGAGCAAGAGGGCTTGATGCTCCGCCCCTCATTTCCCCACATAGAGATGCAATAGTGATAGTCAAACTCTCTCGTGCATCATTTAATTCTACCATCTTAAAGGTAATTCTTACGTTACCGAGTATTTAATGACTAGGCCAGCCACTGCATAAAATTGGACATTTTCCCACGGCACACCTGATGATCTCTCACTTCAGCGAGTGTAAAGTGTAACCTTCAAGGCGGGAGCACAGAATACTTTTACTGAAAAGGAAATTAACTAAAATGAAAGGGCTGGGAGGAATAAAATACATTTTAAACAACTTCACTTTTAATTTAAAAAAACACACATTAGAAAAGACGTTTATGAATGGACCGTCCTTGGTCGCTGCAGTAACTTGAATTCCTGAACTGCTCAAAATTCCGCCGTTGAGCCTTTATAAGATAAAGCTTTCGAAGCAAAACTTCACTTAAAGCGTCCCCATGGAAACAGCACTGGACGAAGTCCTGCGTTATTACGATGACTTTTCATCCCATCATAACTACTATGGCAACGGAAGGTGCCCTCCTGACAATACATGGTAACGGGGGGCATTCTCATGACTATAGGCATTCGGGACCGACACGCCACTTTTTTTTTTTCGGGACCGACACGCCACGGATTCGGGAGAAACACAACACAAATATTTGTTGCCGAATCCGACAATGGATTATTGAACTGGCAGAACATTCTAAAAGCATCAAAGGCAGCCCGGGACACCTGTGAATGTACAAGTGGTTGTGTCTTACCCTGGACATGAGCTCGTCCCACCGCGCGTTGAAAAGGTCCAGTTTATGCTGGATTATCTCATCCAGAACGCCTCCGTCCATCAGCGTCTGGGCCAGCTCCCGGATCTGGTTCCTGTTGTCCTCCGGGTGGCGCAGAAGAACCTCCAGGCCCTGTGCACGGGGAGACACAAGCACACATACACATACCACTGGAAAGTTCTTTTCATTTCTTGTTGCATAGAAACTCGTGTTGCTGTTGTTGAAGGTGACTCGTGATGATTGACGCAGGACATGATCGTTAAGTGACAATGCTCTGGACAAAGCGAAATAAAAAGCTTTACGCCTTTTCGCATTGTTTGATCTCACCAAATCCCTTTATAATGTAACATCTAGTCAGTCTGCAAAAGCACAGTTTAAGCACATCTACGGGTCGAGGTTGACCCTAAAACATTTTTAAGAAAGCCAGGAAGAGGAAAGGTTGAGATTCAATTTAAATCGCCTTTATTTTTCATTTTCTTGGTGTGTGTACTGCATAATGTCAACATTAGATGACACACTTTACGTCCTCTGAATGCCTGCTATTATCATTGACTCCTAGTTGACACAAAAAATAAGTTCTTCTTCTATTCTTTTTTCATTTTTTTTCTGTAGAATTGAAGCCAATGAGGAAGTGCCTCAAACATTCTCATGGAGACCGATTCCTCTGGTTTCAATTCTTCTTCAAAGATCTTCATTTATTAAATTATTATCCAATTAGAGTAGACCATAAAATAAAATTGGATTAAAAAATGTCATACTGGACACATAAAAAACCCACATGGCGGCCCCCGAACACAAGTTTTAAAAACAGAAACAGCCCACAAACGGATGTCAACTTGTAATACCCCCCTGGCTACGCCCTCCAATCTGACATGAAGCTTGTCTTATCGCGCATATCTCCTGGTTCCCGCCTCCGTCTCTAAAACTCACATCGAGGGCCTCCTGCAGCTCCTCCGCTCCTCCCTGGAGGTTTTCCGTCTCGTCCAGCTTCTGCTCCAGCTGGTCCAGGAAGGCGTTTTCCTGCTCCAAGTAGGAGAGCAACTCGCACCAGCACGCCCACACCTCCTGCACCACGGCACGCGCGCACAGTCATCACAGGCAGACCGATTGGCTAACAAAACTCCAAAAGGACAAATATGCTCTATTGAGAATTTATGGGTCAGAGGAATGAAAGACATAAACATTTGTGAGAGCGAGCTAGTCAACCGCACACGTTGGATACCAAAATTACCTGGAAAGTGAGCCCGTCACATGGAGGGAGGAGAGACAAAGGGGAAGGGGGGGGGAGAAAAAGGTATATGTGTATGCATATGTGGGTTTGTGTGTGTGAATGTGTATGTAATTCCTGCATTTTTGAAGACACACGCTTAATAAATAAATAAATAGTTAAACGGTGTTGTGTTTACACTGCTATGTCTCCAGGGGGTTTCTTGGGGGGGGGGGTTCTGTTGTGATCAACCTAACATCAAATGATCCCAGAAGAACTGAATAAAGTACCTCCAGAGTTTTGCATTTCCCGTCCAGCCTGCTGCACAGGCGCTGGTAGTTTGCCGTCAGCACATCCAACTCAGAGCGCAAGGCATCGTGGGCCGTGGGCGGAGCCTTGGCGATGAAGCTGTTGACGCTGTCGGTCAGGAGCTTGACCTTCAGCTCCTTGGAGTGGACCTCCTCCTGGGCCCTCTGATGGAGTGACAGAGGAAGTGTTTGCCAGAGTCAAACAGGTCGCCCCGAGGCACTCTGGGAAACTCAGGTCTCAGTTGATTTAGATTGTCAATAAAACTCTCTCAGAAGGCATCCGGACGGGGGGAGAGAGGAGAGGCGGGGGGAAGGAGGGGAGGCAGAGGACTTAACGGATGGAGGAGCGGATACACAAACAACGTGCCTATTGACGAAGCCGCGCGAGTGTAAAGAGATCGAGGGAGGGAGAGAGAGAGAGAGAGAGAGAGAGAGAGACGAATCAATGGATGCCGGAGTGTAGATAACCGTTTCCCAAAGGAAGGGGGAGGAGCGGGAGTCGGGCAGGATTAAGAGAATAAGCGAGCGAAAAGAGTTTCTTTAGAGAAAGGAGGGAGCAGAGGAAAGGCAGAGGGGAGTGGAGGGGATTAGCATTAGAGTGAAATCCGTTTCCTTGTCAGAACGACCGTGAACAGGCACCGGAAATTGAAGAAAAATGTACACAAGTAAAAAATATTTTTTGACATTGAGGAAATATATATAACCGTTATCTATATACATATCTATGTATATTTATCTATATACAAGTTATTTTCAACACTGTGACTGTCAATCATTACAAATATGGAATGAATAACAGTATGACAGTGTAAATACAGGCGTAAATACTGTGTGGAACACCACCGGAATGGTTGTCTCTGCATCTGGAAAGAATGTACCTTTACGTGTCAGGAGTGAAAGTCCTTTTTGTTGTTTTTATACAGAATATATGGCAAAGGAAGGCTGAATTAACATTTCAAAACAGAGCCCAAAGGAACATTACAAAAGCCATCGTCTCCTCGCTCCCGCCAAAGAGTCAACTTGCAATGACTCGTGGGCGATTCCCTCTCGCAAAGTTAGCGTCTAATGCAGACTCACGGAAAGGGTTGGTCGAGGGCCCCAAATGGCTGCCAGAGAGCCCCTCAAACACTCAACCACGTGACAGCGGGTCACAAGGGGGAACATTGGGATCGGGACGATGTCAAACTCTCACACCGAAATGTAAATTCAGTATTAACCTAAGAAAAAAAACTAAACGGACGTTATCATGGCAGCAATAGACTGTTCATGGGCACGTACCTTGAGCTCCTCCACAGCCCTGCGTAGGTCTTCCGGCGTCTTGTACGTGAAGTCCCTCTCTAGGTAGTCCTCCTCGGCCTGGTTGATCCACTCCTGCATCTCCTGCATCTCCTTCCTCAGGGCCATGGTCTTATCGAGGCCGCCTTTCAGTGCCGACTTCTTAGCGTAAGCCTTAGAGGGAGAAACTCAAAGTCAAAACGGAAGCAGGAAGCAGGAACCCCCCCCCAACTCTCCCCTGTCGGGATGAAGGCCACTCGCCTGTTTGCAGACATTCTCCCACTGGCCGTTGAGCTCGTCCAGTTCTTTCTGGATGTGGATGGCGAAGGGGGGCTCGGCTTCTTTCTTTAGGTACAGACCCACTTCGTTGATGCCATTGACGCTGGGTTGAATGGTGTGGATGTCATTCACCAGAGCCTGGCCAGGTGGGACCAAGGTTAAACAGGTAGAGAAGTGACTATTTCAGAAGAGTTTGGAGGCTGAACCCTAAGGTCCGGTGGAGACGCGTCGGCCTGCTCACCGTGCACTGCTCCAGCTGCTTCTCCAGAGCTTCGGAGTCTCCCAGGGCCGGCCACTCCTCGTTCAGGAACACGTCCACGTCGGCCATCCACTTCTTCAAAGTCCTGACGTCGTTCTGGGATGGTGGGACGGGGAACGGGGATTTTAAAAATGAAAAGAGAAAAGCAGGCAGATCAAGCAATCATTAAGGCTCCTCTCACCTCAAACTGCAGCAGCTTGGCCGTGAGCTCTTTGAGTCTCTGGCCGTTGTCCGTCAGCGTGGCTCCCAGTCGCCTCCAACGCGCCAGGACAGATTCCATCTCCATGCGATACCTGCAGCAAAGGACACAAGGTGGTTCAGAGACTCTCAGCGGCTTCAAATTCAGACTCAAGGCTTTTTTCTGTTGGCGGCTGGTTTTCATTGAACCAGGTTCAAGGAGGAGGTTTTTTCAAAACAACTAAAGAAAGGTTTGGGTGGAACCTTGATTCTGGGAACATAAAAAACTTCACTTGACGGAATTAAAAAGAGGATCAGGGACTAAGCCGTGGCATGTCTGCAATTTACTACTGCTTATTTCATAAACTCAAACACTAACTTTTATTGAATTCTTAACTTGTTTATAGTTTTGATTTTGTCTGTTTTGTCAGTTTTGTCTGTTATTGATGTTTTAGTCAATGATCTTTAAATGTCTTTTCTTTTGCCTTGTGCTTTACTTACAGACCTTCCTGAACTTCTTACATTTTGTTTTGTTGTTGTGGAATAGAATGGATGAGAATGTGTTTTAAGTTGGTCAGTGTCTCATGGCTGTGTGGTTGTTTGGCACTGCTGACACAGCGATCTATCTCGTATGTAGTTTCTCTGATTCAATGGATTCTATAGCTAAAGAAAGACAGACAAAGAACATTTAGATTGGTTTCTATGTGGTTTCTATGTCTAATGAGTGTTTTAAGAAGAGTCGTATTTGACTTGAGTCCAACCCTTCCCACTGTGTGTGCTTTTATTCCCCATATCTCACTTTTGGCTGATGTCAGGTGGAGCTTTTTGGAAGACCTGCTCCACCGCTGAGGTCAGGTAGTCCACCTCCCCTTGGTGTTCAGCCAGAGCCACCTGGAGGGCCTGAGGGTTCAAGCATAAATGAAGCGGGGGCGGGGGGTACACAGAGAGGAAATACAGTCAGAAGAGACAATTTTGTTTGACACTAGGAGGGTGTACAAGCAGCAGGAGGAACTCGGAATTCACAGCGTAGAGAGATAAGGTCATATAAAGTCCTTAAAAGACAGAATTCACCAAATTCCATTGCATCAGTAAAATGTCTCCAATTACAAAGTGATTTCTTGCCTTTCCTGACAACTTCAAACTGAAGACAAAAAAAAAATCCCAAAAGCGCAACAAATCAATGGTTTTCCAGATTTCCCTGACACATTTATCAATAAGTAGAACCCAAGTAGGACAGGCCCATCGGCACGTGCTTCATGGGATATGAGCGGGGGTAATGGAAGCGGGAGGGCTGGCGGGTGTGAGAGGCTGCCGCGCTGCTACTGTGAACACATTACAAGTGGAGAGGTGAGGGGAACCCCCGGTGAACATTTTGGCGGGAGTAAAAGCCTCCGAGGTCTTAGTTTTAAGCCAGGACAGGGCGCCCCTCAGGCGTTACTGGGGCTTACCCACAATCCACCTGCCAAAAAAATGAATCCCAAGCATGGAGGAATTAGACACTGGTTCTGCTCTGGGTTTTGGCTTTGTCTTTGCTTTTGTCCTCCCCTGGACTTACACCCAGCACGTGGACGAGTCTGCTTCTGGAGGTGACTTCCACCTTCACTTTCCCCTCATTAAAGGTCCACCAGACAGGTGACAAGGTGACGTATCACAATGCACAAGAATACAAGAATAGCATAATAACCCCAGTGAATATCATGGTCACCTTCCTCCTATGATGACATACAGTAGGATATGGAGTGGTAGAGATATTACTAAGCAGTGAGGGGAAAAGCATTATCATCATTAAAATCAAGATCAAAATCAGGACTTCTTATCCGCCGATTGGTGTAGATGGGAAGCAGGAAATCATGTTTCCATCGGGTGGATTTATCAAAGCTTCGAGAGCCAGGCGACTCCTTAAAGCAAAAGCATAGTGTCAGATAAAGCTGCACATGGATGCATTACATCCATGTGGCCAGCTGGCCTTACATACATATATAAAAAAGAATAATAAAATAATAAAATAAAATGAAAACAAATACCACGATATCACAAATCAATCATCATAAAATGTAATAATACTTAAATGATAGGTGATTGAATGCTGCAATCTGGTTTTTAGAAACTTCTACCAAGAGCTGCTGTGGAAGGTATTAATAATCATCTGACACTGACAATCGGGGCTCTTTTAAATATCTGTTGGGAGTTCAGAATTCAAAGTTCCAACCCGACAGGAACGCTTATTATTTAAATGAATAAAGTAGCTGGAGTGAGATATGAAACTATCACCTGGGTAATGGAAGCGTTGCCAACCACACATGCACACAGAGGGGAAAGTCTTGTACTATAAATTAATGACAGCCTCTTAGTATGCAGAAGGAATTCCTAATAATTATCTATAATAAACCTTAATTAATCTCAGCCTATAAGACATCACTCTGCTATGCAACAAGAGCATAATCAGGTCTAAAACGCACACATACAATTATGTACACACACTCACACTTCACTTAAGTTGAAGATAGAACACTTCAGAAAAAACAAAGTGAGAACAAAAAATAACGAGTCCTTGTATTCTTTGGACTGGATAGACAGATTATTGTGCGTGTGTGTGCGTGCACATGTGTGCGTATGAGTGTGTAGGTAGATATTGTGATAAGCAGAGGCTCTGATTTGCTCCGCCGGGATCGGCCCGGCCCGCCTCTCATCATTGCCGAGTCGTACACAAACACTCTCGCCGGCTCTGGCCTCACGCTCTGCATGTTGAGCAGCCGGGCTCCTCCTCCAGCGGCGTTTGTAGGGGTCTGACATTGGAGTTCGGCTTAGCTGCTGCTGGGAGAGAAAGCTCCGGTTTATCAGACTAGAGGACGAGGAGCTTCTCGGCTCGGTTCTAGAGTGACATGAGTCCACACTTCAAAAGTCATTCATGTGGTTAACCATTAATAAAGGATGATCTTAGCTTAGCGCTAAAGAGCCATTTGCATCCTCCACTCAAGCGTAACCACATGAACTGAGACAGGAAGTAGCATAATGGCGCAAAAAAACTCCCATGTTTCCCACGTTTCTTTGTATCAATAAACTGAAAACAATCGCAAATTATTACCTCCGCTGACAATGTCGCAACACATTGCGATATACTAAATTGTGTGTATACACATACAGACCAAAAAAAGGTTCTCCATCAACACTTTGTTTTGTCCAAGGCAGAATTGTTCTTCCTCAAAAGAGCTCTGTTTTAAAGTATCCGCTCCCACTCATCTAGCTGCATGTTTTTTATTCTTGTTTTGCTGCCGAGTGATATATTCTTAATACTCTGCCTCTGACGTATGTTTCACACTGCAGCACATCTCGTCTTCCCTCCATTCATCTATTTAAAATAATTATGTGTTGTTTGCTTCTCGCGAATGTCTCAATACAACTTCACAATGCAGCACAAGAGTACACTGAGTGATGCTTCTACTCATTCATATTCTCTCCCTTTTACCGCGTCTGCGTGCTTCTTCATATTCACGTTTTTTTTAAGGATGATTTTGTAACATCTGCAGACGCAGACTCTATTAACTGAATATTGTTGTGCATCCCTGTTTTGCATAATGATAATAAATGATCCTTCAATCTCTGAATCTGGTGCAAATAAATGCAAATATGTGCACTGTCCCCACCAAAAAGATTGTTCTAAAAGGTTTTGTTGCCATTTACGCAGTAATTTATTTTCTATGGCCCAAAATCACAAATTGCCTCATGAGACAATCTGTACCAGTATCATTCTTTGACCCTCACATCGGCAGAGCAGAAACTCTCCCTAAACAAAATCCTTCCACGGGGAAAAGAAAGGAAGGAACCATGTGGAGCGTCAGAGTGGCGGATCCCTCTATTAAGATGGACAGAAGTGTGACGGCTGTCATGTATATAGATGGACATGCAGAAAATGTACAATATGATCAATGCATATTGCAGAAATTACTCAAATATTAGTAGTAGTAAGCCACATAATGATTTAAGATGACTACTAATATTAACATCAGACTGACAATGACCACAAAAGAAGTAATGCGTCAGAAACACTGACTTCTTATAATAATGAGAGCAGCCGTGGACATCAGGCCAGACCACAGCAGCAACAAATGTGAGGCTTCACTACCTCAAGGAGACACAAAAACGGATCCTTCCTCAAGAGGATCCTTTCGCCACAAGCCGTAGAACTTTACTACTCGTAGTAAAAGCGGATTACAGTGTTACGCACTACAGTCTCTACAGACTGCAATGGCAGCTGAGTCACTATTTGCTCATACTAGGTGATGGGATAACACTGCAGCGACCCAATGGCTTGATTACTAATTTTATTTTTATTTCCGACAGCACGCTACACAACACATGGGATCCACGGCAGTACTGCAGGGGGGCGTAGAAATGTTGGTTCACTAGACCATTTATATTTATTTCCTGCAAATTGAAACAGGAATGTTGCGGATGGATGAATGGAGGCAGACGACGTCTTTCAATCAGAAATATAATAGTAAAATGAGAAAAACTTCAATTTAAATAACTTGTATGCATAATTATGATAGAAAATGTTGATATTGGCATTGGTATCAGTTTACAAAGTATGATCATAAATGGCAGCGGCATGCCCCCCCCTCGTCAGGGATAATTCATCTAGATGGTTAGAAAAGATCTCTGAAAAACATTTTACTGCACCTTGCACATGTAAAGAATAAAAACAGGAATATATGAACTTGTGCATCATTACAATAGCTTAGAATTGAATCCACAATAACAACATATATTTACACATTGCACAAGGCCCAGTTTAGTATAGTTTATACAATATATATAGCACACGGTCCTTACAATTTGAGGGTCCTGGGCGTGAAAACCTTGAAGACCCCTAATGGACATTAATAAACTAATAATTGTGCGGGCTAGTGAGGGGAACAATGATCAATCAGCTAGTGGACTTAACCTGCTGTCCCCTGCTGTGCATGTGTTAGGTTGTGTAGTACTTTACTAGTCTTCTGACCACTCAAAGCGATTTGACACTTCATGTTATCATTCACCCATTCACACCCATACACACACTGATGACAGGAGCTACCATACACAGTACCATACACAGTGCCACCTGCCCATCAGTAACTAATAGAAGAAGCAGAAGTTTAAAAAAAAGCTGAGTTAAAGTGTGACATAACTTTATTTCTTTTTATTAAGTACTGGTGCTATAACATCCTGCTTGATAATTGATTTACAAACGAGCTGGAGGTGAAAAAAGTTTTCCCAATTGGACAAATAACTACAACTTGCATCACTTCTAAATGCACTGAGCTCCTTTTGGGTATTAAAGACATGGGTATATGGCTCCTCTGCAGCATGTACTTGTGTGTGTGTGTGTTTACCTGAACGTCTTTCTGCCTCTGTTCCATTACAGGAAGCTCCGTCACAGCCGTGGAGGGAACGGCCAGCTTGGCCTCGCACTGCTGTAACCATGCCAACAGTGTCAATATGGTTTCCTTGTAACGAGCCGGGGGCAAGCTCTCCAAAACTGCAGAAAGGGACGGAGACGCACGTCAGAAAGGGGCCGCAAACTGCTAATGGCATCTTTTCTAATTTAATATTCGAAACAAAAATATAGCAGCCGGAATAAATATTTCGTAATTACAAATCGTAAAGAAATTATTTGTATGAATAAATGATTAATTAACAAAATGCAAAACAATAGCATTTATGTAATTGAATCAAATCTGCGATGAATGGAGAGATACATTATGTAACTATAGCGCAGAGAATATAGCTAATTAACATTATTTAAGATACACAAATACTTCTTTTTTTAAATAGGTTGATGCTCCTGTTACTTAGATCCTTCGAATTACTGTAGAATGTAACTTACTTAAGGCAAACATCAAAATATAAATATACAAATAATTATTTGTAATCTAAACAAGGCCAGTGTTTAACAATGCGTTCCGTTTACAGCGACCATGACGGCTCAAAGTGCCTTTCCACGAAATTAACAGAATTAAATAGAATATTTAGTTAGAATCCAACGTAGTTCAAATATGTCTTTGTGTACAATTGAAAAGAACCAATTAAGGAACAAGAAGCCTCCTTTGCTTACTTTATTTTATCTTTATATCATTAACTGGGTAATATTACTTGACAAAGGTCATGGCTCCTCTGGATCCTGTTGTTTTTTTCCCCTGCTTTTAGACATCCACCTCACTCATGGTCCCCAGAAGACAATCTCTACTCCCTTTGGTGATCTCAGAAATCAACTTATCACCTATAATGTATACGAAAATCTTGAACATACAAGTTCGTAACAATACATACGAACTGGCGGTGGTTAACCACGCCCCTTCAGTGAACAACATGGCGGACCATGTTGGATTCTTGAGTGAACGTCTCTCCGTCATGTTGGATTTTTTGAGGGTGTTAGGGTTAGTATTCTATTTTTATAAGTTAACATTGATTTCTCGTTAAAAATGCAACCATAACACGTTTATTTTACATCGTTAGACTTCACAAAGTGTGTTTATGGGGCGCAGGTCCCCATCCACACTATAGGGCGACGTCATCAGTTGCAGTCCGTATTTATTTCGTATGTATCACTACGAATTTGTATGTTCAAGATTTTCGTATACATTTTTACAAACAGGTTTTGGAGATCAGGCTGCTGCAAACATTGTACTCTCCTGATTTCCTAATTGGGAATACTTTTTTACATCTTGCATTCACTACCATTTCTGACTTTTATACTTTATAATGTTCTCCTTTGGTAAACCTTTTCATTCGTTTTGATGAAGGAAACCTCCCCATCTCATTTCAACTGACTCACTTCAGAGAGAAAACCCCTAAAGGAAAATGTATAATTTACCGGCACATTCCTTCAGAATTTATTTATATTTTTGCGTATGTTTCTCTGTATTTGAATTTGGCACCGTCATCTTTTTTAGCTTTGAGCAGTGAGTGTTTCAGATGTCTCACCCCTGGCGTGGATAAGAAAAGTGCAGCGTGTTGGGAGAAGCTGTCTGAGCAAGTAAAAAATGTAGAATTTGTGGGTTAGCATCTTTTTCTCTCTTGGGTTTATTTTCTCTCTGCTTTGTTTTTCACATTCTCATTTATTCCCATCATTCCCATCCTCTTCAAAGCAAATAGCTCCACGCACTTCTTTTGACAGGGCGTTTGTCCGATTTAGCGTCGCCTCGTTTTGATGGCTGCAGCTTTCGGCCTCTTTATCGATCTCGCTGTCTCGCTGCCAATGTTTTTCACACACAGCATCTTAATCAAAACACGGTGAGAGCAGCGCGCAGTTGGACCAAATGGTTCATTCTCACTTTCTAAACCTTTCTGACAATACCGTACACTAAAAGAAAAAAGACACGATTCATGAAAGGTGGAAGCCAAAACCACAAGGGCACATAGGTTTGGGGGTCTTACAATGTTCCTGTACTGAATAGACCTGTTAACAGATTGTGTGGACGGTCAGGCCCACAAAGTCAAATGCCATGAGATGCACTCTCCGAATGTGGAGAGTGTGTAAGACACAGCACAGGGACAAAGACACAGCCCAGGGACATGGACACAGCACAGGGACAAAGACACAGCCCAGGGACACAGCACAGGGACAAAGACACAGCCCAGGGTATAGACACAGTCCAGGGACATGGACACAACCCAGGGACAAAGACACAGCCCAGGGACATGGACACAGCCCACGGTATAGACACAGTCCAGGGACATGGACACAACCCAGGGACATGGACACAGCACAGGGACAAAGACACAGCCCAGGGACATGGACACAGCCCACGGTATAGACACAGTCCAGGGACATGGACACAACCCAGGGACATGGACACAGCACAGGGACAAAGACACAGCCCAGGGACATAGCACAGGGACAAGGACACAGCCCACGGTATAGACACAGTCCAGGGACATGGACACAACCCAGGGACAAAGACACAGCCCAGGGACAAGGACACAGCCCACGGTATAGACACAGCCCAGGGACATGGACACAGCTCAGGGACATGGACACAGCCCAGGGACATGGACACAGCCCAACTACAAAGACAATGCACAGAGACAGAGACACAGGCCATAGACACAGCCCAGGGACATGGACACAGCCAGATGCGTCTGATGGGTCGTGGTTGAATTTGCATTCTGTCCATTCTGTAGCTCTAAAGTGATTTTCAGCCAGGGAAATGTGACAATAACATCAGCTCAACGGCACAACAAGAGACGTCTCATGGCAGATTCAATGATCCAACAGCCGTCTGCGATATGCCTCAATATGGCTCCGGCCTCCCAACCACCACGACACGTGTGTCAGAGTGTTGCGTTGTTGTTGTTGTTGTTGTTGCTATGGGTGGGGACATTAGCCACTCCCAACCGCTCTACTGCAGTGTGGGCTCTAGCAGGCTGCCGAGGCCGACTTTCCACTGCGGGAATCTTTTTTGTTATTTTTTAAAGGGTCTGCCTTTTAAACACGTAATAAAATGACAATTTCAAGGTGCAGATATCCTAAAGCTTGATATCTCAAATTTCTTTCAACACATTTACTTTGGTTGGATGGATTAAAGGATGGTACGATTTTACGTGGCAATTGAAATGCCAGGAAAATGTTTTTTCAGAGAACCTTTCCACCCATTTAGATGAATTATCACCTGAAGTTCATCGTTACACATCTCGAGGGGAGCCAGTCAGAGTCAGCTGTCATTTGTCATTCAGCGATGCAAGGATTTGCCTCCAAAGTGTTAACGAATCAGTGGATACCTGAACATTGATATCATCAATTGTCCCACGAGTAATGGGGTTGTATTGGGAAAAACAACAGAAATGTTCAGAATGTAGTCAATTACGTAGTCGTATTTTGGATCACAGTCAGATTTAAAACAGTGTTACACAGACACAGGATTTCAAATACTTTACTTGTGTTTTCTTTTGCACATGTCATGTATATTGAGCTTTTCAACTGGTTATGATTTGGGATGTTTTTCATTGAATCCTGCTAGTTTTAATTACCACTGGGCTGGAAAGTAGCTATCTAATTTGGCTGCGGTAGATGTCGAGCTAAAGGCTAACATGCTAGCCAGGAACATGTTAGTTCTAGTCGGCAATAACACAATACAATCACAATAGCTCACCAAGCCTGTTAGCTAGCTGACTGTTTATTGTTAGCTAACCGTCATTTAGCACGCTTTTTGTCTTTTGTTACTGTTGTAAAGTTTTTCCTAATAAGTTGTTGAGCAGCTAATGAAAAGGAAAAATTCACTAAGTCTGTCTGCATGCAGACATAATAATATCGGCTTATCCCACCATTCTTAATCGGAAAATAAGGCCTGAATTTAGAATATCCAAAAGGAATATGATGCTATCTAATAAGCTGCGATTGCTTCCTCCATTCCCTCGCGTCTAGCACTGTCCAGAAGGCTTTGCTCATCAAGTCTTTCAAGGTGAATTCACCATGAACATCAACACTGCTTTGATGAAAATTCCTCCAAATTAACTCTAACCGACTGCACCCATTCGACTGAGATCAAGAGCACCTACACAAATACAGGTGCTACAAGGTACAAGATTCTTCAGTGGAATCAGCGTCCCTCCTCTCTCACCCAGATGTAAGTGCTTCTCTCTCGCCCTCAGATCCTCCAGGACCTTGTGGTAGTGCTCTTTGAAGGCAACGACGTCGGCGTCCAGGAAGGCCGAGGGGTCCTCCTCCCCCTCCTTCTCTTCTCTCAGCTCCTTCAGCTGAGCCTCTAGAAGCTCCACCTGGGGCTGCAGGGAGGCCAGGCGAGTCACCTCCTCCTGCACATGAAAAAGCGCCACGTCACGAATGAAAAGCACGCCTTCACTTTACTGTTTTGGAGAAAAAAAAGGATTCCATGTCGTTTTATTCATACTCCAACACAAAATGATCTGTGGGAAAAAAGTTTTGTGTTCGCATCTCTAAGCTCCATTCCATTTGCCGTGTGCTCGATCAATTGTATTCTACAGGAATGTTAAAGCACAGTCCTTATTGTTAATGAGTAGTAAGCCAAGCAGTAAATTGGACCAGCTCAGAAAAATGTGTAGAAACTTTTCTCCTTTAACTGTACAAAGAGAACAAGATAAAATCCTAACTTTGTCCTCATTGGAGGAACACAGATTTTCAATAACTGCACTTACCTACGTAAATTGGCCTTAGAAGTAATGCTAGGCTCCCACTGTGAACAAATAGGCTGAAAAAATACACGCCTTAATCCACAAATATACACAGCACACAGGACTTTCCACTTAATCTGGTCTTGAAGCGGTGGAGTTTTGTGCTATTAGCTCAAGATAACATAGTGGTGGTATCAATGATAGTAGACTGAGGAGGCCAGATTCAAAGTAGTGAGCTGCATGTCTGTGTATACTTGGGAATACAAATATCCAAAAATGTCAAACAATTACATTTACATTACAGCTACTTTCAATGCTATGAGTATTTGAAGAATTTTACCAGGATTTGTTGCAAACACCAGAAATATAAAATGTCCCCGGGCTCATCCTTGTAGAGCAAAAAACTAGTTTCAACTAGTCCCCTTAAATCCCATCAAAGGGGAGAAGGATGAGTCCAAGTGAGCTGCAGGATGTGGCGGGTTACGGTTAGGGGTTAATGTTCACTCGTCTGTCCTGGGGGTTTAGGGCTCACGTCCCCTGTAACACTGAGTCCGTGAGACGACTCTGGACTCCTTGGGCCGGTTTCGGAGACAAGGCTCAAGCCTAGTCCCAGACTAAAATGCTGTTTGAGCTGGCTTAACTGAAATTCACTTGCACAGACGTAGCTTAAAATACTCGTGGATTAAGCCTGTTCTGGATTAAACAAAGCCGATTGCAAAATTGAGCATTAGAGCTACTCCAGGACTAAATTGGACTGAATTGAAGCTTAAACTAATCTGCCAAGGAGGCAGGTTTAACTCCCGCTTAGTAGGCTAGGCTACTGTTTGTGAAACTGAGCTTGGATTGTTTGGGAGCATGGACTATTTGGAATATCTAAATGAGGACCAACATGCACGACAAAGGCCAGCCAGACGAATACTGCTGGATAGGAGTGATCCATTGAATCAGTTTGATGAAATAACTTTTCGAGACCGCTTTCGTATGCACAAGGAAAATGCATTGGAGATAATTACTTTGCTTGAGCCTAGACTTTCCTCTCTGTCTCAAAGAGGAAGGCCTGTGTCCAATCAACTGCAAGTTCTGATCACTTTGAGGTTCTTGGCATGTGGAATCTTTCATCGTGAAACTGGTGATTTGTGTGGTGTCAGTGAACCAACTGTATGTAGAATAGTTCACAAAGTCTGCAGTGCCATTTGTGAACTGAGGAGTCTTTACATCAAGTTCCCTGATGCTGCTGGGCAAGCCAACTATAAAGTGCAATTCTATGAATATGGGCACTTTCCAGGAGTGATTGGCTGTATAGACGGATGTCATGTTCCCATCAAGTGTCCATCAACTCCTGATGCAGAGGAATACAGGAATCGTAAGAACTGTTTTTCAATCAATGTTCAGGGTGTATGCACTCCTAATTTGGAGTTTTCAAACATTGTTGCCCGTTGGAAAGGTGCAACCCATGATTCAAGGATTTTTCTCAACTCTTCATTGTGTGCACAATTTGAGAGTGGACAACATAGTGGACTACTACTTGGTGATAGTGGATATGGTCAGAGTAACTATTTATTCACACCACATCTAAATCCTCACAACAGCTGAGCAGCAAAGGTACAACAGAGCTCATATCCGTACTAGAGGGATGATCGAGCGTATGTTTGGAGTATGGAAAACTCGATTCCAGTGCTTACGAAATACGATTCGTTTCAAGCCAAGAAGATGCTGCAAAGTGATCATTGCTACAGCTGTGCTGCACAACTACCTGAAGCAGCATGGCTGTCCTGACCTGCCAATGGAAGATCAGGATGATGCAGATGTGCCCATGGTGGCAGAGGCAGCCAATGACCAGCGAGGACTTGCACACAGAGCTGCTTTCACAGTGCAGCACTTCAGCATTTAAATATGGAATGTATCCATTATGGTATGGTGGTGCTTGCATACTGTTTCTGTACAAAATTACAATAATGTAGCAAAATTAAACTAGTGAACCAAGTCGGGTAAAATGTAGTTTGTGATGATTAATACTCACTCACACGCCAAATGACAATACATTTATTTTTATTTTTCACAATTCCTCATATTCACCATGGCTACTAGTATGCAGAATTCTTTTTTGGAGCATAGCCCTCTCTCCCAATTTCATATCCAGTTCAACCTCTAGAATTCTCATTTTCATTTCATGTTCTTCTTTTAAATATTCAATTTTACGCTCATGAAATTCTCTGGCTAACTTTTCATGCATAGTTATCTTTTTTGGTCTCTGTTGGATGGTAGCAGCTTCATCTCCCAGGGGTGCCATAGCAGATGTGGAGGGTTCAGGCTCGTTGTGAACTGGCTCTTGATTGGTTTCCTCTGGAAAAAAAGACCACTGTTCCAAACTCAAATCAACTAATATGGTCCTGTAACCAATTTACTTCCTAAGGTATATTTACCATTTGTGCTCAGTTCTCCATGTTCACTGTCCAAATGGTCATTGTCTGGTATACCATCCAGAGGTTGCTGGTGCTCTATTATACCAGACAGCAAGTCACCCAATTCATCACATGTGTCCTTTATTGGTGGTCCACCACCTGTAATAAATCGCTCTCTTCTGCTTGCTGCATTCTCTTTTTTTAATCCCAGTTTAATGTTCTTCCATAGAACCTATGAAGGCAGATATCATTCATTAGTTTTCTTTTTTGATGTCACAAAAATAGTAATATGGGAAATCTGAAATACTGGTACTGATAAGGCATAATAAAAATAAGTTTGTCTCCTGATAATTTAGGTCATGGTGGAGAAATGATTGTATATTTCTTTCCCCCTCACATATAGGTATGGATTTTCCTTTGTGCAACATATCTTACTCTACCACCATGTTTAACATGCATATGCCCCTTTAAAATAGGTTACTATCCTTTTAAACAGGATATTCATTCAATGTGAATGCTACAAGCAGCAGGAGTATTGTATTTGGGTAGGCCATAAATAAGCAGGGTATAGGCAACAGGAAACAAACACATATTTTTGTGCCTAATAATGAAGATTAACTCACCTGCAGTTGTTGTACTGTTCTTGTGGTGACATCTTCATTTGCATTGAATTCTTTGCCAATTGCAGTCCAAGCACTTCTTTTCTTATGTTCAATAGCAGCAGTATGGATTTTGCTTTCAATGACTGGATGGTTCGATACAATTAGTTTTAGTAGTGCTTTTTCATGCTCACTATAATTTTTGGAGCGAATTCTCTTTGCCTCTGACATTGTGTTGTCTCAAAATTCACTGCAACAATGGTGTTTCATACTCCATTTCAGGTTTTCATGAGCACAATTGGACCAACAGCCTGTGCTTCCACTTAGTCTAATGAGGCTTGAACCAGGTGTTCTCATTAAGCTTACTCCAGGACTCCATAGTCTCAGACTAACTAAGCCAAATTTATGCCATGTTCATGCAAGCCACTTAAATAGCCAGGATTAACTAGTCTGATTTAGGCCTACTTCAGTCTTGATTTAAGCCCTGTCTCCGAAACCGGCCCCTTGTTAGTGATGATGTGAGAGAAGACAAGCATTTAGAACCTCCACCCAATATAGTTCCACAAGCTGACCATTTGCCATCAGGGAGGTTGTCGTGTAAAGCGTTTTATATTTTGATGAAGTCTGCTCCTGTTAAATATAACGGTAGGAAAGTATTTCTTCATTGGGAAGCATTTGTGTTGTGTGTTCTACCTTTTGTGTGTATAGAAGTATAAATGTCTGTGCGAATGTGCCAATGCAGGGAGCAAGACATACTTGTAGAAAAATGTCAGCGCTCCGTCATTTCAATTCTCCTGCCTTTCGTTTTTCTTTCTTGATACTTTTACTGTTCTTCATTCTTTAATACTTACAAAGCTGTCAGCCTGGTGTGGTACTTTCTCTCAATACCTCTCTCACTTGAATTATTCCCCCCCTTCTTGCATCTCTCCTCTTTCCCCCCCAGGGCGGCTTGTCACTTCTCCTCCTCTGTTGTTTAGATGTTAGTGAAATCAAACAGCGTGAGTGTTCTATGCCATTCAATAGCCGTCCACCTCAAGACGCCCACTCAGAGACAGGCCCATTTAGTCTGAGGCAACGGTTTCAGAGCCGGACACTCCCCCCCCCAATTTATAAATTGGCCCGATTAAAACTATGGAAATCAACCTTTTTATGCAAGACAGCTATCACTGAGTAGCTTTTAAGAAAACTTTCAATTCCGCCGTCATGGGGGTGCGATTTCCTGTCATATTCATGAACTTTTATTTGTAACTTGATACAACAAAACACTTTTATTGTAAGGAATTTTATAGGAAACCCTTTTTTAACCTTTTTCTTCATTCGTAAACACAGAAGATAAAACAACTTAGATGAAACAAAAGATCAACAAAATACGTCTCTTTTGCATTCCAGGGCTTCCTTGGCAAACAGCTAACCCGTGCCTGTCAAAAGTTTGAAGAATTTGATAACCCCCACTTTTAAAGTTTTATTATTGACAAGTTGCATCTGGTTTATTAATCTGTACACCAGAAGAGAAAGTAATGATTTATCCTTCATCATTATGTCTACTCTTTAATTCTACAATAAGTGGCATTACTTTCTTTCTATAAGAGAATAAGTTAATTGAGTTTAGTCTGTGGTCGGTATCAATTAAATCAAAATGTATAAATAATATCATAATATATAAATATTAAAAAAAACAGCTAACAGGTGTTGCTAAAGCTTGTTGGATCTCCGAATCGTCTTCACTCACCCGGCATCGATCCAGCTGTGCTTTGAGCGGTTCTGGTTCGGATGCTGGTGGCGCCTGGACTTTGAGCCAGTTCTCACTGGCGTCCACAGCCTGATCACACTGCTCATACAAGCCGTAGAAGGCCAGCACCTGTGAGACGGACGCACACGTGGGACGCGGTCAGATTCAAGAGGGGGAGACTCTCTTTGTGTCCCACAAAGACACAAGCAGACGGCCACAAAACATCGGTCTCCTTTCATACAAACCTTCTCCCCTAGTTTGCAGTAGTGCTGCGTGATGAGTCCTTTAAGACGTATATAAGGAAGCATAACTCGTATAACTTCAAAGATATATGTTCTAATTTATGTTGGGTCATTATTTTGAATTGAATTGAATTGAATTGATGTCTGCGAATAACGTCACAGCCCGCCTGCGACAGGAAGCCGTGGCTATTCAAAAATGTTATCCGCCCCAGAGTAACTGAATTTTATCTCAATAAGCAACCGGCATTGTGTTTAGTTTCATGAGATCTGTAACAAAGGAAATGGGTTCAGACTTCAGACAGTCTGTACATCTCAATGTACATTGCATTCGTTTACAAGCTGATCAATCAAAAAGTATCATCATTTGCATATCTATTCTGCCAGACTAAAAAACTCCACCAAAATATTAGCATTTAACTTCCTCCGCTATTAATTATGCAAATGATCTAAAAAATGATACTCATACAAATAATATCTTTGTACACCAAAGGTTTCACGCATCATTTTTTCCCCACAAAAATAAAAGGTGATACATGACTAAAATTAAACTATGACCGGTATTTTCTTCCGCATCGGTCCATATGTATATATATATATTTGCAGAATTGCTGTCAACAGTTTGTGTGAAAGAAAAGGGAAATCAAGAAAGATTAATTGTTAGACATAATACATTTACATCTACATAAATAAATACTTCAAAATAAACGTGATAAAACATTTTAACAAACAATTGAACATAAATGTCGCTGCCAGTAATTCCACAAATAATTTAAAAATAAAAAGAACAGACAAAATAAATGGGAAAACAGTTTATTAAGGCAGGATCATGTATAATGTAGTCTGTGTTAAAGTTTTAATATATAGCATCATGTCTACTAAGACTCCTCCATGGGGCTTGACCCGGACTAGGGACGGGAGAAAATCATTGCGGTAGTGCAAAAGTCTTTGCCCGACGACGGGGATCGTCCCGCTCCACCACGGCCACCCCAGATGTGTGTGTGTGTGCGCGCGCGTGTGTGTGTCTACCTTCGTCTGGTAAGCCAACCAGGCCACCCTTTCGGCCAACAGGACACAGAATCCCGACCAGCGCTGGTTCAGTTGCTCCGCTGCCTGTGCAATGTCATCAGCACGACTCCCCTCTGTGGAGGGGGGGCAGAAGAAGAGAGGGGGCTGTCAAACATACACCCACAGGCACGCGCACAAGTGGTCTCTATGTACAGACTACACACAAAGTGTAGTGAATGTCCTGTGTAGGCGAGGTGAGCCATCAATACACGAATTGTGAGCTCTACAAAGCTGTGTACTCACTCACACACACACACACACACACACACACACACACACATACCTCACTTTCACTGCTGACAGTAAAAGAAAAAATGTAAATGGACAATTCAGGGCGAATGTAAAAGGCCAGTGCCCGGAAAGTGTAAACCTCTAAAAGGTTCCAGGAGGGAATAATCAATGCTAAAGTTGTACGCGCGTGGATCCACGCCCGGCCTCTAAAAGGGCGGCCTGAAGCCCATCGGCCCGATGATAATTGGACCTGGAAGGCAGCGCCTGGTGTCTCCAGATTGTTGCTTCTTCCTGTAACGGAGCCTCCATTAGGTTCCACTTGCATATTGAGTGCTTGGCGGATGGCGTCTTCCAGTAAAGGCTACGTACTATAAATACAGCAGGAGTGTTAAATGCACCCTGGAAACAAAGATCTTCCACACATCAAAATATCATTTGTGTGTATATATATATATATATAGTAGTGCTGATTAGAATTTTTCTCGTCGGTTAATCGCAATTATTGTGTAAAATTCAATAATACGTTTCCAAATAGTGTATTGTGCACTTTCATTGTGTGCATCGCTTTTAAACATATAACATGCTTTTTAACAGCAGTATTCCTTTATACAATAGTAGTGAAAGTATTTATTGTGAATCGCAACTCAAACTTAATTCAATTATAAAAATACAAATTAATGTAATCAAATCAAATATGAAACTAAAGCTACTTGAAGTCTTTTATCCGGGAGCAGCATAAACAGTCTATGTATCTATCAGTAATAAATCTATTAATAATCTGTGCTCAGTAGCAGCTGCCGTTAGAGTGAGGTGGTCCAGCACTAAGTACGCATCAGGGATTTGCTGAGCAGGGACTTTTTAGTCTGCAAACTGGATTTCGTGGATTGGATTTCCTTTTGGACAACCACACTTTCAGTGATGCAGGTTATTAATACCTTTGGTTCTAACAACTCCATCTGGAAGCGATTTTAAATGAAAAAGTACACGTAAGTACTACCTTTCTCCATTTCACTCCATGTCAGCGTTAATTAATTAATATGTTAACGCGATAATAACGTTAACGTGCCCAGCCCTAATATATTCTGTATACAGACACACATACAAATACGCAGTGAACAAGTTAAGCAATGATTTTCTGTCATGTTCTATTTGCATAGTAGTCACAACGGTGACAATGAAATGATCATTTGAGTGTGTCTCTGCTTTAGAAAGCTCAGAAGACTCCACAAGGACATGTCTCTCTCTCTCCGTCTGGTCCTTTCTCTACCAGTGTTTCTATGGAGACAAGGAGAGAGGGGGTGGGACAGGTGGAGTTGTTGCCATGGGGACAGACAGGGGCGTGCATGGAGGTACGAGAGTGCACGTTTACCCTGCTCGACCAAGGTCTGCGCCGTGCGCGTCGCTTCCTGGAGCTTACGGTACTTCTCCGGCCGCTCTCTCTCTATCGCCTGTGGCAAAGAGACAGCGAGGGGGAGAGAGATAGAGAGCGAGAGCAATGGGGCAGAGGTAGAGATAGGAGGTTAAAGAACGACAGCAGGATTATTTATTGCAAAGGAAATCGGGAGACTACTACTTCCACTGAGTAAGAGCTCCTGTGGCTTTTTAATCAACCTCTGACATTTCTACCGCCGCGACATTCGAGGCGACCCGAGTGCGACCGAGCATTTTGTGGGCACGACGACAGTGAGGTTGGGCGCTGATTATTTAAAGGCCTATTCGCCATGTTAGATGAGGAAATCAGTATCCAGGCAATCGTCGTCAAACAATTTGGGGACAGCGGTTATCTATTAATTTTCCAGTAGGTTGAAGTTACCAACAGCTCACAGCGAAGGGTCACATGGCAAAGAAGTCATGGCACAGTGATTTCATTCTCATCATTTCATATTTTTTGAGTTGTCTGATTTGCTTCTGTTTCCACTATTTATGCTAAGCTAAGGTAGTTCTAGAATTCAGTAGTGTGCGGACATGAGACGGTCTGTCTCATGTTCATCAGCTGTTCCTTTGCAGAGGTTTGGGGTGTGGGGTATAGTGCCATCTAGTGGTGAGGCTGGAGATGGCCACCGACTGAATACCCCTCAGCTCAAGGGTATCTACATAAGGGAACTACAGTGGCAAGAAAGACTAGTGTTGGGTTTTCTTTTCAAAGCTCCTCTAGAAACACAGCGGACTCAATATAGATATGAATGGGTCAATTATTTGTAGTTTCAACTGATACGCTCAAACATATAAAATATCGTCGTGGCGCAGGGGGTAGAGCGCGTGAGCTGGGAAGTGTCCCTGAGCAAGACACCTAACCCCTAATTTTTCCCTGGTCCAAAATGTAAAAAAGCCATGGGTTTAAAGTGTGATGTAGGTCGCTTTGGATAAAAGCGTCAGCTATGTGACCTGTAATGTAATAATAAAACACATCATTATGAAAATTAAATGTAGATTTCAAATATCCTCTCCAGTAGGGAGAGCCAACATCTTCCCCAACAGGGGAATAAAAAAAACATCCTCCATAATTATTTTGGTTCCTAAAGTGGCTTCCTGGAAGAATTTAAACGCAGGACAAAACATGAGCTGCAGCAGAGAGCCCAAGAGGCAACTGAGGTCAGAGGAGATTGAAGAATTTGCCTCCCTTATTAAAATCCACCAGTTTGCATCTCTTACCAAAGTGCAGGGATCATTTGTAATGCTGCCTTTAGATTTAGCTTTCAAACAAGGTTTATGGGGATTGCAGGGGATTGTTGAACTGATGTAGTATGAATGATGGGTGTATTATGGTGTATTAAGAATGACTAACAGTTTGCGTTGTGCCTAATCTACAGCTTTAATTGTTTTTCATTTTATAAGACAGCGCTTGGTGAGCCATTTGGATGCTTTATCCATAGAAGCGCTTCTAATTCAGTGTGAATGAATTCATATGAGGGAGTATTTATACGTTTTGTCCTTTAATTTAAAGTTGAAACAAATGTTGTTGTTTTTTAAGAACAAGCACTAATTCAGAATGCATAACATGGGGAATGGGTTATTATGGTGTTTGGATTTAATGTTAAGTTATGGCTCTTAATTCTTACCAAATGTCATTACGCTTTATTTAGTTAATTAAAAAGCTTGTCCAACCAATAGTGTTAATAGGTTGTATTCCAACATCTAAATAGAAAAGCAGCCGCTCGCAGTGATGTGGCAACAATGAACAATCAGCAAATAGACCAGTCACTATGCTAAGCTCACTCAGATATGAGAGCGATATCGATCTTCTCTTCTTGCTCTTATGCAAGAAAGCAAGTGTTCTGTCAGAACTACAAAATCATTCCTTCGAGTCACATGGGAAGACATTGCTGAGATGTTGGTAAAACATTTTATATTATATATACTAGGGGGTTAGCTTTTTGGACTGAATTACTAAGCCGACTGAGATGGAAACTGGTTATCGCAGCGTGTCTCAGCAGATACAGCCACACAGGCCTCTTCAAGCTCCTTCCTCTCACCTTATCTGCCATTTAATGCTTATTCCCAAACGTAAGAGCCAAATCCGAGCCCTAAACTAGGCTTTTAGAGAAAGTGAGGACAGATCAAAATGTCCCGCCTCACACACACACACGGCGTATTCACCTGCACTTTGTCCCGCAGCTCCTGAATGCTGCCGTCCTTGCGTGACACAGAGAACTCGGGGCTCTGCAGGATGGCCTCGCCGCGGGTCATGTAGCTGTGGACCTCTGTGAAGTCCACGTCAAACCTGAGGACACACACGATCGCACGCATGCACGCACAATTGGCAATTTGAAATGCAATGCTGATATCGTTCTTTTGCTTTTGGTCAAGCAGCAATCAAACAAAACTAAAAAGTTACATAGATAAAAGAAAGTGAAAGCGAATGAAAAAAGAAAGAAATCCACCTCGTTTGATTGGATGATTCACTCCAATCAAACTGGAGAACTTGGATGGATCATATCAATAGATTATTATCCTTATTATTATACTTATAATGGAATTGGTTTCACTTTAAGTATCTTTATACATTCAAATAGAAATACCCATGCAAAGTACCAATTCCTCAGAGCTGTATTTGTAAGTACAGCACTTGTTGAATTGGTACCCTCAAGAGTGAATACTTGTGATAACTCCACCACTGCATGTGTTTTCTTGGGTCAATGCGCTCTACGAGTATCAAGAGGACTTTCATTTCCTACTTCACTACCATCACTGGTTCCATCACACACTCATCATCACCTACCTGCTGAGATAAGACAGCAGAAAGGGGTGCATGGAACTGAACATTTCACACAAGTTACAAGATTTAATAAAACCGTGTAATGATGAATCACAAAGATGTGGCCCTGAGGGTTGCAAAGCGCGCGCGCCCCCCCACCTTTTCCGGAGCTCAGAATCCACCACGACTTGTCTCTTCTTCTGTGGGGGCGGGGACTCCCTGGTCTGCCGCACCGCAGCCGGCACCTTCTCCCTGGATACCACCTTGGTAACGGTCGCCGTGACGGAGTGGGTCAGCTCGGACTGTTGGACCGTGCTGGCGGCCGATGAGAGCTGAATGTACGCGACAACAACAACTGTTTGACAGAGCGCACACAACAGCACGCGGCGTCGGTTTACAACAATCCGTCAAAATAAAACTGATCCCAGATCGACATACGCAGTCACTCAGTCACACACACACACACAAACACACACACACACACACACACTAAGAGTTCAAGCATCCTTGAGGCAATGAGTCAAGGATCAGTTATATCAATCACACATTATCACCAAAAAAGATTACAAGATGTGAGGGGTTGTGTGTGTGTGTGTGTGTGTGTGTGTGTGTGCAGACTGTTCCAGCAGGCAGGAGCTTTACAGTTAAGCTGCAAGTGCAACTACTAGGGCAGCTTTACTACTGTGGAAGCACACGTGCGTGTGTGTGTGTGTGTGTGTGTGTGTGTCTCTGCGTGAACGCAGTTGAAGTGGGGAAGACTGCGTGTGCCGGCAGAGGTCAATCCGCTAATCATCCAAATAATTATAATAGACAAGTGATTGCATACGTGAGAGAGAGACAGAGAGATGGAGTAAGCCACTTTTATGATTATTACCGCTCATGCATGAGTTTATGTATATTCCTCTACTCCTCGGCTCATACGGTCTTGATTTACAATATTTCCTCACAATTTTAACACAACACAACACAACAATATATTTAAAACACGTCGAAACAGATATCGTGTTCATAAATCTCTTTAACATCTCTCAGGCCTCCAAATGAGCCTCTCAAAGCATAAAAAAGATTTAAAAGATATGTCGATTATATTAGGAGAGGATGCTGATATTAGGTGAGCATTACTAGAGTGCTCCCTGAGAACAAGCACCTCAGGAATAAAAGTAATTCCAATTATCAATTTGCCAGCGTTACGTTCTCCGAAGGGCTCCAAGAAAGAAAAGCTACCTTGCGGCTACCTTACAATCTTTACTAAATTCCTCCAGCGCAGAGACTTAAAGACCAAGAGGGCGTTCTGGAGTAATGGAAGGACGCGAGACACTGAACATTTCCAGAGGTGATAAACATATCGCACACCCCAGGGCGATGCGGGTGAACAAAAAAATCGGACTACCCTCCCCGCTGGTCTGTACTGCGGCTTTCCTCTGCGAATGTGAGCTTGGTGCGTCTTTTATGACAGAGAACGTCTGCAGGGCAACAAAATGAGTGAGACTCATTTTAAGAAGAAAGCTCGTCAGTATGGCTTACGACTGCCTTGGTCTTCTATGATATGAGTCACTTTAACATCATTTTGACTTTTATGCAAGCAGGTATTCTTTTTTTATTAGATTTGCAAAATTGCGCCATTTCTTATGGTCCAATTTTGAACTTTCAGGTGGTGCTTGACATCTCGTGTGACAAATGCTTCCACTGGGAAAAGCTAACTGAATTGTAGCTTGAAATTAAATCAAGAGTATTCTATCAAAGCACTTTATTCTACATGCCTCCTTTAATGTAATAAACGTTTTTTCACTAAGCAGATCCTGTGAGAAAAATGAAAATCTTGCCCTCCTCGGGACAACTGGGAAGCCATGGATGACTCGGCAGTCACATGACATGAATGGGGAATAGGGAAACCTATCTAGACAGTTAACTCTGTAAGGCTAGTGGAGACAATATATATATATATATGAATTACAATAAACACTTTTTTTTCATGATTCATAGCATCATACATGTATGATTTGGAATATCTCTTTCACCTTGTGTACACATAATTAGTAACAAGGGTCATTTTTAAGTCGATTTAACAGCAGACAGGATCACAAGTCAGTGCTGCTCAGGAGGAAACGGTAGGTGAAGAGGAAAAAACACAAGACCTTCCGTCTGGTTCGAGTATTGACTAAAGCCTTGCGGGAAACCCACCAACGCTCTGGACTCACTCATCCTGCATCATACAACCGGCTGTGACACGGCGCACACAGGTGGTGAAACCTGACAGAAGGTGTGAGGCGGCGTACCTGGAAGCTGCTGGTCTCCAGACTCTGGATCAGTCGGTCCCAGCGCTGGGCGAAGCTGTCCAGCCGCGCCTCCAGTTTGCTGGCCACCTCTTTGTTCTTGACGCTGGATAGCAGGTCCTGACTCATGGAGCACAGCTTGTCCATGGCGGGACGCTTGGCCTCCAGATCCGCTTTCACCGCCTGGTGGACCACACACACACACACACACACACACACACACACACACACACACACACATGCAAACGTCAAAGAAGAGGGACTCACATTAACGTTTCTGTTCCTCCTTTTTGCCCAATGAAAGCGAGAGCAGATGAGCCACATGGAGACTGACAGCTAGACGGCGGAGGCAGGTCACCATCTCCGCCTGGTCCTTCAGGTTGAAAGTCTTGATGGAGTGAACCAGCTCCTCCTTCTGAGTCAGCCACGAGTCAAACAGACACTGCAGGGGGAGGAGAGGAGTGTGAAAAATAATCCACTCTCTGTCCTTAATTATGGGGCTTATAAGTTAACAAAGCAGAACTTAAGAGCTCTTTATTTCTGGAAGGAGGAGGAGACAGGAGACAGGAGACGAGGAGGACAAAGAAGCACAGAGGAAAGAAAGACGTTAGGACAGAGAAGGAAGGAGACAGGAGACAAGGAGGATGAAGAAGCATGAGGAACGGAAGATGTTAGAAGGAAGGAGACTAATAACTACTAACTATTTACTAGTATTTGACCCAAAGATGAAATATGAGTGACTTTGATGCTTTTTCCTGATCTTTGGGAATAATTAATCTAATTAAACTGTGTTGGTATGAATGTCTCAAAGCGATTGCAGCCAATTATATCTAATTATAAAACAGTGGAGAGTTCACTTCATGATGCATACGTACGTACACACAGTATTCAAATGGACTTAGATAATACATAAATATATGCTCCATCCCTTTTCATCTGTAAATCTTCAGTTTAACAAAAACTGAATCATCCACAATTTATTATGGTGTTATTGACCAAATATATCAGGAGAAATTCTTGAAATATTCCTCTTTGGTTTTAATCAAGGAATATTCATATAATAAGGAAAACCAACAAGTGTTAATTTCCCTTTAAGTACACCATTAAAATATCATTTTTGTAAAATAAAGCATAAACAAAGGGTGGCCGAGACCCTGGAGGCCATGACACCCATCTGATATTGGGATTTTGAATAAGACTGATTAGTGAATCATAGAGCACGAGCAGATTGGATATTGTAACACATTTAATCTCTTTTAAAAAGTCTGCCGTGGCCAAAAATAAAATGGCCAACTAATGTTTTAGCTGATGAGCATAACATAATGACATGCTGATGATCTCCAGCTGTGCTGTTGGTTTGATACCAGTGGATAAGACGACTGGTTACACATATCACATGTTTCCTACTAGTATTGAAAAACCATCTGGATTATGATTATTACATATCGGGATAAGAACAAATGCATGTTAGCGCTTATCTGAATTTATGTCTACTTAATTCTCTGTGAGACGACAAGAAAATAAAAGTACATATACCGATATATCACACACATACAGACACATATATATACACACACACAGGTTGTATAGTCATTTTTGAAGTATTCATTTATGTCCCAAAGCATCACCATAATACTGAAATAAATAGTTTTGTGTTCATACTATAGTTGATAGCAGGTGTAAACAAGGTCAAAGATTAACAGAACAGATTTGACATCTTGTTTTTTCGGGGGATTGTAGCGCCAAAGATATGTTTCAGCTCCAGTACGACGCTTCGTCTGAGTGGTGTCTACTGAAGTTACAGACTACTTCTTTCCTTCCTTTGTCACCATCCTTTCGAGAACACGTCTGCCTCAGCTTCAAATTGTCCCTGAAAGCCGGCGGAATGTGGGAGCAGACACGATCCTGATGATCTAATCTCATTACACATGCAGGAAATACTGCTGTGAATCGTGCCTCAGCATCTCTCTCTCTCTCTCTCTCTCTCTCTCTCTCTCTCTCTCTCTCTCTCTCTCTCTCTCTCTCTCTCTCACACACACTAACACACACACTCCTACCTGTTCATTAGTGAAGTGCTGCCATTTCAGTAAAATGTCCTGAAGCAGAATCCAGCGTTCTTCTGTCCACCTACAAATGGCTGCCCAGCGGTCACCTAGCACCTGCACACACAGACACACACATATATATTCATATTTCTGTTGATGTTTACGTTCGCTCAAAATGCCCCTTTGAATTATTTAGCGTGACAGACTGAGACATTTTCATCGTGCGGCTTCAAAAACCAACTGATTCACATCTTCACTTGCCAGGTGCATTTTATTTATTTTTATGGCTCCCAAAAATGACGTTTGATTCTCGTTCCGTTCTCGGCTGATCGGGATCGCAGAAGGACGTACTTGTCTCTTCAGTGTGTGGATGACAGAAACAATGTTGATCAAGTGCTTTGTGATCAAAATACAAGATGGGTGGCTGCAATTTTAGATCATTCTTTATTACGATACATTTAAAGATGTGGGGTTTTTTTAACTTGTGAATTCAATTTATTTATTTATTAATTTAAATATCTCTCTATATATACGCTTTAGTTTTGCCACTAACATTTTATCTAGAACTCGTTAACAAAGAACTCAGTTAATTTTACGTCCTGTTTTATTTTGTACTCGCTTGACCACGCGTCCTAGGTTTGCGTTATTTCCTGCCATTGTTCCAAATGTGACCAATTAGCTCATCAAACTTCTCAGTGCGCCCCTGCACTCCCCAGGCTGTCCCCTGCCCATCAGCCACATTGTCTCAGTTCTTAGAACATCCTCTCGCTCTGGCGTTTTTTTGGGGTTATCTTTTGGATTGTGAAGATAATTCCAACAAATTCTTTTAGATTTAGAACCAACATTAACAGACATAAGTATACAGATGTTTTTCAAAGTAAAACACTGGGAATAGACTTTTCTGCAGCACAAATAAAATTCACAACCACATTGTTTCAAAAGTGAATAATCCACCAAAACTAAGAATCATTAACTTTTTGGTGTTTATGTCCCCAGAGGGCCACCGTAGCTCGCCAACACACGCATGTGCAAAGCTGTGGCCTCGTAGCCTCCATCGGACCCCCGTTGCCTCTGAAGCGGAGGAGCTCATTGGCAGTCGGCTGTTAGCAGAGTAAAAGTGGAAGAAGCCATCTTCCGTTTTAACAGGCGTAGACGAGAAGCCAAAACAATGAATAAAGGGAGAGACAAGCGAACAGAGAGAGAGTCCCACCAGGTTCATCTGAAGACGAATGGCCAGCAATTAATCAAGTGTCAGCTCCACAGTGAGGAGGAACCAGGTAAGGCCACATTTACATTCAGACACTCTGCTCTCTCTTCTATTGGTCTCTCTCATCTTATCTTTAGTATTCAGACACAAACCTCCAGCACTTCAGAAATAGATTGAATTGTAGTATTTTTATTGATTTTGAGTCTGTTTATTGAAACAGATCAATACGACCGAAGGAATTTAAGAGGCTCACAGCAGCAATGTGTATTTCATCTACTGGTGCAAATTTAGTTTTTTTACCTTGTGGCTTCTTACTTAAGTCTCAAATTTTCACCGGATCGGCTTTTGGCTCCGAGCCACTTCCGTTTTATATTCAAATCTCTTCAACTCTTTCTCTCCCCAAGGAAGCGCTTCAGAACTGATTATAAATGTTTCTTTATTTCCTTTTTTGTGTCGCGAGCAACGACCAAATCTATCTGGGGCCGCTCCCTCGTAATTACTCCAAATATAATGAACTGCCATATCGCCCTCTTTTCTTCTTGTCTAAATTTTCCCACTAATTGACAACTTTCTTCCTGATTGCAAAGAAGTTTGAACCACTTCGGTCCAATCAATGACCTGTTCTCCCTCAGGTCCACAGGTGCTGAGGAATGAAGCTCCATCACCAAGACAATCCCTGGAGGCCTCAAGCTCGAAGCTTTCATCATTTCGATTTTAGATTTCTACCATTCTCAAAACAGTAGTGGACAGAATTACTTTCTCATAAACATTTCTTGGAAATTATAACCCAACAGACCCCTTTCCGGTGATCGCTAACAACAAGGAGTGTCAATTTGGGCCAATTGATTTTCTGACGCTCTTGGAAGGCATTTTCTGAAATAAGGGAAGGCGGTACGGTAACATCCACAACCGGCTCCTAACTGAAGCCTGAATCCGACAATTATTTCCCCCTCACTGTGGAGCTGTCACTTGATTAATTGCCCAAAAAACAGCTGGGATCTTTTTTTCCCCCAACTAAAGCAAAGTCGGAGACTGAAGCCGCGGCTCATCAGCAAGCTGCTTCAGTTGCACGGCTGCACTCTGTTTCTTCTTGCGCCAACATCTCTGGCCGATCAATGTCAGAGGGAGAAGCCTCCAGGAACCCGAAACCCAGGACCAAGTCGGCAGAGGTGTCAAGTAACGAAGTACAAATACTTTTTTGGGTATCTATACTTTACTGGAGTATTTATTTTTCAGACGACTTTTTACTTCTACTTACATTTTCACGCAAATATCTTTTTTCTTTTTACTTTTTAAAAACAGCCTTGTTACTTCCGGCTTGTCGCAGTTCAAAAACACAAAGACAAAAAACCCGTCTAGATAAATGGTGCTATCCAGACAGAGTGCATTTGATTGTGTTTGGATGAGAAGTATAAACATTTAGCATCCAGACACCCGATTGGTTTTCTCCGCGATGCGCCGGCAGATCGGAGCGACACCGGGTGGGAAAAGTGGTCTTTGGAAAGTTGGTATTTAGCGACATGGACCCTCCTCCTCTTCCTCCTCCTCTTCCTCACGCAGATTCCATGTAACGTTAAATGAGTATCTTCATGACCGTGGGTTTGTCCTAAATGTTTTATTGAGAGTCTGGCACAACAAAGCGACTTGCAAGTAGCGTATTAAATAAAGTGATGTGTGTCTTAATGTGGCTTGAGAAATGAACGCACGGGGATTCTGTATTTGCTCATGAAGCCTGAACATACGGGTTATTTGGCCAATGTTTTGATAACCGACCGCTGCCAGTTCAGAGTTTCCATCATTATAAACAGGGGCGCGCCCCCCCCCCATGACGTAGTACACTGCAGTCTACCTAATCAATGCGAACAACCTGTGTGTGACTCGTGTCACTGAAAATGGGTTGTGGTTTAATCTGTTTAAGTTGGATACATTTGTTGTTTTGTTGTTGTGTCTCTGAATGTTGCCATGTTTCCACCATCCCAACGGCAGGTCACTGTCAAGGTGTGGTTCACTTCCTGTCTTATTTTGTAGTTTTCTGCCACTCGTGTCCCCGGGTAACTTCACTTCCTGCCTTGTCCTGTCATCCCATGTGATCGTCTAATCGTTTCCACCTGTGTCCAATCACCTGCACCTCCCTAGTGTATTTAAGCCGTGTGTCTCTTGTGTCACTTGTCGCGTCATTGTCTATTGTCCTGGATGTTCCTAGTTTCTGCCTGCTGTTTTTCCCCCTGGTTCCTGTGTCTTTGCCCCTTGGCCTTTTGCGTTTTGCCGTTATGAGTATTAAAGTCTTCTTTTGTTACTCAACTCTGCATTTGAGTCCTGCCTTCTCCCCACATTCCTGACAGTCACGTGATCTGCAGGCACCTTCTGATCACATTGTAACGGACGGACGTGTTGTGTGAGCGAGGTTACGCATTAAGAGTTTGTCCTTAATGGAATTTCTTACATTACTTTTATACTTTAAGTAGTTTTGAAACCAGTACTTTTAAACTTTAACTTAAGTAAAAAGCTTGAGTCGATACTTCAACTTCTACAGGAGTCTTTTTAAACCCTAGTATCTGTACTTCTACTTCAGTAATGAATGTGAATACTTTTGACACCTCTGCAGTCGGGGACGCCAGGAATGACAGCGGTCAACATGGGAGCCGCCAGCTGCACTTAAGAGCGTGAGAGAGAAACAGAATGCGGCCGGCGCAGTTCCATTTCATCCTTACTGACCGCCAGAGCAGAGGCAGTGCTTAACAGTGGATAATCTTCTGTCTTTGTACCAACAAAGTCACCTGTGACCTTGGATGACCCCCCGTCGTCTATAAGTTCTGTTGTCATCGTGAGATCAGTCCTACGAAATCCAGGATTCATAGGACCGTAGTTACATACGTAACGTTTGTTTTGAATGGACCGCAGCGATGGGAGTCCACAAGGGGAATGAGGGGGCCGTACATCGGACGCTAAGATGAGCGCTGAGAATCAGCCGCAAAAAAGAACGAAATTGGCAGAGAGATTAAAAAAATCAACCCACAAGGTATTTGTCTTCCCACCAAGTCTCTGTGTTACCGAGCACAGCCCTCCGGGGGAGGGTTTACCTGTAGCTTGGTCTCCAAAGCGGCCGTGGCACTGTCTCCGCTGGTCTCGTCCACCACCACCACCATGTGGGTCAGAGAGTTCACCCTGACCTGCTCCTGCTCCAGGTCCTCCTGCAGCAGCTGTGAGAGGAGGGAAGAGACGTTGTGTGGTCGGGGTGACATTAGGACAAATGTACACTGTTATACAATCTCTTTCTGGTATCTGGTCTGTACTTTACATCTGCAAAGCTTCCATTTCCTCCAAAAAAACGAACGCAGCAGTCAAAATTGAAATTGGGGGCAGAAACAACAGACGAAAAAATAGTAGCAATGTGCTGTGTTTGTTTCTGCAACAATTTTGGTTTCAGCAGCGCCTGGTGTTTGGTGTCTGTTCATGGGGGTAACTTAACCTTTCAGAGCCCATTCTTTCCCCACTCTGGAAATGTGGTGGGATTTGCTTTGGAGATTTGTATTATTTTTCAGAGCCTTGTATGGACTTATGATTGAACGTTTGCACTTTATGACACATGTTGACAATGTTACAATATACATAATAATGGCATATCATCATGAAATGAAGTGAAATATACTCATATACAGTTTATCTATCTTCCGGTACTAAAAGGTACACTATTTGGGAAATTCTCTTCTTAACTGGCAAAAAGAAAATGTAGATGTAGTTATTGTTCATCCATCAGAACCACGACGGCGTTTGCGTAAATAGGTGTTATTTCCATGCTGGATAGCGGAACTGTCTTTCCGGAGACAAGCCACAGAGATAAGCCCCGCCCCCTTTCCGTCGAGAATAAAGCATATGTGATTGAAGCGAATTAACTACAAGACCAGGACCAGGTTTCTGTGTGCCTACGGTCCACATGAGAGCGCCGGGCCCTCAAAAGGCCGTGTGCTGTTATGCATCCTGGTGCAGCGTGTGGTGTGTGTTGAAGCTGTTGCCAACTCGGCGACTCTCTTGCTGAATCTGGTGACTTTCCAAATCCGCTCGGCGACTTGACAGAAGCAGTGAGCAAAAATTTGCCTGGTGTCATTGGAGCCTTTGCTTGAGTTATGTCTCTGATGTGAAAGAGGGTATCGTTCTAAAGTTACTGGGCCTACGGGTGCTGCCGTGAGCCCCTCCGTCCGTCTCCCAGAGAGCAGAGATGATACCTATACAAATAAACCATGTATGGGCAAAACCTCCGCTTACCCTGCCCGGCTTAGCAGAGCGGCATGTAAACGTTTTTTAAGTGATTAAAAAATTAATTGATTCATGTGAAAAAAATAAATAAAAGTAAATAAGCAAAATCAAGAAAGTTCATCTGGATTTCTTAACATGATTAGTTTATTTTTAGTCTTTCCTCCTACGGCGTCTAATGCCATTATGCAAATTAGGTGATGACGTCATTCAGCGCGTTCTAGCGACTTTAAGTGCAGCCAATAGGTACTTTCCTTACTGAGAAGTTGCTATCGCTGGCTGAGCGCCTTGCTTCTTTGAAGGCAATTGAGCAGAAAAGCACTTGAAGTCCTTGGCATTTCTTCCACCGCCCGATGCCAAAGCTAAGTGGTTTGCTTCAAGCTTGCATTCAGCAAGCAAAAAGACATATATGACAAATGTGTGGCCTCAACTACTTTATTACAGTTCAGCTAGCGTCCTTTTTAGCCTGTGTTGGTAGAAGAGGAATGCAGAAGCTAAGGATGGGGGATTCGATGGTTGCCTAGTAACAATTGTTGCTGTGTGATCGGACACTTTCCATTGGGTTTAATGTTCTCAGCGATGCTTTTTTCCTCCGAGGTCAAACATTTACTTCTGCTATGTTTGCATCAACAACCTAAAGCTCTCACATTTGTGTGGAGAAATGTTCTTGACTTTGCTATCCTCACAAAGGCTGAATGGATTTCTTCCATTCCGACTGCTTTTGTAACGTCAAACCCCCTGCAATCTTTTCCTTACGAAAAGGGAAATCTTTACAGACTCAGAAGCTCTATAACTAAAGGTGGGTGGGGCCTGGCAAACAGACCTTATGCTCCTCCACTTGGTGCTTGACATCCTCCAGGTCAGGACCCAGCGGTTGGGCCCCCATCCTCTTAATCCGTGCCTCGGTCAAATCCAGCCAGTCCGTGAGGTGCTTTAACTGCTGGTGCTGCAGGTCCATCAGGACCTCGTGGAGTCTGTGGGGGTGAGACACAGTTCATTGAGCTGTCAATCACATGTGTGTCAAAAGAAGTCTAGCTCCGGAGCAGTTCAGAGGGGCAGACGGGGGTCTGGTTCAAACGCGCTGATGCCCCAAGTCGCGATTGCCGCCGAGCTAATTGGGAGAAATAGAAAAGGCCACTAATCCTTTTCTTAGATCCCCCCTTGCTGTATTCCTTTAAGTGGTATTTGGGAGTGCAGGCCTCGTCTGCACAGCTTTGTGGTTGAATCAACAATATTATCAAAGACCGAAGCTGAAGAGTTGATTAAACTTGGCTTGGTGTCAGTTATCATTGGATTCTGCATAATTAGAAAGGCCGCTGCTCTTTGTATCCATGAATGCTGGCTACTGTGGGGATTCCCATTGTGTGAACAGAGATGGAAATCCATTCATAACCCTGAATTAAGATTGAAAAAAGCATGTGGAACCATTGGTGTGTGCGTGTGTGTTTGAACGTGTACCAACATTTCTCAGTAGGGGGAAATGCGTTCTGTTCTGATTCCCCCAAAGTGTTGTTCTTTCCAAACTCTTTGTTAAATAACTTTGGCTCTTTCACGTCAACATTTATTTGGAAAGCTATTGCTCTTTAGATTGTGCTGACACTCTCAATCTAATACGAGTTGAAGGCCAACATTTGAGCTAAATGATAACTCTAGCTCAGCAAGATGCGCACAATGACAAAAAAAAATGCTGATCTTTGTCAGATGTACAGTTTACTATGTTTTTACGCTATCTTGGTTCAGCATATCAAAAGAACAAACCGCCCTGGAGACAAAGTAAAGCTAAGGGTGAAGGAAATGCCATTAGTTTTGCAGGTGTTTGGTACAACAACTTGGTACAACTCAAAGAAGACCACATGAGTTACATTTAATCCAGAGTACTTATCTACCTGCTCTGTCTCTCCATGCTTGCAACTCTCAGGTGCTCCCACCGGGCGTTGAGGAGGTTCATCTGCTCCCTGACTTCCGAGTCCTCGTCTTCACTCAGGTTCCCCTCGGCCAGTAGGGCGGCGCCGGCCCGGAGCACCCGCCCCACATTGCCTTGGTGGGTGGTCAGCTCCACCATGTACCCCTGGTAATAGACGGGGCAAAACAGTAAAGCTTACGAGCAAGAAAGCTTTCAAAACAGGTTTTCTAAAGAAAGCTTAAAAAAATGTGGCAATTCATATTGTGTGCGAGCCACACGATCAATAGTGCTATCTCCACAGATCTTGAGGGTCTTAGGGTTGTAGGAACATGGGTTTTTATATGTGGTATAAAACCAGGCAAAAAGGATGTTCTGAGAGTCAAACTAATGGTAAGGACTAATGCTGCTGTGGTTCTTACCTCGTGAGTGTGAAACTGCTCCTTCACCTCCTCCACATTGTCAGAGATGGAAGGCTGGCCCTGGAGCCCATCTTCAGCAGACAACAGCCATGTCAACACCTACAGATGTCAATCAACATAACGTACTTAAAGGATAATTCTGGTCTGATTCTGGATTTCTTATTGTCGACAAATCACAAAGAAGCCAAAGCAATACTTTCCGACTCTGCTTTCAGCCACAAGCTCATTGTTTCTTATCGAAGATGCAAAGGACCACGCAAACATATAGCTTCATTTTTTTAAAGAATGGACAGTTTTGTCTTTGCCGAACTTGACCCAAACAGGAAGAAATGAAATGCATTTGTGGGGGACTATTATCAGTGGCGGATTAACCCTCGATTGGTGTTCTAGTGAGTATGTGGGGCAGATGAAGTCAAAATAAACTAGCAACTGTGTTCACGGCTGTGAGGGACCACGCTGCACAGAGCCACAGTTTGGCCCAATGATGTGTTTCCAAAAGCTCCTGGACATAAGATGCTGCCCTACAGCACATAGGAAAAAGATCTGATGGCAACCAGAAAGATATAACATATCACCTGACTGGTCATTGAACAGAAGAGTAATACAAGATCAGAAACATTTGCGTCACCACAATAGTGGCGTACCTCCTCCAGTGCGGCCTGGTAGTTCTCCAGGCTGGTGGAGCCCGGGGGAAGAGGACTCAGGCCTCGCTGCAGCTCCTCCTGGCCGGGACTCAGGAACTACAGAGGGGAGGAAAGGGTGGCAGGTAACGGGGACATTCGTGAAGCGGGATGTGAGGAGAGGGAAAGCAATGGAGGGTGTTAGGGTAAGAGGGAAAGTATGAGTTGAAAATAAAGAATGAAGGAAGGGGAAGACAAGATGAGGAGAGACGAGAAGAGGCCTGTTAGTGTGCCGACAGGCAGCTGTGGCCTTTATCCAACCTCAACTGTCGCTCTCTCTCTCTCTGTTCCCACAGCTCTCTCTGTGTGCTGCGCTACTGATCTGGACACTAACAATCCCTTCTTATCTGGGCTCCTCCTCCTCTCGCTCTGTTCACCTCCCCGGTAATAAGGGCCGACCCGAGGCCCTTCCACGGCACTGGTTACCGCTCCGACCTCACCTCCTCATGTCTGCTCCTGCTACTCAGAAATGACTCTCTTGTGGAATGATCAAGGGCGGAATGCGTTTTGGTCTAAAACAAGCACAGCGGGTGTGCTCGGATGAAGCTTAGTCCAACAAATTATTGTCTCTTGCTTCTCGCTCCTTTTTCCAGGTGCCAGCAGTTAAGGCACTTGGAAAAAGGAGCAGGAGCCCCCTGCTCATCGGTGCATGACATATTTGGGGGCCATATTTAATTGCGCGTTGGCGGTTTTACAAGAGCATCTGAACCTTTTTGAAATGTAAAAAGTAATAGCAGATTGGATGAATGATTTTTTTCAACAAAGTGCACAATAGAAGGTTGCTGCTTTACAATGTTTTGTATCGAAGCCTCTCCAACCTCCCTTTGAGTGATTTGGTGGTACAATCACATGGAGAACGTCGGAAGATATACTGTACTATCTGCTAAATTATGGAGATTTGCTTTTGATGAGACAAACTTGAATCTCATCAGGCCACAGAAATTGCATTCATATGTAATTTCTTCTTCATATTGTTGTCAGACACTTCCAACTGAGTCATTTTACAAAACAACTACTTTTAGTGAACGTACGCTGCAGCTTTCCCCCCTCAACACTGGTCCAATTAAAAGTAAAAAAATGTCTCCCACATTAGTGACTTGGATGACTAATACATTGTTAAAATGGCATCACATGGCCAAATGCAATACATTTCAAAAACTGAATTGTTGAAATATAATGTGGTTGAAAAAATATCCAAATCGACATCGCCCATAGTTTCATATTTAGTCTTCGAATTTGACTACAAAAAAGTATATACACACACACACACATACACACACAGTATATGTGTTTGTTTTCACTCGACACAGCTCCGCGCGTGTGTACAGTGCATCCGGAAAGTATTCACAGCACTTCACTTTTTCCACATTTTGTTATGTTACAGCCTTATTCCAAAATGGATTAAATTCATTATTTTCCTCAACATTCTACACAGAACAACCCATAATGACAACGTTAAAACTGTTTTTTGCAAATTTTTGCAAATCTGTTAAAAATAAAGAGCAAAAACATAACATGTACATAAATATTCACAGCCTTTGCCATGACACTCAAACTGTAGCTCAGGTGCATCCTGTTTCCACTGATCATCCTTGAGATGTTTCTACAACTTGATTGGAGTCCACCTGTGCTAAATTCAGTTGATTGGACATGATTGAGAAAGGCAAACACCTGTCTCTATACGGTATCACAGTTGACAGTGCACATCAGAGCATAAACCATGAAGTCCAAGGAATTATCTGTAGACCTCCGAGACAGAATTGTATCGAGGCACAGATCTGGCGAAGGATTTCTGCAGCATTGAAAGTCCCAGTGAGCACAGTGCCCTCCATCATCCGGAAATGGAAGAAGTTTGGAACCACCAGGACTCTTCCTAGAATTGGCCGCCCAGCCAGACTGAGCGATCGGGGGAGAAGGGCCTTAGTCAGGGAGGTGACCAGGAACCCGATGGTCACTCTGACAGAGCTCCAGCGTTGTTCTACGAAGAGAGGAGAACCTTCCAGAAGGACAACCATCTCTGCAGCACTCCACAAATCAGCCCTGTTTGGTAGAGTGGCCAGACGGAAGCCACTCCTCAGTAAAAAGCACATGACTCTCAGACCATGAGAAACAAAATTCTCTGGTCTGATGATGCAAAGATTGAACTCTTTGGCCTGAATGCCAAGCGTCATGTCTGGAGGAAACCAGGCACTGCTCATCACCTGGCCAATACCATCCCTACAGTGAAGCATGGTGGTGGCAGCATCATGCTGTGGGATGTTTTTCAGCGGGAGGAACTGGGAGACTAGTCAGGATTGAGGAAGATGATGCAGCATGTACAGAGACATCTCGATGAAACATGCTCCAAAGCGCTCTGGACCTCAGACTGGGGCGACGGTTCATCTTCCAACAGGACAACGACCCGAAGCACACAGCCAAGATAACAAAGGAGTGGCTTCGGGACAACTCTGTGAATGTCCCTGAGTGGCCCAGCCAGAGCCCTGACTTGAACCCGATTGAACATCTCTGGAGAGATCTCTGAAAATGTCTGTGCACCGACGCTCCCCATCCAACCTGATGGAACTTGAGAGGTTCTGCAAAGAAGAATGGGAGAAACTGCCCAGAAATAGGTGTGCCACGCTTGTGGAATCCTACCCAAGAAGACTTGAGGCTGTAGTTGCTGCCAAAGATGCTTCAACAAAGTATTGAGCAAAGGCTGTAAATACTTATGTACATGTTATGTTTTCGTTCTTTATTTTTAACAGATTAGCAAAAAACAAAATGTGGAAAAAGTGAAGCGCTGTGAATACTTTCCGGATGCACTGTGTGTGTGTGTGTGTGTGTGTGTGTGTGTATATATATATATATATGACTTGATACAACAAACTTGATACAACAAACTTTCTCTCAGCGATGGCGCAGGAAAACCAAGTGCAGACATAAAACAACGAGCACAGCCCAAACAGACGTGTGGACATTAGGCGTGCAGGGTTAGCGCTGTGAGACACGGACCTGATCAGTAACACGCCTCCTCTTTTGCTCGGGCGACTGGACATACGCAGCCTGGGTGTAGGCATAGCTTTTATAGCGAGGCTGAGGAGAGGGGCTCCGCACTCGGCCCTGAGCCACACTCACTGTGATCTGAGAGAGAGAGAGGCGGAGAGATGGAACAGGTTCGGGAGAGGGAGATGGGGAAACAAAAAAAAGAAAACAGACGGAGGGTTGCAAAACAGAGCAGACAAGAAAACAAGGAAAAAGGCCAAAATGTGCAGAGGAAGAAGAGGATGAAGCAAGAAGTGAATTGCCAGAGTGGAAACAGGGAGCGAGTGATGATGAGGAAAGATGAGAAGCAGAAAACGGGAGAAAAAAAACAATGGAACATGAATCATCACACATAAGCTCTGTCTCCATCCAAATGTCAAGCTAATTTGAGGTGAACTTTCAAAGCATGAATAACAAATAAAATACAGATTTTGTGCGTTTCCATCACGAGAGTGTCAAAAAACACATTTACAAGAAAAATGGAAAGTCTCTGTCTACATTGGATAAGTTATTTACTTACAGGTCAGCAGAGCTGTAATGGACTGTTTTTAGACTAAAGCTGTTAAGTCAAAAACTAATAATTACTTAAAAGAGGCTATTTAGTCTAAGGAAGAAAAACACCACATTATAGCTTATATGAAGGAAAAGTTTAGTTTAAAATCCAAAAAACACCAAGTATTACTCAAATATACTGTGTAATGGCTGATGTAGTCAAACAGCAGATCGAATCCTCTTTCCAAATATTGCATTATGATTAATTATTTAACCATACATAATACTTAATAAATAATACGCAAATTGTAATTGCAAAAAGTAGCGTGGAATGGAAAAAACTCACAAATAGTTGATAATAATAATAATAACCGCCGATGGTGGTTTTGTAAACGTAAGGTCACCTGTAATCTGATTAGGAAATTAACTTTTCTAACTGTAATACTATTTGGGTGGATTCGATGAATGCAGACATGATGGGAGGGCAGAGGGGGGGACAGAGAGAGGACAGATGTCATGCCGAAGATGGACAACAGACAGTTGTGCACAGTCAAAGCTCGTGTTTTTGAGCAGCCATTTGCTCCAAAAGCGTTCTGCCAAGACTCTGGCATCAAGATGCCTCACACACGATGCTCCCAAACTAGCAGCTCTGGCTAGCAAACTGGTGCAAACGGATCAGTTATTGGTCAGCAAATATAAAAAGTCGTCTTTTTTGTTACTGGCAGAAACAACCTTATTACAAGGTGAGAGAAAATATATGATCTGGGTATTAAGTATCTAACAGCGGTTGTAGTTTCAAATAAATGTTTGGGTGTCGGTTAACTTTCGGCAGCTTCCCCTCTTTTATGCAAATCTGTATTTACCAGTCATGAGACTTATCCGAGTTTCCACGAAAAAAGGCAGAGACAAGTTGAACCATTCTATTCAATTTGAAATTCAGAGCCTCCGCTTGCCTGTCATTGCGCCATAAAAAATGGGGAAACAAAAGCACGCAGACGCTGAGATCACAACACACATGGAGGGAGAGGCACTTTAACATTTAGCACCCTTAATTAGCAGGTGGAACAAAGACAATGGTATTGGCACACAAGTCATTCTAAAAGATGGCATTTCATTAAAACAATGTTTTTTCTTCCCCTGCTATATCAGACAAGTAGCACAATGTTTATACGCGTGACATACGAGGGGAAGTCCAGCTATTGCTGTGGGCTTCAAAGATAATCAGTCATTTTCCGGGCACCTTTACAGGACTCTGACTTTATTTCCTGCAGAGAGACTGTGTCTGCCCCACGGCCACTTGGATTCAACCACAAGTAAACAAAAAGAGTCGTTCAAAATAACCACACAAAAGCCACTAGCGCAATGAAATCTGAGAATGAAAGGCAGACGCTGTCGTGTAAAGCTGTTCTATTAAACGGTTTGGTCTCAGATAATCATATTGATTGATTGTATCTTTCTGACACCTGGCTGTCACAATGACTTCTGTCAGCCTAAATGAATCCGCTCCTCCGAGTCACACTGATGCTATTCACCTTTGTATGCATGTTTTGCATCCCTGCTCCTGTTTCGACCCTCGCCGCCTTCCCTCCTTTCACTCTTTGAACAACCCGCCCCTTGATTTAAACCTGTTCAAGCAGAGAGCCCGTTTCCAATAAAGCCCACTTTGTTTAGTTTTAAGCAACATTGTGCCACGGGAAGCTCTCCTCCTCCCCGGGTACCAGGTGGTGGTAGCAGCGCGGCGTTGATGTAAGGAGGTGGTGACAGCGGCGCTCTGATGACGGATGAGGGAAGAGGCAGATAATAGCTGCTGTCAGTAACTCTTTTTTTCCTTCCCTCCCGTCTTTGCTCCACGTCTCTCGTTTTTATTGCCACCTGACTTGTTTCCTGGCACTCCAAATTTGTCTACTGCATGTCATTTCAGTCCCCCCCCTGCCCCCGCACCTCCCTTTCCCCATCTCCATCCCTCGCTGCACATCCTTGTGAATTTCACCTACCCAACTTTCGTCTCAATGATGATTCCCAGTAGGAAAAGTCCGGCAGTTTTTCTCTATTCTGAACTGAGAGCTGATGAAAACGGAGTTAAGAGGGGGGGAATAATATTACCAGTCTTAACTTAAGAAGGTCTAAAAAGGTCAGCGCAGGTGGATCTAATTTGGGACTTTTTCCTTTTACAGGCGGTCAATTTCAGTTCCAACAAAATCTCACAAATTTCAGACTGACTGAGTCCCGCAGCATCTCATTCATTCACATCGCTCATGACGTCCACCTTAATTGTCCGGTTTCAAAATCTCGCATTGCCTCAAAACGCTAATTTGTGGGATTTCCTGGCCTCATTTCGGCGATCGCCACCGAGCTAAAAACTGAAATGTCAACTAACGGTCGCGCAAAAACTAACTTGTTACTTTGAGTGCGCAGTGATATGGAATGCTGGGATAATGTGAACAGCAACACTCAGAACGCAGGATTTCATCTACCCGTACTATAATATAATTTATAATTCATAATACTCAGCGGGCTGGATCAAAACGCCCAACGGGCCGTGGTTTGCCCACCTTTGGGCTATAGCCTACCAACACGTCATCATAAATGCTTCATATTAAATAATGTTCATTTAATGAACATCACATGAATGCCGTCTTTCCGTTTTCACAGAAAGTTATTATTTTCTGTGAATTTTCCTTCTGAAGCCTGCAAAACATTCGGCTTGTTACAAGTTCAAACTAAACGTCTCCTGTGAGAGAGAATTAAGACTTAATTTGGCAACAATAGTGTTCAGTTAGGAATAAATCAGCCTTCATGCTTCTTTCATCCCACTCGTTTCCCTCCAGATAGGGCGCACACAAACATTTGAGGAAGTTGCACGTTGGCGGGACAGCGGAGGGAATATTGACTTATTTTGCAACGTGGTGCGATAACGCATGTAAAAACTGTCGTCCTTTAGTTGTGTGATATGTAATATAATAGTATTATAAGGTATTTGTGAGGCTTTTTGTGAAAGCAAGTTTGTGACACCAAGCGAGTCTCCATGGCTGAGCAGAAGACGAAAACCATCAGATGAAAGGCTCATGGTGATCGATCATGGCTTCTTACTACCATACAGTAACAGGTTAACAGAGATCACCAGAGCGAAGAGGGGGCTCTCACTATTCAATTAGTTCCCATGATGACTGGGTGGGGAAACGACAATGGCAACAAGATGCCTCGATGACACTAGCTAGGCATCATTATTTTTGGTAACCTTCCTTCCTTAACTGTTCTTGTTTTGTTGGTATGATTGTTGCTGTGAAGTTTTTGTCTTTCCTTTTTTAAATAAAAGTCACTTTGGCACTCTCATCGCTATTATATTGGTATGACATCTGAAACGAGCTCTTAAGACATTATTAAGACATTAGCCCTGACTTGAAGTCTGCAACTATTAATTTCCAATAGACCACAAAGAAAAAAAAACACTTCACAAGGCATTATGGGATTTAAGGTGACGTGGGGTTTGAATTGTTTTCAAACAACATTTCATACAACAGAAGTTTATGAAATGAGGTTATAGACACAGGCCCACCACCAAAGGCAGATTTAGTCCACCAAAAACCTAAAATAACTACATACAGTTAGGCAACAAAAACAGATAGTTTTAGAAAAACTGTCAAAAAACAGAAGGTAATCTTCTAATTGGTCGCGCTGTTTTCAACGGGAACAGCGTGTGTGTCTAACCTGCTGGGAGAAGCGCTGCTGGGTCTGAATCTGGTAGTGCTCCTCGGTCGTCACCCGAGCAACGCTGGAAGCGGACACCCGTGGCAACGTCTCGACCTCTTTGATGGCTTCCATGGAAACGCTTTGGGGCAGTACCTGGAAAAGTGACGTCACGTACATGATGACGCTCTTCTTGTCAGGGTGAGGCACCGCCACATCTGAAGAGCAGGAAGTAAAAGACAAATTAAGTCAAAGTTGAGGTAACGAACTGAAGTTGCAATCGAACAGTAAAGAATACAAAAAAAAAAACATCCTACAACTTAAATACCTTTATACCTTATACCTTATGAATTGTATTCACAAAAGTCAATACAAAATAGAATTTGTTTCTCCATGATTTTGAAAAAAGACTTTGAGTTGTGCAATTTGGAAGAAAATTATGATCCTTCCGAATATCCCAAAATAATTTCATATAAATTGTACAGGATAGAATTTTCAAAATAAATCATTTATATATAATTACAAAAAATACATACATCTCTGAATCAAAGGAACATGAGTGCAGATTAGACAAACTTTTGACGAATCTAACCTTACTAGGTTGCTAGTTGCGGTGAAACTTATTCTCACTGAGGTTACCATGGATGGAACCCAGAAGGACAGACTGGACTACTAACCTTCAATTTGGCACTTTATTATTGCATTTGCCATGTATTTTGAATGTATATTTATGAATTGGGAATGCACATTTGTGCTTACAGTAATACCCAGCGGCGAAGCTGGTAGAGACGCATCACGGCGCACAAGAAGGCGAGGCCGAGGAGGCCCGGGAGCAGAAAGGTGGGAGAGAAGAGGAGGGACATGTAGAGAAAGAGACGCAAGCTAATGAGCTGCCTTTGGTGGCGGATGTGTTGACAGAGTGACGCGCGCAGCGTGGCCGGCTCACCGCTGTGGAGATAAATGAGCGGGAGAAAGGAGGGCGACCGCGTGGGGAGACGGCCGAGTGCAAAAGGAACCAAGAGATGTCCGCGTGTCCCATCAGACAGTCATAATTCTGGCAGCAGAATACTGATTCACCCCGTCATTGTTTGTCTGAGGAAGACTAACGGCTCTGTAAATAACGTGGATCTCGCCAGGATATCTGCACGGTTATGATGTCACAACTACACAATGTACGGAACATTTCAGTTTATTTCCTGTTGCAGTGGAAGTGAACCTTTGACTTAGAACTCCTTGGTACCAACCTGCAAGCCTAAAGATAAATATTATTAATATTAGTTTGTTCGTCTTTAAACTTTTCCTTAGCGTGACCATGATGTGGTTAAGTGGTTTTGTCTCATTATACATCTTACACCTAACAAAAATAGGAATCAGTGCAATATGCTTTTATGCTATTTATTCACAGCTTTGGTGATAATCCGCTTTTCATAAAAAGACATGCCCTCAAGTGATTTAACTGAAGAAAAGGAATATAACAAATCCCCACTAAGGAACCTGGTGCAATTTATGTCCACACCAGAATATTCATTAAAAAGTGTTTTGAGCATTAATGCACAGCGCGCCCCCCCCCTCCCACACCCCACTCCTGCTCAGAACTGCTTGTTTGCTGTGGGATCGCTGGAGATCCTGTCTGCTGTGTCATTCCGGGGATTAAGCGAGCGCTTCGAGGGATTACATCGTTCCCCCGCCACGCCGGCTCAGAGGCGGAGGGATCAAAGAGGAACACCCCTCCCGCTGAAACTGCCGTTGCATGGAGCCCTATTTGTTTCAATAGGTGATGGAACTATGTGTCCATGGCGCACCCATTAGAGGGGAAGCAGCTGGATCTTCCCAGAGGAACCCGAACAGACTACTAGAGCCAAGTTTTACACAAGGTGTTTCCTTATAGTTACCAGATGGATTTACTTGTTATAGAACTTATCTCATTAAAATCTTTTTAGGCGGCGCAAGTACTGATTCAGGCTCATCTCCCGCCTGGACTACTGCAACTCTCTACTTGCAGGTCTCCCTGCTACTGCCATTCGACCTCTGCAGCTCATCCAGAATGCAGCAGCTCGACTGGTCTTTGACCTTCCTAATTTCTCCCACACTACTCCACCCCTCCGCTCTCTTCACTGGCTACCGGTGGCTGCCCGCATCCAGTTCAAAACATTGGTGCTCACGTACCATGCTGTGAATGGATCAGGTCCTGCTTACATCCTGACACACATTCTCCGCTCTGCATCTGCAAAACTGCTTGTTCCTCCCTCACGGAGAGCAAAACAATCAAGTAGATCACGACTCTTTGCTGTCCTTGCTCCTAAATGGTGAAACGAGCTCTCTGTTGACACCGGGACCGGAGAGAGCCTTCACTCTTTTCTATAGCAAGTTGTAAATTGGCTTATTTAGTGAAATTGCACTCTCTTGTTCTTCTGGGTTTGTAACCTTATGGGTGAAATGCACTTAGTTGATTTGGATAAAAGCGTCAGCTAAATGACATGTAATGTATCAAATACTAAATACTAAGGATCCACCTTTTTATTAATACGTTCTTTTCTGTCTTATCTACCACATCTGTCAAAATAGTAAAGGTCTTGTTTTAATCCTTTCATATATACAATATAAGAACACATTTAAATAAAACACAACTTGCACCATCCAACTTTATTAATATCTAGTTATTGTGTTTCTAAGCAATATTGCTGAAATTTTTCTTGTGATAAATGTAGCAAAAAGAACACCAGCACCACCAGCATTCATGTCAGCGAGCTGCCTGATTGAACCAGGTTAGCTTCACCCACGCTACCTCCGCCGGACAGTTTTGATTAAAGGTCTGTATACTGGTCTCAGGCCAGCGGCCACCCGGGCAGTGATGGACGTCAACCAATTCTGCGTGAATAAAGTGCAGTAAGGCCTCTCGGGGGATTATTTGCAAAAACATATTTCAAAAAAGGACTTTTCCTGCAGGTGGGAACATTTTTAGGCAACTTTTCAGTCAGGCTTCACTGATCATATCCTTCCACCAAGGTGACCTCAAGTGATCCCCATGGTTACGCCAAATCACAGCCTGATCGGGAGGCGTTAAATATGGTCCGAGCCGCAACTCACCCCAGGTGTTTTCTGGAATAATTGATGTGTCTAAGTGTTAGTTGGGGTGACATTCAGTCGAATGCTTTATCTCGGTGAGAGTACTGGGCTGTGTGTGCCAGTTACCCTCGGGGTCCAGCAGCCTGACTATCCCCAGGTGCTGCTCGGCCTTATTGAAGGCGTGTTCCAGTCTGTCGATCGCAGACGTCTTCTTCTCCACCGAGCTCCAGTCGAATAGCTCAGGTCTGCAGAGGCCAAGGGGAGAGAAACGGGGGGTCACGTACCATTCAAGCATCCAAATAACGAAGGCACACCCGAGCATTTAGTCCATCGCGCTCCCCGGATTAGGATGCGTTTTAATCAAGGCGACAAAGAGCATTCTCCAAAGAAAAAAAGTAACTATATAACTTGGATTCATTTTTTAAAGAATGAAATATGCTGCAAGTAACTTGTGTGTCAGCGACCGTGTGTGAGCGTTAGCTGCACACAGTCACCCCCTTAAAAAAGAAAAAGAGAAGGATTCCTCTATGTTATTGGATTGGAACATTTGCTTTGTGAAATCTGTTGATTGATCTCTTGATTTGTATTCCGGTAAGGACACTGAGAATATGCAAACTTACCATGATTTCATTCATTAGTTAATGAACAGATATGGCCTGAGACCCAAACTCTCACAGCTATCCATGAAGGCACCGTTTCACCTCAACGAATGTGTTCATCCATTGATTGACTTCATTAATTCACTTACGTATTTCTTCATTCAGAGCAGCTAGTGCAGTAATTATTTTTCTATACCAACGTCTTTGGTTATGTAAATAACTGCAGAATCACAGATTAGGTTTAAAGAAAGAACATATATTTCTTCTGGTTGGCTTTCGGAGCAGTCCGTCAGTACCTGACAGGTTTTTTCCCCTCTTTTCTGAGTTCTAAGTGAGAATTGCCTTATTTCCCACCTCTGGGTAAATCTATTTGATAAAACAGGAGAGCTAAGGACCAGAATAAAGGCGGCCAATTGAATCTCCCTCCGAAACCTTTTTGAGATTCCACTCTAACACTAATACAGACACACACCACACAATATCTCCCCGTACCTGTGGCTGTGGATGAGGGCATTGAAGGCCAATCCATCATTCCAACTGCTGGAGAAGTTAACCACATTGACCTGAGGGCAGAGATGGTGGATATTAACCGAGCTAACCTTGACGAGTACGGCACTCACTGTCGAAGCGCTCTCGCCCCAATTGTGGCTTCCATTTTCATGGATACACGTCCGGTCACAGACGTCTGTTCCCTCTCAAAGTGAGAGTGTGCGCTTTGAATGAATGTGACAGAATACCATAGCTAACAAAAGTCTTTGAATGTAACGCGTGTGAAACGTTCTGTGCCGCTGCCGGCCATCTTTGATCAATTTAAGCTTAGGTTGGTTAAAAATAAGACATTTTAATATTTCTAGTTAATCCGTAAAAGGTTGTTCTTTGATGGCTAACAAAGGTTATTTCGGCAATGAAACGCATTTTCAATTTGTGCAATTGGTAAAATTTGGGGGTGAAACAACAAGTAAACGCAACATGTCATCCAAACCAGTGGCATATGATTTGTTTTGTGTCCTCTCAGCAGTTTAGATGTGAGGATTTATACATAAGAGAACATTTTGAGCAGAGACAAAAAGCTAGATGGCACTGTACAAACGTGAACAAATACTCCAAAGGACAGAATGCCTATCCCTGGAATTTTAAGCTAATTGGATTTTTCACCCCTGAAAACATATTAGTAGGACTTTGGCTCAACTCTCTCGCTCTGTTTCGGTCTCATACTTAGGGCTATAAAAGGATAATCATCTCGTGGCAGTCATCCCAAGTTTGGATCATCACCAAAAACCCATCGATTATTCTTTGGCCCTGAGCCTATCTGCCAAACATTGTGGAAGAAATCTGTTCATGAGGGGTTTTAGATACCCACGCAGAGGATGGACAACTAAAAGAAGACATACGCTAAAAACATTGCACATCTCCAAAGAAGCCATTGCTTTTTAAATGAAGAAAGTCATTCGCTCCACATTTCCACGGTCAGGTAATGAGCCATAAGAAGAAGGTGACCGACCTGAGGGTACTGGCGCGTGTTCTCACGGACCCAACTCAGCAGGATCTTCTCAGTGTTGGTCTGCTGTAGGCCCGCCATCACATCCTTCATCACATCCTTTACCTACGGACCAACACACACAAGGTACAGCTGTTGTCAATGCCATTACCTTTTACCAGACAATCCCTCTTTCTTTTGATTAAACCTCACAACAGGAAAAGCTTTCAACTGAATGACAATTTAGAGGGAATATTAGGAGATTAGGGCATTGGGCGAGGTTGACTTTTTGTTCGGTGGGGTGGAAAGGGTTAATCCCCTGAGGAGTAAGTCGTCCCAATATCGCTAGACGGAAATATCCTAGCGGCTATCTGAGGGACTGCCACAATATATTTTGAAAAAGAGCATTGTACTGAGAGGAAAAAGCGTTTCAAAATGATGTTTCTGTTAAATACTTACAACACATTTGATGGGTTCAAATTTGGTCAAAACATTCATGGTCCCTAGTGGATGAATCACAGCGACTCCTGTGATGAGTATGTGCTCAGTGTGTGAGCTCAAAGTTGAGGTTAAAATTGTAGATATAGAAGACAAAGAGAGTCGTTCATTAGTTAATTGGAAGGGCGAAATGAAGCTGCAAAATGCCCCAAATTGCTCCATAAGAAGTCTACCTGGATAGAGGAAAAGGATTAGAGCTTATGCTGATGTGACGCCTGCATATGTGACATCACCTCAAAAAGCCATTTCGGGTGCTTTCGAGTAAAGTTTTGATGTGCCCTGTCAGTGGATACTTTGCATATTCACACACACACGCACACAGTGGCACAAAGTAAGAGGACACCAGTGTTAGCATGCACATATATCTGATAGGGTAGGGCGGATATGGTTGCATCCTCACAGGCCGGTTGCTTTTGGCAGTCGTGACTGACAGTTTTGGAGCACTTTCAGAGCTCAGGGGAGGGAGAGAGAGAGGGAGAGGGGGAGAGAGAGAGGGAGATTATACTTTTCACTGCCCGGTTGTGCATTGCTTATGCATATCTTACTCTCACCTTTCTATCGGCCGCATGCGCTCACTAAAACACGCAGACACACTCACTAACACACCTCCTGTTATTCTTCCTGCAAGTAACTCCTCTGCCTCATATCCTGAGCCTTCTATAGTCCCAAACAAACGCACACACACACACACACAAACACACGCATGCAGCTAGGCAGCGTGGTGCTAGTAGAGCCCCAATGAATGAATGGAGGCTGGAATGACAACAAAAAAACAACACTTGCCAAATGAGCCAAAAAAAACTACCCTGGCCAGCTTCACACACACACACACACACACACACACACACACACACACACACACACACACATACATACAGAGTTGCACAGAGACATATAAAGAAAGAAAGGGGAATAAAGAGTCTATTACACACCACACAAGCTAATAATAGAGCAAGGTGTATTTGGACTTGGGGTGAACTCCCAGGAAACTCACACACACACACAAATACACACGTTTGTTAGCGATTCCTTATAGAATGTGGCCTGCTGGGTAAAAAAGGCACTCATTTGGGAATAGGTCACTGCATTCATTTCCACTTTAATTGGAGGGCCACTGTGACAAAGACTGCTGTATACACACACACACACTGACACAGATACACACACACACACACACACACACACACACAGAAGCCCTGGCGGACGTGCCCACGCACAAGTGAAACGATAACCTCCAGGGCGTAGCAGCCTTTGACAGGATTGTGTGCACGCATACACACACACACACTCACACACCTCATTACGGCATCGTGTTTTGCCATTAATCGCGTCATTAAGTCGATGCCAAAACTCGTGGGATTGAGACATTAGCCACTATTCAACTTAATGGGGAATGAAATACCGTTAGAATGTATTGTGATGGAAGCTATTTAAGATGACTTTACATGAAGTTGGTTTCAAACAACAAGTCTGTCATAAATAATTACCTCTTTAAACACAGCTCAAAGGAACCGTTTGTGGTGTTTTATTGACAGAAGTTGAACTATGTTTTCATTTGTGAAGAAGAACACTGAAACGAAGAAGAGGCTTTCTTTTCTCCAAGGGGTCCTCTTCATGTTTCTACAGGATGTGAACCGAGCAACTGACTCTATTGAACGTTCTTTTTCTTGGAAGGAGGGGGGTTACAATGCCTGAAGGCCACTAAATTCATTTCAGTGTTAATTTGGTCGACGAAAACTATGACGAAAAATGTTCGTTAACGATCTTTTTTCCATGACTAAGACGTGACGAAAACAATCTTAAAAAATAAAAACTATGACTAAATCTAATCTAGAAGAGACAAAATTGTTGGTGATTGACGAAGTCACAATACTTTTCCCCCCTAAATTCGCCCGCACCCAACAGACAACAGACAGGCAAAGTACGGCGGATATTAACGCGTCATGATGACGTCATCCACGAACCCAGAACGCTCGATCACATCTGTGCAGCGGATGTTCTTGTGCACCGACGGACCGCGCCGACTATTTTACGCTTCGGCGAGTTTGAATGTGCGCTTCCTTAGTTTAGCTCAGCTGTCTCGGTTTAGCTGACTGTTAGCAGGCTGAAGCCGCGCTGCTTCAGAGAAAGATGTGTGCGGAGATGAGCCGTTTAACAGCTCGGGGCTGTTCGGCAGACTGTCGGCCGGCAGAGATCCACGCGGACCTTTCTGCTCTGTTCTCTGGCGACGGCAGGCAGCGTTTCCTCGGCTGGATGAGACGGTCCGTTACACGCTTCTCCAAACACGTCTAACGTAATAAAATCATTGCAGGTGGAGGAAAACCCGCAGGACACAAGAGAGAAGAACTGGTCATGAAACCAAAAAATAAACAAAGAGACAAAGAGAAAGAAAAGACTGTTGAATGAAAAGTGGGGGTCCAGTTTAGAATGGCTGGTTTATGATGCAGCCAAGAAAATAATGTATTGCAACGATTGTGGGACGTTATGGTCTCTTTTATTGGGACAAGCAATTTCACAGTGGAAACAATGAAGGATCATGAAGCTTCCGGTGGCCACGTCAAAAGCATTGCGATTAAACAGACAAAGACAACAAACTGTTCTGTTTAGATCCCTGGTCCTCATGAAGTTGTTACACCTTTGTCAATTTGTTAAATTGGCTTGCAAATAAATGCTTTGCTATTTGTTAAAATCCAAATCCTTTCATATCCAAATCCTTTCATGTAATGTTTTTTCATTGTCATTTATATTAGCTCACACAAACACTTTGTGGCCCACGAGTCAAAAAGTTTGCCGACACCGGCTATAGACCGGTCCTAGGAGGGACATCTAATGGACAACCAAGTACTGGAAGCTAGACTATTATGCAGCTGTAGACACAACACAGGGGGTCCCTGGGCCTGAGAAGGGAAGAAAAGGAGTTTCATATGGATATTAAATGTGACTAAAACTAATTACATTTTAGTCTAGTTTTCGTCGACAGACCGGTCTGCGAGCTGGACGCATTGCTCTTAATGTGCCGGTAATGATGGTAAATGATGGTTGTAGCTGGTTGTCATCTACGGTCCACTACGATTACCGAAGGGCGGCGTTTGTTTTTTGACAATGTTTTATCTCATAATTTCGTCTTTTTATCCCCTTTCTTTCGTGCGGAAATGGGCTTCTACAGTTGTGTGAATGCATCACTCCAGCCAATCCAAAGACGCGGTTTGTAACCAGTCAGGTGTAGATACCTTGGTGACTGGCTCCGCCCCCTCACTGTCAGAAAGAAAAACAGCGAGCGCATAGAAAACACCTTCGAGCGCGAGCAGAGACTAACCTCGCGAGCGAGGAAGTTCACGCTCCGCGAGCGAGCAAATATCTCGCGCGAGATGAACTTTTTAAAAAAAAAATTTATTCCGATTATTAACTTTTCTGAATCGAGACCGAATCGTTCTAGAGAGAATCGAGAGAAATCGAAGAATCGATTTTTTTCCCCAACACTAAAAACTAATATGCATTTTTGTCTAAAGACTAAGACTAAAGGCTGGCGCATGCTTCTGCGTCTGCGTCAACGCACTTGTTTCAATTCATGGTTCTAAAGTCTTGTGTGTGTTGCAGAGCAAATCACCGCCAAAACAACAGGTGGAGTAACGTGTTTTTGTTGAAGACGACCTAGAGAGTCACGTCTATTTATTTATTTGTTCATTTATTTATCATAGACTTCATTGCCCCGTGCATCGCCACTGCTGCTTTTCATCGCGGACACATTTGTCCCGTATTTTCCTCCACAACTTTGTTCCTCTCGACCGGCAAACCGGCGTTTGCGGCGATCTCCCTCCGTGAATCCAACCCGCTTCTACAACCCGCCAATGACGGCTTGTAGAAGCGGTCATATTTATGAATTTCATCCGACAAAAGTTCTTAAATCTGATCCGTTCTCTCGTAAACATTCTTCGTTTTAATAATGGCGGTATCGGGCTATGAAAGCGGAAATGTGAGACTCCGTAAAGGACGTAGTTAGCAGACCAATCGCAGCCTGGTGCGCTGCGGGAGGCTTGCGTTGCTTGCGTCGAAAGCGACGCAAGCCTAGAAAAATGTCTCGATACATGCAAGGACGCAAGGAGGTGTGAAAAGACACGCAAGGGACACGCAAGGGGGTCTTGCGTCTGCGTCGCTCTGAAAACGCAGAAGCATGAACTAGGCTTAAGACTAGGCTTAAATAGAAGGTAAAAGTTAACTGTAAGGTGTGATTTCCTAAAAATACATTTCTTTCTCTTGATTAATAAGCATAATGGTTCTGCTGTTGTTTGTGTCGCATTGTGTTGGAGCATAATTTCCATGATTCCACCCATCCATCTTCATCCGCTCATCCAGGGTCGGGTCAAGGGGGCAACTGCTCCAGCAGGGGACCCCAAACTTCCCTTTCCCAGGCCACATCTACCAGCTCTGACTGGGGGATCCCAAGGCGTTCCCAGGCCAGTGCAGAGATATAATCTCTCCACCGTCCTGCATGGAACACCTCCCTAAGCCGCCCAGGGAGCATCCTCACCAGATCAAACCACCTCAACTGGCTCCGTTCAACGGAAAGGAGCAGCGGCTCTACTCCGAGCTCCTCACGAATGGCTTAGCCACTCTCCTGAGGAAACCCATTTCAGCCCCTTATATTCATGACCGGGTTCTTTGGTCTTGACCCATTCTTCATGACCACAGGTGAGGGTAGGAGCGAAGATCGACCGGTAGATCGAGAGCTTTGCCTTCCGGCTCAGCTCTAGTTTCGTCACCATGGTGCGGTAAAGTGAGTAATACAGAGGAAAATAATAATTAAATAAATTATCACATTTTTAATATTGTTATTAAAAATCTGTTAATATATTGTGATATAATGATTTATTTTGGGTATATCACTATCTGAGCTTACTTGGGGTCACATGATGATACCCACAGGTACCCATATCCAAGTATATGCTGTATATATTGGTATCTCAAAGTGAACCCAAGACAGTTTTGTCTCCATAGGGACTAAAATGATTTAACCGTCCTCACTGTATTGAAACGTGCTTGTGGTGATCGGACTGCGATCAGATTTTGCCTGACCACATGGCAGTACAGGTCTATCTGATTGGGACGAAGGGATTTTGAGAGGCGATGCTTCTTAATAAAAAGACTCGCCAACATGAAAGCAGTAATTCCAGCTGTTTTAGCATTATTATCTTCACGATGAAACTTTGTGTGGCCCTTTGAATGGCCACTATGGAATAAGGTGCAATTATGAAGGGAAATGAATGTACATATAATTTAAACATACAGGGACATTAAACAGCTTCGATTTTCTGTTTGTTTCAGTGCAGCCGGCTGAGTAAATACTCCTCAAGGTCACGGCAAATGAAACAACACAAACAGCTCTCTGAAATGCATGCACATACAAATGCACAAACACACACACACCTGCCAGTGGAGAATGATGCTCCAGATGAGCCCGAGGATCAGTTTGTGATTTCCATCAACAATGTCTGTCGCTCCGATGTTCACCAATTCCACCTAGAGGAGGGATGAAAGGGAGGCTTTAGTCCACAAAGCGCACTTCCTGTCACTCATTGGTTTCCGTCATCTTCGGCTGGTGACCCTTTTGAAATAAAAGGCAACATCCACAACGTGACATTGCATGTTTAACATGAGTCATGAGCAATTTTCTATCCTTTGCTAAAGCAATCGTCTACCCACAGCTCTGCACAGATGAGTATGGAATTAATGGCGTGTTTATGCTGAAAGGCCGTCTCTAACGCAAAATTCAAACGTTAGCACACCTAGCTAACTAGCACTATTTCCAAAGCCATTAGGCGTATCATCTTACAAGATGTTACTACCTCAGGGGTCAGGGCTGGGTGAGATGCATCAGTTCACATGTCAAAAATTCCAAGGTGTATTTGCGGCCTCAGCCCTAACTTCTGACATGGGGTCAATCGTACTCGCTTTCTCAACCCCCCCCCCTCCCAAAGCACCCACAGGTGGCACACTCCTCTCCATCCAGACTGGAAAGTTTCACACTGACCGTTGTTTGCACAACAGAAATAATCGGTCTATAATTGTAATGATAATTGTAATTCTGACTGTGAGACAGAATAAAGAAATGCAGAAACTCCTATTATATAAAAGTTATACATTGATTTGCATTTGAATGTGGGAAATAAGTATTTGATCCCCTACCTACCAGTTAGAAAAAAACCACCATGGCAAATCGTTCTCTTCTTTGTAAGTGGGCAAACTTACAAAATGACCAAGTGCTCAAATAATCATTTCACCCCCTGTATATGCGGCCATTATGTAAAATGATGTACTATTATTTCACCTTACCTATGACAACATATAAAAAATAATTACCTTGTATCACTGTAAGTGCATATTATGAAATGTGTTGTGTATCTATCTTGACGTAAAATAATATATATCAAGATAAATATGGTGAAGAGAAAGCCAGGGAAAAGAGGGAAGGGATGCTCTTTTTAGACAGAAAATGTAAGAGTGAACAGGAAGGTATTTGGAAACATTAATGCAGTCAAAGCGTCATCATATTCAACTCTTCGAGAGAAATGTCTCCGTGCCCCCGCACTTCTACTCACGTTGTTCTTCTGCAGGATCTGCAGAGCGCGGTTGACATTGTTGAGCGAGTGAACGCGTGTGAATCCCCTCTCCAACCTCACCTACACACACACACGCACGCACACACACACACACACACGTAACACAGAGGAAGTCATTGAGGCACAAACAGATATTGCCCAGGGGCATCTGAACAGACACATAACAAAGTGTGTGTTAATGTGTGATCGTATCAAACAAAGGAGCGGGGTGATAAGTCTTAATAGCTGAACCCGGATGTCACCTGGTAAGTGGTTTAGCGGGAGAGGCTTTAAATTCTTAAAAAGGTGTAAACACAAACATTACCGTTACAACGTCAAAAATTATCATGTCCAATTGTGGGTTTTTATTTTGTACCGTTTATGCCTGATTTGAACCTCTTCCAGGCTGTGTCCCCACAAGCACAAGGTCAGAGTCACTTGTCAAATAATTCACCTTTTCTGACAAAACTGCTTCAATGACTAAAATGATGAATGAATGAGTAGATATTGTCTGATTTCATGTGTTTTGTTCCACCTTTAAGTCTTAATGATTCTGCCTAATTTTAATACAACAGGCCTCCAACACATGTGCCGTCGTCTATATTGTCTTTACGTCTCCATGCTTTCACTGGCTGTCTCATTTTAACAAGCTAAATAACTGGACTTTACATGACGGCTGAATGAATGAATGAATAAATTGTGTGTAAGTCAGCATCTACAGCAGTCTTATAGAAGGGGTTCATAAAGGGCTCAAAATGTTTGCCAGAGAGCCCCCACACGGCAAGAAAGGCCAAAATAACTTTACAATTGTGGGTATTTATCTGAACTTTTTACTTCCTGTTTTCAATTTGTTCCACACTCATCGTGACATGACAGGTAAATTCAAATAATCCACCTACTAGTTTTTTTTTGTCAAAACAGCTTCAATGATAAAATGAGGGGTTTGAATGAATAAATCTTTTTCTTCCCTAATTGATCCTTTTTTTGAGGCCTCCACTGGTACCCCTGTGTATCCCCTACCGATGAATTGCGGGCAATTCCCTCGGGCAAAGTCCGCAGAAATCCGAACTCACAGAAAGGAGGTCACAGAGTACTCTGAATGTCTGCCAGAAAGCCCTCAAAAACACGACAACTTGACAGCGGGCCTTTAAATCCATGAGACTGGCATCGGGCCATGCCGTCGACCACAGTGCCCCACTAACGGACTCCACATGCCACAGTGACATTTAGCTTTCCACTTATGTCGCCAATAACAAAGTAAATCATTATTTTAATCGGCTCGACTCAGCATGCATCTCGCCAACAAATGCAAACAGAAAGATTCATAAACAGCACTTTGCATGTTCTTATGTCTGTGTGTGTGTGTGTGTGTGTGTGTCTGTATTCCTACCAGCTCACGTCCCGCCAGCCCCTCCAACAGCTCCAGCAGGCGTCTTCCATCACACAGATCTGAGAATAGATCCTCCACGGGGAGTTTCCCTGTCTGAAACACACACACACACACACACACACACACACACACACACACACACACACACAATTATACATTTTAACCGAATGTATCCAGCTTATAAACAATGGGCATTCATACGGAACACTTAAGCGTGTTCTTTAATGAAGAGGCTATGAAACAGCATCTTGCAGTCCGAGGAAGCGTTTGGCTTCATGGCTGTAAGAAACATCTGCAGGTACTGAGGTCAGTTTACTCGTAAGGCGTTCGGGGTCAAAGGTTGGATCCCCGTACCGGAGACATCCCTCGAGTACACACAGAGACGGGCCGTGTGTTTAATCTGAAGACAGCGGATAATAGCCAAGAGGTTTATCACTGCTGGTGAATCTGTGGTTAAAAACCAGCAGTAAATTCACTCTTGGAAATCACGTACATCTACATTTCATTTGTTTTTCCTCGACAGGCAAAGAAATCAAGGAGCAGCAGCAAAGCTTGTGTAGGATCTGGTCAAGTTCCCATGATGCCTACGTCTATTACACATTACAGAAACATACTTAATAGGGACATCATTTCTTATTGGGTTCGAAGTTTTTTTGTTTGTATTTTCCAACAACCTACCAGGTCAGTGATAGAATCAACACATTACATTACATGTAATTTAGCTGACACTTTTATCCAAAGCGACTTACAATAAGTACATTTCAACCATAAGGATACATACTGAAAAGAACAAGCGAGAAGAAAGTGCAATTTCATCAAATAAGCCGATTTACAACTTCCTATAGATAAGAGCCATTGTGAGAAGAGTTTAAGTGCTACAAGTTGTTAGTGTTTTTAGTCGAGGTAGAGTCTGAAAAGGTGTGTCTTTAGTTTGATGATGTAAAGGCTCTCTGCGGTCCTGATGCTTGTCCCACCAATTAGGAGTAAGGACAGCAAAGAGTCGTGATCTAGTCGAGTGTTTTGCTCTCAGTGAGGGAGGAACAAGCAGATTGGCAGATGCAGAGCGGAGAGTGTGGGTCGGGATGTCGGGTTTGACCATGTCCTGGATGTAAACTGGACCCGATCCATTCACAGCATGGTACGTGAGCACCAATGTTATGACACATGGTAATTGCTACCTATGACATGATTCAATACTGATGAATGTTTAATTAGTGAAACTTCACTATTGCTGGAGAGTCAGAACTGGAAGCAGACGATGCTGCTGTTGAACTGCATTGTTCTTAATGGGTCAAACTATAAGGTCAATAAAAACGGCAGCCAGATTTTTTGTTTATGAAATTATTCCCCAATACGACTTTGTTTCAACAAGTACACAGGTATAAGGCACCACGGGGGCAAGAGAAGCCCCAAGCCATATGAATAACACTGGAAAACAATAACTGAATTAAACCTGTCTGACTCCCGAGAGGACTACAGCTCAATTCATCTTGGTCTTGCGAGTGACCTTCACATGCAGGCCGTTTATTAAGGGGTGTCATAACAGATTTGAGATCAGCTAATCCCGGCTCATTTTTTCCCTCGCCAACACTTGATTTAACACAGCGAGCGGGCTCGAACGGAGGATTCCAAAAATCGGGCAAAAGCCCAGTCGAGTAATTAATCATGAGAAAGTGAGAGACAAATTGGCGAGGACAGCAAAAGGGACAAAGAGGACATTGAAGACGAGTGAGCAGTGCAAAGTTTTACTTGTGCGCCCCATTCACCAATAACTTTGCATCATCTCCGCTGCCATCGTTACCGTGGCGGAGATCCCCTTCCCTGCATCAATCATGAATTATTACGACGGGCGCAATGTGTGGAGTCCTCCCCTCGTCCCCCCCGCAGAGTACAAAAGACAAAATACTCCCGAAGCCAAAAGAAAAGTGAAAAACTTTTCTGCAATGAAGGAATTCGGTTATCAATCTTGTAGATAACCGATTTCTTCCTATCGCCGGCTTTTTCTTCTCGGCCCTTTCATCTCTGCTCTCTCCCTCTGTCCTACATGTCTCACTCTGTGTCACTCTGTCTCACAGCCTCTCACACATCGCTCTCCCTCCCCCTCATGTCCTCGTTTCCCTCCCTCTGTCCGTGTCTTTCTCCATCCCTCTCTGGCCCAGACCTTCACTTCTCGACAGAGTGTGTGTGTGTGTGTGTGTGTGTGTGTGTGTGTGTGTGTGTGTGCGCGCGTGCACGCGCGTGCTTGTGCATTGGGAGCAGATGTGTTATTTGAATGGGCTGCGTGGGTGTAGGTGATAAGTGAAGAAAAGGAAACACAGAGGGAAGCGGAGGAAATGTTGCTCTAAAGAGGGATGTGCACGTCGGGATGTTACAACGCCGGCTAAAACAGATCCCCCAAAAGAGGTTTTCTCGCTCGTCATCATTTACTGGTACGATGAAGAGGGTCCTTTGGCTGTTCTCCAGCCTCAAATGATGTTCTTGTGTCTGCATTTCTACTTAATAACTTAAGAATTATAGAAAAAGTAACATCCAAAACAAATTTTCTGTCAACAGATGTTGATTTCACAGCAAATCCAATCCAAATGCTTTTCTGCACTCCTCCCTGTTTCATGGCGCAGGAGCAGAGCCACACGTTACCCACATGGGAAGTGTGTTTAGTCATGGCGCAGGAGCAGAAACACACGTTACCCACATGGGAAGTGTGTTTAGTACCACTATGTCGAAGGATAATTGAGTAGGAAAAAAGAAAGCTCAAATGCAAACCACAAAGCGGCACTTTCCTTCAATCTAGAAACTTGAGTATTTCCGAGCAAGATGATGTTTTCACAGCGAGTGGCTGCGCCGCCTGACCTAAGTGTGGAAAGATGGAATGAAAGCAGAATATTCTTAAGGGCATAAGTGATGTCTACGAAGAAGCTGCTATATGCAACACTCTTTTCTACATAAAGTGAAGTTGTGAAGTTTTCACATGAAGCCACATGCTTTTTGGGTTAAATAAGTTTGTTTGTTACATCGGGTGCTGCTAAGAAAAGTCGCCGTATTTCTCTTGCATTTCATTTGGAGTTAAACCTTTAAAAAAAAAGGATTAACACAGGGCAGCTGAGCTTTTCTCAAAGATATGGCATTTCATCAGTAATACTTTCCGAGCATTTTTATTTGACTTCTGTAATATTTGTCCCTTTTGTGTTGTATGTCACAGTTTGGGTTCATGTCTGGTTTTATTTTGTAGTTTCTTGCCTCTGTTCTCCCTGGGTCACTTCACTTCCTGCCTTGTCCTGTCAGTCCCCCGTGATTGTCTGTCTAATAAAGTCCTTTTTTATTCCTCTGCAAAACTCTGCGTCTGAGTCCTACCTACCCCGAGAACACTCCTGACATTGCTGGTTTATTTTATTTGGACAAAGATAAATATCTAGGAAACATCAGGTGTTTTATCCTTTATAAATGTGTTACCAAAAATTACCAAAGTCATCAATGTTAACATGACAGTTCTGCTTTTCACTTTGACCCAACAATTAATCTTGTAATGTGTGGTGTATAATAGAAGCCCAGGGATATTTCCGATAAAGCATGCACACCAGCCAGCTTTTAATAAATGGTAAATGGACCTGTAATTGTTCAGCGTTTTTCTCGTCTTCAAACGCTTAAAGTGATTTTAAACTACATATCCTTGACAGGAAGTGACCAGAGGAATAACGTCTTGTAAGAGAAGGCGTAAATACGGCTCTGGAAGTGACCAGTTAATCCCAAGGTGACCCCACCCTAAAGCACACTATGCTTTATGGTCTATTTGAATCCAATTACTCTTCCCTCAGGAAAATAAAACCTACATGGACAATTATTCTGTGAGTCTGACATCCAAGAAGAGGGCAAATGGCCTTCTGAGTGCATGACTCCTTGGGGTTTTTTTTAACGTCCAATCATCCTGACCTCTTAATTGACTTGGAGATGAGAACGGGCTGCTGGAAGATGGTCAAAATCCGCCAGCTAGCAACTCTAAAGCTCACAAATGAACATGTTACTTGTGTGACATGTAATTCAATCCCGGGCTCCACTGGGGTCCGTGTCAATGGTTCCTTGGGGCAAAACGCTTAATCCCAGATTGCTGTGACTGGTGTGTGTGGAAGGAATGAATGTTAGCTGATGATGGTGGTAGCGTTTGAATGAATGTGAACGGGTTAATGATAAAATGCTAACGCACCTAACATGCTTGGAAGAATAAAAAAGCGCGATACAAGTACATTCCATTTACCCTTGGACTTTCTGTTTTTGGACAGACAGTCAATAAGGTAAATCAAGCAATTTGAATAAAACTTTTCTTATTCTACCATTATTTTTCAAAGCCAGATAGAAATAGAAAGAAAAGAACATCCAGGTTTATATATCGCTCACTTCAAAGTCTGCTGTTGGGGATGATTGGCTACATTGTTGAAAGAAATCTAATGAAAATGGATAATGAATAAACCCTCTTCATGCTCCAAGAGACTGACACTTAAGTTTTGCGGGTAACGTGAAGGGCAGCCTGTTCTTTGCATCCGACCAACAAAGAGGTGTGAAATCCCCGGCTGCTTTTGGGACACACTCAGTCCTGATTTGTTTCAGCTCATAAGCATCTTTTTATCTTCTTCCAACACAAAAGTGAGGTACACATGCCAACAGACATCCACCATCCAGACTCTACTGATAACAACCCCCCCCCACACACACACACCTTTACATTACATGGACCAGAATGCCAAACACTCATTCTTCACTATGTGCCCCGATATACAAGTTGATTTGGTGTCTGGGATTACACGCATCGATTATCCCGGTATCATGTCATATCCCATCTTGTTTTAGTTATACAGGAACACCAGAAAGTGTGACTCGCTACACAATCTGTACATGGTCACTTCCAGCACCAGTAACTAGTGAGCCATCTTGCTTTCTCATCTTCTCTGTTGAGAGTAAGACGGACCCTACCGGTCGGGAAGGCGCCGCATGCGAGTCCCATTAGCATTGGCAAATGTTAGCATTTCGCCAATATGTTACACTGTAAAAGTCAATGTTAGCAAAGTTAATCACCAATTACATTGTGAAACTGTAATGTTGGT